TATATATATCGGTTTGAGTTTTTCTCTATCTCGTTTTTCGCTTCTGATTTTTAGATTCTTCTTCTCGATTTACTTTCACTTCTTCTACCTCAAAATCTTCCCCCCTCTTTTTTTTTATTTTTTTTATTTTACTCTCGGATCAAAAAGACAAATCTCATTTTGCAACTCGTGAGTCAATGGGTGCGTTTGAAATTAGTTCCACAACGTTTTTGTTTTTTATATGAAAATGAAAAGGAGATGCGTGGGGGGAGGGGGGTGCAGTCGGAGACAGCTAGTGGGGGGACGTTTTCATTTTCTGTTTTTCAAGAAATGCTGCCAAACGGCTTTCTCAGAGCATTTTCAATTTTTGGTTATTAGAAAACGTGAAAAACGGAAACGAAAACAGAATCAAACAGGCCCAATATGTTTGGAATCAGAAGTCATGAATATTGTTACTACTCCCATTCAATGCAAAAATTCATCACGAGTAGTAAATGATCAAGTTAACCTTGTAATAATAACAAAAGTTCATTTTAGCATTCCTTCTGTAATTTCGGAAAGAAAACATGAAGCAATGTATTTATAAATTTTTGGTACGTTTAATATGCGAAGATATAAATATAGATGTCTGTGCAGACCAAAAATCGTGCTATGAATTAAGAAGGGAATAATTTAGTTCAAAATACATCCATACATCGGCCTAGGATATAAAATAATTTATATGTTGAGTCAATGAACAATCATAATATTTCGGTTCATGAATTAGAATATTCCCAATGATCTTTTTGGGATGCACGGTCATCTCAAGCACAAACATTTGGGCCACCCTAAACTGGGGAAGGGAAACATTATTCTAGGGGAAAATTTTTTTTTTTTTTTGGTTTTTTTTTTTTTTTTTTTTTTTGGTTCCTTTTTCTTTAGCTGGAAAAAGAAAATATTTCTCATTGCTTTCTTTCCTTAATTATGATGATAACTGCTTCAGATCATAATCGATGCGTTTTGCACAAAATAGAAATGTCGCATACACAATGCAAAAAACACCTAGCATGTCTTGAAGTTTTTTTTTCTACAACAACCTTTTTTTTTTGTTGTTGTTGCTACTAAGGCATTATCTAGTACAACCCCATCTAGACTACTACTTAGCGAGTTTATCAGTTGTCACCTTTCCGGCTTCCTATTTTAAGGACTCAACAAAGTAGAGTTTACATGATCACTTCAAATTTTATGTTGTTACATAGAAAAATATTGATAAATGGTACTAATGAAGTCGAACATTATTATAATTTATAATCTTTTCATGTGAGTAATGATGTCAGACACCACAATATGTTTATTAGGAACTTGATAATGCATGAATATTACAATTCAACACATATTATATATAGACTTTATTAGGAACTTTTCAGTAGAATTATGCTATCAGATGTCATCACTATCCAGTGTGTATAACAAATGTTTTGGTTAATCTGAAACAAGCAACCACTGAACATGGTTATATCCCGTCTGCAAACTTGTATAACTTGATGCGATTACTCTATTTTGGATCCTTATTTCTTGTCCATTTCTGTTGTTCATGATCACAACAAACAAAAATCCTACCATGAAATTACAGGACTAAAAAAAAATATGCCCTGCTGGCCCTGCTGGGAATATTGGACCCATCGCAAGCCGTGACATCATGTGGTTGCAATAAAAGAAGTCGAGTACAAAGATCCATTGGCTCACGACAAAACTGCCCCCCAAAGTCTTTAGCCGTGGAGTTGTCAAATAACACCTACCAAAGATGATGCAAACACAACTTAAACATAATTCGTTATCAAGTTGTAACGATGCCTTCTTCTGATTCTAATAAATTAATTTTGCGATCCTGACACAAGAAAGGATACAGCGGCATTGAAAATCCACTAAACAAGACACATAAACAAAGGAAATTTTTTTTTTTCTTAAAAAAGGAAAGCTTTATTTTACTTCACCCGTAAAAATCTTTAAATTAATTTTATGTCCGCGTTACAAATTTGTAAGTGCGTGTTACATAACTATTCGATTAGACCATTAAAAAACTGATTCAACGGTTAAAGCACAGTTCTTACCATAAACTAAGGAGACGTTTGGTTCATAGATTAGAATCATAAGATTATAACTATTTTTTATTTACGTGTATTTTTTGTGAGAGAAAATACTGTAACGAATTATGAACCATGATTCGAATCAGGATACGAATCCGCCAACCAAACAACCCCTAAAATAGCATCCTTCACCGTCAACACATCTAAACAAATAAAATAAAAGAAAATTCTTTTAGAGGTGACAAAACTATTGTCGCATGGCTCCGAAGGACTTCATAGGTGGAATATTCTCGTTGCTCAGCTTGAGGTCTAATCGAAAGCACTACGTCCAGGCTCAGGCTAATATTGGGTTTACTAAGATATCGAATTGGGCCCAAAGTGGCCTTGGACAAATCTTTCACATCTCAAAGTGGGCACATGCATTGGGCCTAGCTTAGGTCCACAGCCCACCGAAGTTGACAATATACCTTCAATTATTAGAACCTTGAGCCATGACTGACTCGCACAGTTTTTCTTCCTTCAAGAGGAAGAAAAATGAAGGAATATGAAGCACATCAGTCCATTATTTAGGTCTCCTGTCTTTGATAATGCTTCCATTACAACTTAAAATGAAAAGAATAGACATAAAACGCTTTTTTACAAACGTTTATAATTCACTTCAATATGCTTTAGTCCTACGCCATAGACAAATTATATGGACAAATCTATTTTTATAAAAGATTTACATGCCATATAATGATTTCCTTTCTCCCTAAAATTATTAGGGTACACTCTTAGTCTACACCTATTGTATTTAATGTAGAAAGGAAAAACTTGCGCATTTGAAAATTAATTTTTCTGATATCATAATATTTCTATAAGTCTTTTAAATTACTTTTTTTTTTTTTTTTCAAAAAATTGACTAATGCATTGTCATTTTGTGGGTCTCATCTTCTAAGTTTGACAAAACCGGTACATAAATCACTAACAATTGGCTTGACAAATTAACACTGATAATCACTAGATCAAATGATTTGAGATAAAGTAACGCGTAATTTTAATTTAAAAAAAAAAAAAACTCTAGGAAAAAAAAGAAAGAGAAAAAGATGAAATTATTAGGCTAATCATAAGAGCATACAATATTTATTGTCAATTATCTCTCATTGGACAGTAAACTCATTTATGTGCGATGCAATGGTCCCCACTGGTGCCACCTGTTTCTCTTGTTCTATTTGTAAATTGTAATTTTGTATAGTCAAGTGAATTGACGATGAAACGGTGCGTTTTGAATCTATGTTTTACAGTTTCTAGTTTCTAAGTTCTAACCTTCCTTTCCGGAACATTCTCAGCCTCGCACTCTCTCCACCCTCCTGCCTCCAAGAGTACGTGGCAAATTAAGGAGGAATGTAGTTTTTAGTGGGTCCCATTGTCCCAAAAAGTGGACCCCTTATCATTGACATGATAGCACAAAAGATCTTATCGTGGGTTATCACTGACACAAATTAACACGAAACATAGGCATCTATCCTACACGAGAACCCCCACAGTTATTTCCATATATACCCAATAACTACTTACTCAATACGTTCTCTTTCTTCTCTTCCAATGAAAGTGGTGACATGGCTGTGGTCCAGCGCTCTAGAGCTAGACAAGAGCGCAGGAGATAAAAGCTTAGTTGACATGTTAACGACCGCATATAAACCGACACGAACGGTCGAAACAACAAGATATGGCCTTCTCTCTCCTCACTCACTCTCTCTCTCTCTCTCTCTCTCTCTTCCATAAAAGCCGCAACAGAACCCGAAATCTCCCAAACACTCTTCTCTCTCTCTCTCTCTCTAACTTTTCTGTTTCACTTTTATCTTTACCTTCTCTCTCTATCTCTATCGGATTCCTCGGAGCCTTCAAGTTGAAGACGAATTCAGAGATTTTATATAATCTCGAATCAAAAATCAAAAATAGAAATCCAAAAAAAAAATTTAAATTAAATGTATGAGTATGAATGAATGAATGAATGACGAGTATTTTCTTCTTCCATATTATCTTGGTTTCTCTCCGGCTTTGATACAGAGCCGGTTCAAATGAAGGATCGCAGAAAAAGAAACGACATCGTCGTTTCCTGGAGCAGATTCTTCTGGTGCACCGTCTTCGTCGTTTTCGCTTGCGTCTTCTTCTCCGGCTTCACCTTCTCCACTTTTCGCCTTCTCTTCGGAGGTACTATTTAATTTATTGTTTCGTTTCCAAACTTTTACTCTTTTATAAAATTTCTACGAGAATAAATTATTATTATTATTATTTTAAATTTTTTATGTTTTTTTTTGTTATCAGAAGTACTTAAACCAGTAGTGGTTTTAAAATGCCGAGCTCCCCCGGCTAAAGCCATCTCCGGCGAGACTCCAGGGACCGACTCATCAATCTCTATACGAGAAGTGGTGATGCTACCAGATCAGGCCTTGGTTTTCCTAAATTACCCTTCTCCGTCACGCTTATTTACCAAAGAGGACCTCGCCTGCGTTTTCTATACCACCTCCTCCTCCGCGACCAAACCACGACGTTTCAAGAGGTCGCCGATTTCCGTCGACGCCAGCGAGGACTCCGGTGTCCAGATCGTGCGGTGCCCGTTCACGCCACGTGGATTCACTGTGTCGGTCGGATTGAAACCTAAGGGCCGGAATTTTCGCGCCGGTCCTCGTCACGAGTGGGACTCGCTGGCGTACGAGGCTCTGATCGACCGCGACAACACCACGGTGGTGTTCGTGAAGGGCCTCAATCTAAAGCGGGAGAGAGTCTCCGTCGCCTCCAAGTTCGAGTGCGTGTACGGCTGGGATTTCACCTCTCCAAACCCCAAGTTCGTCCTCAGATCGGAGGTACTTTCCATTGCGCAGGAGATCGTACGGTGCAAAACGCCTCTAAGTGTGCTGAGTGGCCCACACAGGCCCAACATCAGTAACCACAACTCAGTTAAGGTCTCTGTCAGAATGAAGGGCAGGAAAACATTAAAAACCGTAGCCCGGCCCAAGATCCGGCACATACCCGACCCGATGACACGTAAACAGCACGAGATGTGTGTTTGCACCATGGTCCGGAATCAGGCCCGGTTCTTGAAGGAATGGATCATGTACCACTCAGAAATCGGGGTCCAACGGTGGTACATTTACGACAACAACAGTGATGACGACCTCGATTCTGTCGCCGAGTCGTTGTACAATTCCAATTACAATGTCACGCGCCACGCGTGGCCGTGGGTGAAGACCCAGGAGGCCGGGTTCGCCCATTGCGCATTGCGGGCGCGTGACACGTGCGAGTGGGTCGGGTTCATTGACGTGGACGAGTTTATTCACTTGCCAACGGGCCTATTTTTGCATGACGTGGTTGCCAATCAGACGCAATATAACAACAATGTGGCCGAGCTACGTACGTCGTGCTACAGCTTTGGGCCGTCGGGACTCAGGCGCGTGCCGGCCCACGGCGTGATGGTGGGGTACACATGCCGGGTGGCAATTGCGGAGAGGCACAAGAGTTTTGTGAGGCCGGAGGCATTGAATTCATCATTGATCAATGTGGTGCACCATTTTCACCTTAGGGATGGATTTGAGTATGTCAATATGGATAGGGGGGTTATGGTGATAAATCACTACAAGTATCAAGTTTGGGAAGTGTTTAAGGAAAAGTTCTATAGGAGAGTGGCCACTTATGTGGCTGATTGGCAAGATGACCAAAATGTGGGGTCCAAGGATAGAGCCCCAGGGTTGGGGACTAGAGCTGTGGAACCACCGGATTGGCCCAACAGATTTTGTGAGGTCACTGATACTGGGCTTAGGGACCGGGTCTTACGAACTTTTGCCGACCCAAAAACACATCTTTTGCCATGGGAAAAGGGTTACACTAATAACAAGAACAAAACAGAGAGGACCAAGGCAGCGAGAAAGCGTAAAGGCTTATTATGATTTTACGAGAGATAATGACACTTTTAGATAGGGTTTTGTTTTTTTGGGCCCCGTTTTTTGTTCTTTTTTTTTTTTTTTTTTTTTGGCTTATTATGATTTTACGAGAGATAATGACACTTTTAGATAGGGTTTTGTTTTTTTTTGGGCCCCTTTTTTTTTTTTTTTTTTTTTTTTTTTTTTTTTGGATTTGTGGTTTTTATTTTTCTATACATAAATGATATGTAAAGTTATATAGTGGATGGGTTAGTATTTAGTAGTAGATTGAATTGATTCTTTTGTAGATAGATTTATTAACGTGATAAATGAAAATGATAAATGAGGAATTATGGTTTGTGGTAATAATTAGTTATGTTCTTGGTTTGATTTTTATGTGTGTGGAGCCTTGATACAGCCTGTGCTTGTTCATCATCTCTGTAGGACATGCTATTGATTTAAGCGCGTGATTAAAAGGGAATAAATGGTAGCGTGTTATGACTTGTGACGCAAACTTGTACCTTGGATATATTCTACTGCTTTGTGCGCAACCACTTTTGTTTTTCAAAGACAAAAAAGATAATATTATGAGACGTTTGATTCATGGATTAAAATTATTTTTAATTTACGTGTATTTTTTGTAGGAGAAAACACTGTAACGAATCATGAACCATGATTCGAATCAAGGTACGAATCTCATTACCAAACACACCCTTAAAGATCTAGATTATAAAGGTTTGCCTTCTGTAAATAAAGATACAGAAATAATTTATTCGATTTTGATATATATGATGATAATCGTTGGATAATGTCACATTATCACTTGTGAAAGTCTTGGTTAAAGGAAGGGTAATCTGATACAAGTTTGTGATCCTTTGGAATATTCCTATAATTTCCTAATTCTTTATAATTCTAACATTGGAACCTATCTCCTATCAAAAAGAAAGAAGAAATATTGGAACCTATTTCTTAATTAGATAACATATCATTTACCAATCACATCACTTGAAAAAAGAATATAATTATCATTTATCCTTTTTTTTAGTAGAATCATTAATCGTTATTCATTACTCTTTTTTTTTTCTTTTTTTGCTTTGAATATCGTTATTCATTAGTCATTACTTATTAATAATGTTGTGGCTTTGAATAAAACTACACGTCCTTCTGTGCAAACGACAACCGTTGCCATCCGTACTCCGTAGATATCAAAACGCAATGTAGTTTTAAATTAAGCAAACCACGTGTCGTTTTCATTCAGATCCCTTGGCCCTTTTTTTTTGTCGTGAAAGCCACATATCTTCGACAGCGGAGCCCGAAATTATAGCCGTTAGAAACAATTCAAAAAAATGCGACCGTTGGAACTCGTCTCCTACTGTCCTACACTCTTTTTCCCTTTTCTGTCCCTCATAAGTTTTTTCTGCTCAATCGAAGATTTCTTTTTTGGCTCTCCTTCTCCTTCTTCTTCTTCTTCTTCTGAGCAGTGAAAACAATCAAATCAAAGAAGAAGAAACCATTAATGGGGAGCGAGGACCGAAAACAGAGTCCGCGAGACCCAAGAAAGAACCAACCAACAGAATCGGGTTTTATATTCAGCCCCAGATTCAAATCGGTTGCCGCCATGGCCGGTTGGGACGAAGACTCCCTTCTGTGCGCGAGCCTCATCGTCGACGACACGCCCGATCGCGACTCTCGGCGTAGGAAACGCACCTTGTCTCAGTTCAACACCCCACCAAGCAGCAATTCAAGAAGGTACTTTTATTTACTTTCTTTCTTGATTTCTGAACAAGACTTCGAATTTCCATTTTTCTCTATTTTTTTTCAGAAATTAATTATTGGGTATTCATTAAATATGATTTACTTTCTTTCTTGACTTCTGAACAAGACTTCGAATTTCCATTCTTTTCTATTTTTTTCAGAAATTAATTATTGGGTATTCATTAAATATTTAGAAAAAGAAGGGCTCAACAAAGGAGTCCGATTTCGATCCCTATGGTTTCTCTTGACCTTGACGATGGGGCAACTACAGAGAAAGAGGCAACCCCTTTGAAGGAAGAAAGAAAGGAAACGGGAGGAGATATTTCATTGGCTGAACAGAATTCCGGTGGCCTTCCCTGTATGGATAAGCTCAGGGAAGAACTTTCTTGCGCGGTAAGAAACATTTTTATTCATTGTTAATGCAGTTATGGAATTCCATTTTCGGAAGAAAAATGGACTAGTTATTCATGTTTGGTTGATGTCCTTGTTACTTGACAGATCTGTCTGGATATTTGCTTAGAACCTAGCACTACTCCTTGTGGACACAGGTAAATTTATGATCAACTAATTTTGTTGTAATATTGTGTACTTGTTTATGCCTCTATATGGTGTATGATTAGTTTTCTTTGATTGTAGTTTCTGCCTGAAATGTTTGCGATCTGCTGCGAGCAAATGTGGGAAAAAGTGCCCAAAATGCAGACAGGTTATAAGGTACTTTTCAGCCGTATACCAAATTTATTTGTCAAGGGTTCCAATTTTTTCAATCATTGCTATGGATTTGCAGCAATGGAAGGTCCTGCACAGTGAACACCGTTCTTTGGAACACAATACAGCTTCTTTTTCCGAAAGAAGTGGAAGCAAAGAAGTCAGCTGGAGCCTCAAAAGGTCGAGAATCCGAGCGTAATCAACAAATCCCGGAAATGGCGTTTTACAATAGTTTAAGGAATGAAGGCACACGAGAATCACAGTTACCAAGCAGAACAGAAACCATAAGAAGAAGAAGAAGAGCAGCGACACAGAGCCGAAATGATGACACCATACTAAGCCCAGAACGAGAAATGAGAAGGATTATCCGAGCAGCTTCAAGGGTGTCGAGCAGCGATACCACGTGTATACCGAGCCAAGACGAGGACGCGGCATTAGCTCTGAGGTTGCAGAGAGAGGAGTTTATGGGGGCTTTCAGGGGAACGACAACGAGGCTGCTTAACCAATCTAGAACAAGTACTACTACGGTTACCAGAGGAACAAGGGTTAACCAATCTAGTACTACTACTAATACTAATACTAGTGGCGGTGGCGGCGGCGGTGACGGTGGTAGTAGTTCTTTTTCCTTAGCTAGAGCAAACTTGAGGGCCATGGCATCTAGAGCCGTAACCCTCAGGGTTAGAGATCGATACAATATTTAGTTCCAGGATTGTTTACTTGCATGGATGAATGTTTTTCTAGCAAAAATTTCACTCATCATAAAGATGCATGATGAGTGATACATCTGTACAAAACTAGGGTTGTTAGAGATTTCATTCCTTCAAAAAGTTCACAGGATTCATCATAAAGATGTACGACTAATTTCTCTTCTGACTGTACGCCCGTTCATTTTTCAGTAATCAAACATTGTGCGTTTTCATCTTGACCTCATCATTGAGGGGATTTTGTTGTTTTTGTTTTTGAACTGTCAAGAGCAACAGGCACCATCCAACAGAAATTTTCCTTGTAATCTTAACAACACATTATCCAACATATTTTTTTTATCTTATAATCTGTAAGCACCTTATAAAAGTGAGATTAATTTTGACATTTCTTTCTTTTTGCATGGTATTTGCCATGTTTGTGGTTACCGGTTGGGGTTCCCGGGTGTTTTCACTTGCCTCTGCACCGACTCCGAGTAATGGTGTAGGGGACGGAGACTCTGCAGACTGCAGCTACTGGTTGTTCCTCTTACCTGTTGATAACAACCATGTTCACTTCATTGGCAGTCTTATTGCCAACCTGTCTTTCTGCCTTTTACTAGTTCTAATCGGAATTATGAACCTTTTCAGTCCCAAGCTGTTCTGTGTACTTTAAAATGGGTGTTTCTTGGCTTCATAAATAAAATAATTGCCAATGCTTGAATACTTAAACACGGTACTTTTTTCTTCTTTTTTTTTTTTTTTTTTTTGCTTGAACACACATGTAACTTGATTCTAATCACTACTCTCTCTCAATCCATTATTCCTATTTTAAATTTACTCTTTTTTTTTCGCGATTATCACTCTACTTTCTAGGAGGACTAACTTTGATTTGTATCCTCTAACGTAAATCACGAATAAGTTGAGGCAAGAAATCAACAGAAAAAAAAAAAAAGATGAATCACAAACAGATTGAAAATCCATGAAAATGGATGATAAAAAATTTCTCAGATATTAATGGCTTGTTATAACATGAAAGTTCAAACCAATGGCCCCTTTTCCACTAAAGGTGCTAAGCAAATCAACTCATTCCTACAGTAACATAGCAGAATTGAATCATTGATGTCCTAAAAGTAAGATCACAAAATCCTCAAGCCATTGAGAAAAAGCTCTAGTACATGATCAAAGTGCTCATCAATTTACAAGAAAAAATTTCTTCCTTTCACTCGTGTTGACTATTTCATCACCGGGGACATTTGCTTGTATCTTACAAATCGGACAAATCTGAAGCTGAATCTACGGTATTGTGTTTGTTTCATGTTCGATAAAACATCCACCTTTCATCAAGTCCACATATCGCAACATATTTGGACAGGAAGCCTTCTGGATCAGTGAATAGTATAAATGTGTAGCTTATGAAGACGCTCGCTCAGTGTCTATGTGAGTGCTTTCGGCTACCGAAAGGAGTCTCTCCCTTGTCCCTGTTTCTTATTTGTAAAATCCTCAAAACAAAAGAAATGAAACCTATAGCAGCCATAACGTAAAAAACTCTGTATGGAGCCAAGGCCAGGCCAGAGAGATAGGAAAAGTATCCAGCAATCAGGTAGACAAGGTTCAACCTCACTTCCAGGAGTGGAATGCCAGGAAATGAAAACGAGAAGGAATTATACTCAGGCTTTGACTTGCAAATGCCATGAAGGATCACACCAGTGCAAAGAACTGAATCCAGAAACCAAGGGAGGCTCTCACCCATCCCTATTCTCTGAAATCACAAAGTTCAACGATGAAATAACTCATGGTGAGAAAATAGAGAGAAAAATAAATAAATAAATTTGCAACAAGAATAAGGAAAACTGGGCTTTGTTTGGCAATCGAAGCTATTTTGTCATATGTAAAACCCATGTTTCGTACTTGTGTTTGGATTAGAAGTATGGCAAATCAACTTTGTTTTTAGCTTCCAAAGCAAATTCTTATCGCTTTCAGCTGTTAATTGAGGTTTATATGCCGAGCCAATGAAGCACAACACTGATGATCTATCAAAGTCATTTTCGGTTTAGCAATTGATTTGGGTATTGCGTCCTAACAGATTGAAACCATATATTCGTGGAAAGTAGAATGTGATGAGGAATATGTATTCAATACAAGATCCATACCTGCAACCAAGCTGCAAGGGACGGTACAAACATCAGAGTTGCAACGAGGTGTAAAACCAACAAACCATGCCTATGATGGAAGAGCTCTAGTTGTGTTTCACTGTAACTTTTTGAAGAGTCTGAGCTGTTAGAACAGCTCTCTTTCAAAGGGGAACCATCAAATGTGAAGGGAAGTTGCTCAGACCCATCACTGTCTCCTTTTTTATAATCAAATACATCATTGTTCCGTGCATGGCTGCGAAATGAAGCCGTCAAAAAACTGTTACAAAAACATGAAGCAACTCTTAGAGTTAGCTGTCACAGAGTTGTAAGTGATGAAAAGCAACGAACGAGTTTGAAGAATTGGGGAAATTATTCTCAGTCGCAAAAATTCAGTTTTACAACATAAAAAAAAGGAAAAAAAAAAAAGAGAATTATAACAGAATCCATCAATTTCATAGTTCATACGCAATACAAATAGTAACAAAAAAGATAAGGAGTTCAGATCAAAGTATACCTAGAAAGTGCATTATGACAGCACAAAGCATCAGAGAAAAGGAGTATGAATAGACCTAAGGCTGGATGAACCAAGCACGCCAAGGTAATTGCAGAAAGTGCCGTAACAAGGGACGGATTGACTCTTAAAACCCTCACCACCTGTTTTATCAACAAAGTAATTTAATGTGTCGACCAAAACTCATGAAGTACGTAATGTAAAAATAGGTAATATATGTACAGACCATAGCTTGGTAAAAACCTAAATACTGTAGTAGCTAGGCAGCTAATCATTACAAAATTTATAGAGAGACTTACATATACCTTTAATGAAGAGAAGCCAGCAGACAGATTGAAAAACCAGTGAATAAACACAGAACAGACATTTCCTTCCCATGATTGCCACCTGTAACACATTAATTTAAATCCTGTCATTCAGCACAATATGTGGAAATTTTACTTGCATTCAGAAGATTGACATATATACTGATATATGCCTCAGATTCCTGGAAACAGGTCAAAAGATTTTACTTTTCACATCCATGATGGGGAAGAAAAGCACACCTAAGACTGTAGAACAATATTTTAGAATGCAACTTAAACATTTAAACGTTTTCAAATGGTATCCGTAACTAGAAGCGAGAAAGAGGATTATTATATGCAAAGGCTGGCATTTAAAAAACAAATCTGATTGATTTCTATCCCATTATCATTGGTAAGTTGGTATAAAAATATCCACTTTTCAATTAAAAGAACATTATCTCAGAATCTACTTGCACATAAAAGATGCTGGTATAAAGAGTTACTAACCTCGTTTTGATGAATATATGTATGACAGCAGCCACATAAAAGACCAGTTGGGATATCAATATCAGAACTATTACAAGCCCATTTGCAAGAAAATAACAAATCAAGGAAACAAAGGTGAAGCTGGCAAACGGTGGAAGTGGTTGAGACATGAAAAAGGAAAGGAACATGGATAGCAAAATGGGTGTAATGCCCAGGTAGAGAAATGGCAGCGGAAATCTCAAATTTGTCTCCACTACTGTCAGCATCGAAGGTATTGGCAGATCAAGATCCCACGCATGTGCTTGCCGCATCAGAGCAAAAAAGATAACAACGACAGAGAAACCAACTATCTGCAGGAAAGAGAGTTTAACCTTATACAAGATCAGCAAACTCTACACTATTAATTTTTTTCTTCTTCACAACCACACTTGGGAAATTAGTAATGGCTTTCCTCTGGTTTATGTTATAAACTAGTAGACAAATAAGTTTATATTCATATAGAAAACCCCTGTTTTAACAAGTAATTATGCGTTTTTAGCTTGCATTTCAAGAAAATGGATAGAGATGTTTGCATGTCATTATTTTCTTTTTATTTAACGCATGACTTACTTGAGAAAAAAAACATGATGGATTACGGAAAAAAACCCCAAAAGAAAAAAAAAATGACGATAAGTTTTGCTTTAGCATAAGCACTTAAAACAAACAACACAAACAAAAAACAAAACAAGACAAATAGGCCAACACTGAGAATACAGACCATGCATCTGCCTCGGCATAGAAACTCACTTGTGGATTATATATGAGAAAAAATCTACTAGCGACTTGTATGAAAGAAACAGAAACGGTAGTTTTGTATGAACAATGTGGATCCACCTGCAAAGAGCAGCAGAATTGCAAAATTTTTAAAACAAATATCTAAAGTCGTAGAATGAAACAAAACACGCACGAAAAAGAAACTCATACCAGCAACAAAACATTTGTCTTCTCGGAACTCGGAGCTGAACTCCAAAGTGCCGGTGAGGAGTCAACAACAATCGTCTCCCTCTGTAAATTTGGAAACACGTGAAGACCTGATATGTAATCCCAAGCGAATGCTATAGGTGGGAAACAACGTAGTTTACAAAGCCCTATAACAGGAAAAATAGAATAAAATAAGAAAATGAAGTGGCAACATATCATGAAAGAAAATCAATGGCATGCATTATTTTAACTTAATCTTTTATATACATTCAAACGAGTATGAAAAATCAAGGAGCCTAGCTTAAAATATAGCTTACAATCAAGCATTTGGGCCTTCTACTACTCTAGTCTCAGATGTGTAAACAACATAGAAACTATCTTAATGTGCAGTATGTGCACATGGCTACATCTTGACCTTGGTCAATATTTTCAGTCTCGGCATACGTAAAAGCCAAAGGATTTTACGATGCTAAAAACAAACTGTGTGCCCGCAGGGGAAACTGTTAGGACACTTTTCAAAGTGATTTTCTGGTCATATGTAATTAAAAGTAACAGAACCAAATCATCTCTGATTCAATTCTTTTACATTTGTGACGTCAAACATCATTTAAGCCTAGCACAGAGCACATGGAGGGACCCAAAATCCATAACAAGGAACAGTAGAAAAAATAACATCAGACTGGCTATTAAAGAAATAAATTATGAAAGTTGTTAGCAGATAAGATCTTTTAGAGATAGGTTGAATAAGTCAAATAGTTATCTTTATTATTTAGTTTATTATTTCCAGTTATTTGGATTAGGAATTATCAATTAGTATTTGAATTTAAATAGGATAGATTATCTTAGAGAAGATAATGGACTCGGTATTCAAGCCCTAGTCTATTTAAGTTAACTTTCTTTTGATTAATAAAGCAAGGCAGATTTATTTAAACTGCGTTCATGGTATCAAAGCCTTGAACTCTGAATATTTCAATGGCAAAAACAGCCATGATGGGGTCCTCACGTGGAGATGATTCCAAATCAGAAAACTCCAATAAAACTCACGCTAATCAATCCGTCACGGCGTTTCAAGGTGGAGACAATAACTCTCTCCAAATTACGGCTCACAAACTCAATGGAAAAAATTATCTTCAATGGTGGCAGGAGAAAATTCGAATACATCATTGGTGAAGCTAAAGCTCCAGCACCGACCGACTCTACATACAAAAAGTGGTTTGCCGAAAACTCTATTGTACACGCATGGCTTATCAACTCCATGGAGCCCATGATCAGCCGCCAATATCTATTTCTTCCTACTGCTAAAGACGTATGGGATACTACAAAAAGAACATATTCCGATCTTGGCAATGCCTCACAGGTTTTCGAAATTCGCACAAAACTGAAGGAGATGAAGCAAGGAACCAAATCGGTTACCGAGTACTTCACCGATCTGCAAGACAATTGGCAGGAATTGGATTTTTTCCTGGAAGAAGATTCGGTTTGTCCTACATGCAATGTAAAGCCGAGACAAACTCTTGAAAAAGAACAGGTATTTGATTTTCTTGCAGGATTGAATCGGGATCTTGATGAAGTCAAGGGCCGTGTTTTAAGCAGAATGCCATTCCCAACAACCGAAGAAGCCTTTGCCGAGGTTCGTAGAGAAGAGAATCGCCGGAAGGTCATGTTGTTAGAGGAAGAAACATCCGGTGGAGCATCAACAGAGGGCTCGGCTCTGGCAATCAGGAATACTGCACAACCAATAAGGAACAACAGTGAGTCTAGAAACCCACGGCGAGGAGAACGAATGTGGTGTGACCATTGTAATCGACAAGGACATACATGTGACACATGCTGGAAAATTCATGGTAAACCCGCAAATTGGGTTCCCCGAAGACAGAATGAAGGACGAGCGCTTCAAACTCAATCAAACCAAGACAAAGGAGAAGAGACAGAAAACCAGAAATCCCTTCCGTTTCGCAAAGAACAGATTGAGCAACTCTGTCGCCTCCTCAACCAATCACCTGCCTCATCCTCGTCAACTCCAAATCCCAGATCCTGTTCTGTAGCCCAGATTGGTAACTTTCACTCATCCTTTAAGTCTACCTTCCACTCTAAGGAACCATGGATCATTGATTCTAGTGCCTCCGACCACATGACAGGTGTCTCTGATTTTTTTCCTCTCTTATACCCCTAGTCATAGTCCTGTTAAAGTAAAAATTGCAAATGGATCCTTATCTTCAGTTGTCGGAATAGGGTCAATTCAAGTATCCAAAGACTTAACACTTGAGTCGGTTCTTCATGTTCCTAACTTAAGATGCAATTTGTTATCCATAAGTAAACTCACTCATGATAATAACTGTGTTGCTATTTTTCACCATTCTAAATGTTATTTTCAGGACCTATCATCGGAGAGGACGATTGGCAATGCTAAAGTTCATAAGGGGCTTTATTACCTCGAGCTCATAAAGAGTGAGAGTCAACAAGCATTTGCATCTGGAGTTTCATCAGTTTCTGTTTCTAATAATAGGGAAATAATGTTGTGGCATCATAGACTTGGCCACCGTAATTTTTTATATATAAAGCATTTATTACCACCCTTATTTAAGAATAAAAGTACCGTTTCTTTTCATTGTGATATTTGTCAATATGCGAAACACACTCAAGTACCATTTTCTCCCAAACCTTATATGCCCTCTAGCCCACTTTCTTTAATTCATAGTGATATCTGGGGACCGTCAAGGATTACCACAACAAATGGAAAAAGATGGTTTGTGACGTTTATTGATGATCACACACGAACAACTTGGGTATACCTTCTTCGAGAGAAATCAGAAACCTGCCAAGTGTTCCGAAATTTCAATAACATGATCCAAACCCAGTTTCAGAAAAAAGTATGTGTATTGAGAACAGATAACGGGAGAGAATACTTTCAGTCTATCTTGGGAGAGTACTTGCTACAACAAGGAATCATTCATCAAAGTTCATGTGTTGATACCCTGCAACAAAACGGAGTATCGGAAAGGAAAAACAGGCACTTATTGGAAGTAGCTCGCGCACTCATGTTTACAACGAATGTTCCCAAATACATATGGGGAGATGCTATCTTAACTGTTGCATTTCTCATAAACCACCTACCTACCCGCACCTTAAAATTCCATTCCCCATTATCCCAGCTCACAAAGACCTATCCACATCTTAAAACCATAAATAACCTTCCGCTCAAGACGTTTGGCTGCACTACTTTTGTCCATATTCATCCCCAAAACCGAACCAAACTTGACCCTCGAGCAATTAAGACTATCTTTCTCAGCTATTCTCCTACCCAGAAAGGATACCGATGCTACTGCCCTAAGCAAAAGAAAATGTTTATCTCACGTGATGTCACCTTCTTCGAAGACATGCCATATTATTCCCCCAATTCGCTTCAGGGGGAGAATCATGATCAAGAAGCTCATATATGGGATTGGGACACCATTGCTCTGCCTATATCCGAAACTCCACCTATGTCTATAACCTCACTGCCCGAGACTGCAACTGAAACAGTTGCAACTACACCCACCACATCCGACCTTACCACTTCCAACATCATACCACCCTCTGAAAAAATGCCACAGCAAACACAAGTACCGGTTCATGAAACAAAAACAGGAAGAGACCTCAGTGAACCAAATCAACAAGTGCTACGTGTTTACTCTCGGAAAAAACATTCCAAGGAAACATGCCCCTCATGAACACCATGCACTGTCCAGAATCCGAACCAATGCTAGGAACTACTTCCTCAGATCCAGGTAATTCCGAAGACACTTGTGAAACGCTAGATATACCAATTGCCCATAGGAAAGGTGTTAGAACATGTACACAACATCCCATATCCAAATTTGTGTCATATGATAATTTGTCTCCATGTTTCCGTGCCTTCACCACAAAGTTGTCTAGTGTCAATATTCCCAGGTCAATAGAAGAAGCTCTAGCTGTTCCTGAATGGAAAAACGCAGTACTTGAAGAGATGCAAGCGCTCGAGAAAAATAACACATGGAGTGTGGTTGAACTACCACAAGGCAAGAGTGTGGTCGGATGCAAATGGGTATTCACTGTCAAATTCAAGCCGGATGGATCAATAGAAAGGTACAAAGCACGGCTCGTTGCAAAAGGTTTTACACAAACCTATGGAATCGATTACATTGAGACATTTGCCCCAGTTGCAAAGTTCAACACAATAAGAGTCCTATCATTAGCAGCAAATCTAGATTGGCCTCTAGTTCAACTTGACGTGAAGAATGCTTTTTTAAATGGTGAATTGGAGGAAGAAGTGTATATGAGCCTACCACCCGGGTTTGAAGAGGGTAAGAGAAACAAGATGGTGTGCAAGCTGAAGAAATCACTATATGGACTAAAACAATCTCTGCGCACATGGTTTGATAGATTTTCAAAGGTGATCAAAAGCCACGGATACTCACAAGGACAAACCGATCACACGTTGTTTGTTAAGCACTCATCAGATGGAAAGATCACAGTCCTAATAGTATATGTAGATGAAATAATACTTACTGGGGACAACTTTGAAGAAATGACGAGAATTAAAAGGTTGATGGCTGAGGAGTTTGAAGTTTAAGATCTCGGTACGCTGAGATATTTCTTGGGCATGGAAGTTGCAAGAAGCAAAAGGGGGATCTCCATATCACAAAGGAAGTATACACTAGACCTATTGCAAGAAACGAGTATGCTAGGGTGCAAACCAATAGAAACTCCAATTGAACAAGGAGGCAAGGCAAAAGCAATTGGTGGAGAGATGGCTAATAGAGAAAGATATCAACGGCTAGTGGGAAAGCTGATATACTTCTCACATACAAGACCGGACATCGCCTTTGCAGTTAGTGTGGTAAACCAACAAATGCATTCACCGCGCCAAGGACACTTCAAAGCTATTTATTGGATATTGAGATATCTCAAAAAGACTCCGGGAAGAGGATTATTTTTTGGAAAAGAAGAAAACAGGAGAGTGGAAATCTTCACCGATGCCGATTGGGCCGGATCTGTCGAAGATAGGAAATCAACATCCGAATATTGCACACGCCTTTGGGGGAACTTGGTGACTTGGCGCAGTAAAAAACAGTCCGTAGTAGCAAGAAGCAGCGCTGAAGCTGAATACAGAGCCATGGCTCATGGCATCTGCAAAGCAATTTGGATGAAACGATTGCTAGAAGAGTTAAAGATCAGGTGTGAGTTTCCTATGCAGCTCTACTGTGATAACAAGGCTACTATCAGCATAGCACACAACCCAGTCCATCATGATAGAACCAAACATGTGGAGGTGGATAGACACTTTATTACTGAAAAGCTAGAGAAGGGAATCATCAACATTGAGTACATTCCTACAGGACAACAAGTTGTGGATATACTCACCAAAGGACTTTCTGGACCAACGTTCGAGTATTTTGTAGGCAAGCTTAGGCTTATTGATATCTACGGCCAAGCTTGAGGGGGAGTGTTAGCAGATAAGATCTTTTAGAGATAGGTTGAATAAGTCAAATAGTTATCTTTATTATTTAGTTTATTATTTCCGGTTATTTGGATTAGGAATTATCATTTAGTATTTGAATTCAAATAGGATAGATTATCTTAGAGAAGATAATGGACTCGGTATTCAAGCCCTAGTCTATTTAAGTTAACTTTCTTTCGATTAATAAAGCAAGGCAAATTTATTTAAACTGCGTTCAAAAGTAGTTTACTTTCAACATCTGCGGCCTCTTCATCTGGAAGTGAATTTTTAATTCCACATCCTGCAGTCTTCAAAGACAAGGAAACAGGAAGAAGGCCTAAGCTAATGCCGAACGATAGATTTAAAGCAAGAGGATGGTCCTCCTTCAAAAACATTTCCTGCATAGCATTAAAGTCATGCAACAGGTAAAACTGAGTCATCTAAGTACAGCTTAAGGTCATAAGGTTTCAAAATTTTACAAATAAGCAGTTCCCCAGAGATAATAACCTTATGAGAATAGGTAGACTGAAGCATCAACCAAGGAGAAATATCCATCACTCCTTCTGGATTGAAAAACTGTCCCACAGCCATGGAAGCAGCTGGTGGAGGTCTGCCTGAAATGGTCTGAGCTCTAGCTTGTCAGCGCTCACGTATAACAAGTAAATCATCTTGATATCATACATAAAAAGAAAGAAAAGTGGTGGTATAGACAAGTAAAAATGAAGGACTCCACATATACCATCAAAAACTAACAAGTGCATAGAGATTGAAGCAGACAACGTGTCAAAATAATTATGTTTCCTAGAAAAATAAACAATATGACCTGACTGAATGAAAAAGGTCATTATTATTATTATTATTATTATTATTATTATTATTATTATTGTTATTATTGTTATTATGTTTCCTAGAAAGATAAAGCATTAGATTATTACAGTAACTGCCAATACGATCAGCTAAAATTTGCGTGATAACATGAAAAGAAAGTAGTATGGCACTCAAACGCTCAAACAGGACGAAAGCCTTTCCCCACAGGAATATTGAAATCAAACGCGGTGCAAACACACATCAATGGGAGAGGAACTCTTCATTGGAGTAATTTCATAGCAACATACCGGACGTGGTGCAACTGAGATGGTTAAGAATCTGAAACCACGCATATCCTCAGGTCTCAACAAAAATATAGCAGAAGGTGGAGGCTGCTCAGTCTGACTGCCTGGTTCAATCTGTAGAGTAGAGATAAAACATGTTAAGCAATAAAGTACACGAACAGTGCACCATAGATGTGTTAATCCATCTAGTCTGATTAGCAACAAGATCTTAAAAATCCAGTTGATGAGACATTGAGAAATCTGCTTAATTTCTAGCAAAGAAAATCACAAGAAAACCAACCAGTTAATAGGCAAGACTCATGGATATAGCATCTAGTACCTGTCTTGGTGCAGGTCCTGATGGAATGTGAACCATTCTTGATGTCACTTCAAGTACTCTTTTACAACTGGGAAAGTCTGAAGCTGACTTTCCCTTTTCAGGCCATAAATGAAGTCTAACACCAGTACATGGATCCAGATTTGTTACAAAGATGAAGTGGCTTTTTCCATTTGATCCCTACAAATGAAGATTACTACATCAGGATTTCTCAGTTAAAGGTTGAAATAAAAATTAATTAAACTATAGTTCTCCCAGATTTTCCTTTTTCTATTTGGCCAGGAACCAAGAGCCATTTGTATAGAAGAGAGCACATGTTGAAAACGACACCAAACATAAGAAGCTTGAAGCAGTTGAGTGGCACAATTTTAAACTTGTTAAGGATCATAAATGGAACATTAATGAAGCTAACCAATTTCTGTATGTCCAACCACCGCCTGCGACCATCCATGGCTAGAATAGTGACAGTGGTCGTATTAATGTAAAGGTCCCTCTCAAGACTATCCTCACTCCAGTGCATATTGCTTGGACAAGAATTTGAAGGGTGCACTATAGATCCTACAACCATGATGATACATCAATAAACATTTGCATAATCTAAAGGTAATGTATGAGACAAGAACACATAAAAAGTTATAAATCTTTAACTGAACAGTGAAAAAGCATATAAATGCTGTCATGCCTATCTAAATATCACTAAATATTTAAATGTCAAAATCAACGACCATCTCTAGCAATATGAAACTGGAAGTAGCCTATATATATGATACAAAATTAAAAAAATAAATAATAAAAAAAATTATCATTTATTGTGGAGATCACTCCATGAAAGGAAAGGTCAATGGTTCAAGGTGTTTCTGCATGAGTAACCTTTGTAGGAATTGACGTGCTATCGATATTCCAGATATTTTCTTTAAAGAAAATAAATGCTGTCCTCTAGATGAACAGACATTATGGTACAATTAAACTAAACATGGAAATTAATAGTGATGTTCAACTATACCATCTGAATTTTTTACATCCTTTGAGGCAGCAGAGTAGCGTGATTGTGTCATCCAATTGAAACTGTAGGGTATAGCACTGCGCAGCATTCTAGAGAATATTGATACTCTTCTTCTAGTGTCAGCAAATGGTTGGCTTGTTCTCGAGTCTATCAAACTAAGTAAAGTGTGTGAGACCTATACAAGAAAATACAGATTAGAATCGTCTAAATCAACTGCACATTTGGATTCTTAAAGAGAATTTCACTCACTTGGACAACTAGTTGATTACACCATAAAATCGCCTGATGTTCCATTGACAACCAGACATTTTTCATGCCTGTACTACTGATCATAAGACCATGGGTAGGAGGCACAATACCATCAAGAGACTCCAATTTCGACCTTACCTGAAAAAGAAAACAAGTTAACCTTCTTCCTAGCCAAGTTACAAAGCAGAGTTCATGACTCATAATATCCATAGAAAGTGGAAAATGGAAAATTAGAAATATATTTCATTCTCATATGCTAAAAAATATTCAAAAATAAAAATAAAAATAAAAAGAACGTGTTTTGTGATCATCTGAAACTATTTTTGAATAATAGACCAATAAAATGCTAATTTTAGCCACGGTCAAGACTAAATCGGACTGTTGGGCTGAAAAATTCCAAAGTTATAGGTGCCTATAATTCTTGAAAGCAATGTTTAATGCCACATAGATGAAAGATGCAGACAAGATAAACAAATAGAGCATGCCATATTTCAAACATGTACAAATACAAATGTAATGTATCTTCATTCAAAACAAAAGATGCGTCACTCTATTAGTCTAACCCCTTTTAGTAAAACAATATTAGTGAATCAATGCCCAATAGAAAAGGAAGCAAAAACATAATTACCTGATAATCATTATAACCACCGCTAATTGATATAACAACCACACGAGAAAGTACAGGATCAGATGCATAATGTCCTCCTCGAGTTGTCTGGACCTCATATCCCTTTCTCCATTCATTATTTACACGTGCAAAGTAATAACCCAATGAAGGCTGCAATGCCAGAGGAGGTGATCTGAATAAAGTAGGTGAATCCCATTAAACACCATTTAAGGCATCTAATTGTGAAAGTAAAGCAGAGTACAAAAACTACTAAAAACTCACTGGTGAGGACTTGAAAGTGTGAGAACAGTTTCAACTGCCGATTTCCTCAAACGAGGATGGATAATTGCAGCTCTAGCGACAAACCCACCCATAGAATGACCAACTAATATCACACTTTTTGGCAAAGAACCAGAGGCTGCAACACCTTCTTTTTCTCTAGCATCAAAAGATTCTTTGTACTGGTCTAATATCTAAACCATGGTAACACAAAATATATGTCACTCAATTGACCCACCATAACTTGGTTAAGGCTATATAATGGTAAGGCATAATAAAAAATGAAATAAACTAAAAAAAAGTGATTTGCACAAGTACAATGCAAAGACTGAAACTTTAACTCAAACAAGTTTATTTATGAAAAATAAAGACACTATTACTGAACTCAATTCCCTTGAAGACTAATATATGGAATTAAATTTGTCGTTTCTATAACCTTCTAAACTTTCTTGCAATGCATTACCAAGTGACGCCAGTGAGGAAGGGAAAAAAACTGATCTCGATGGAAATATTGCAAAAGGACAAAGGCAAGGCCCATACCCGGTGAATGGCATACACAACGTACTCTGTATGTTCTTCAAGTATACCACCATCCATAGCAGAATGCTCTCCTTCAAGATCAACGGCAAACCAATCCAACTGCCTTGTATACTGGTTAGGTAACTGAAAGCCAGCTACATCTGCATCTACACCTCCCTCTTCACGAGTTAAGGAAGCTTCATGATAAAATGCACGCTCCAACGGACCTCCTTGATACGCCCTGTCCGATTCAGCGGCCAAAGATCGTACCTACAATGACAGCAGAAGATCCAAAGGCAATCATAAACATGAGCACTAAACATATTCTAAACAATTGAGTTCTTGAACCAACCGAATTCAATTCGACAGAAATGAATAAAGAAGACCTGCCTGTTTGAAGCTACCGCCATTACCCGGAATGAAAAGCACCGGAACCCCATTAAGCTGCTTAAGATGCTCCTTAAAATCAATCTTTTTCCAGCCCTCATGGTACAAATACAGCCCATACTTTGCAGAGGAAACGCCTTCGGTTGTGGATATCGGTATATACGTGGGATACATGTAGGTCATAACACAGCCATTCGAAATGGGTTTTAACAGACCATACAAAGCTGCCAGACCAATCCATATGGCCAATATCACAACAGCCGTTACTCCACATTTGGCTCTAAAACCTTGCATTCTTCCAACAATTCTCTTACTCCACGACTTCTATCTATATCAGATTTGCTTAGATTTTCCTCATTCACCGAAAATGTCGCCTCTGCATATAAATAAATAAACAAACAACTCATAAGTCGACATTGAAATGCGATTAAGACCAATTAAACATGTTTAGTTATACTATTAATAGGCCATAATCTCAATTTCGATTCAAATCATGAAAAAAAACCACTTTTCGAAGTCCTTTTCAAGTGTCACAATAAACTAAAAGCAATAAAAAGTGAGAGATTACGTAATGGTAATGATCTTTTCTACTTTTTTCCATATCAAACTAAAGATTCTGAAAAACTGACCAAAATCAATCTTTAGAAGCAATATAAAAGTCGAAAAGAGGAATTTACTTCCTCGAAAACGCAACGCAAAGCAGCTTTAGACTTAGAGCAAGAGTTGAAATGGAATTGAGCTAGGAAAGTGCGAAATAGGTACTGGAAATGGAGAAGATGCTTAAATGGAATGGAAATCAGTGGCGTAGAAGCTGAATTGAAGCTTGGAAAGACATGTGCGTTGCAGAAATAGGAAGCAGAGTGAATGATTTGAAGTGGAAGGTAACGAAAAGTAGATCTGCAAAAATTTGAAGAAGAAGAAGAAGAAGAAGAAGAAGAAGAAAGGGACTAAGGAGGTTACCAGATCGGGAATCGGACATGCACCGGAACATTAGCCGATATATAAATCTATCTATCTCGATAAAGCCGCAGAGTTTTTTTTTAAACTCGGACTAGAGCAGTAGTACCGTAGCAGACGGAATGGCATCGATCCGGAATCTGGGACGACCCGTGAGCAAGGAAATAGTACAGTACTACGGCTCTGTACGAGTCGGGTCCTGAGAATTTCTTTTGTTTTTTATTTAGGTAATTGACACGACAGTTTAGTTCCGTTCATTTTATTAATTAAAATTAAAATTAAAATTTTATTATAATAAAAAAATTTTAAAAACAGTTATATTTAATTTTTATTATAATAAAAAATTTTCACATAAAATTTCATCTCAATTCAAATTAAAAACTTAAATTAACGAATTAAATAGATCTTTTATTTTTTTAATTTTAATAAAATAATAATCAACTTTATTAAATTGGTGCAATTAAAGTTTTTTTTGTCCAATTTTATCAAATTTTTAACAAAATTTTTGACGAGACGATCATGTGCATCTCTTTTTTTATGAAAATGTAAAAATGCCTTCATATCTCACAAGAACCAACTAAATTTTTTTTTTAAAACAAAAATAAAAACCAACTTCTTTATTTGTATGATCCAACTCCTAACTCTAACAAGAGCTACCGCCTCCATATTTATCGGTGCCGCCGCAAGCCCAACCTAGTGTCGAACTAAGCCTTAATACCGCCTCCAGCTTCCTACCACCCCTCTCTTTTGGAGTCAAATTGGAGATTCACCACGAATCGCGGCATTGAGGTTTCAATTAGGGTTTTCAATTTATGAGTCTTCTCTGAGTTATTCTTTGTTTTCCTCTTTTCCACCCTTCGTCCGATTCCCTAACCAAAAAAAAAACCCCCTCTGCAATTCCAACGATCAAAGATTTAACTATGACAAGTAAGGCCAAGCCGAATAAGCACACGGCTAAGGAGATCGCCGCCAAGATCGACAAGTTCGTCTGAATGTTATCGTATTGATGGAAACCTACATATGGTTTTGTTGGGGTTTTCTCTGTTGTTTGGAGAAGTGTCTGGAGAAAAAAAAAGTCGGTCCTTTGTTGCTTCTCGTCTCTTGTTTAGGTGGTACTTGATAATGATGATGATGTATATTACTGATTATGCCTCCGTGTTGGTTATAAAGATGACGAGGAGATAAATATATATGATGTGTTTGGTGGCTTTTTTTTTTTGTTTTTTGCCCCATAAATGGATCCGGTTTAATTCTGCTTTTCTCGTGTATAAAGTTATTTTTTTTTTAATTTTTCAGAATTTGATTTGTTGTTCTTTTTTTTAACTGATCTAATTTTTTATATTGATTATATTGAAAAGGATTTTGATTTCACTTAAATACCCTTTTAAATTAGGTCACATGTTATGTACATTATACAATATGTTAAGAATTTGACAAAAATGATTTAATTGCATTAATTTAATGACGTTGGGAATTATTTTATTAAAATTAAAAAAATAAAGACTAAGGGCGTGTTCGTTTCATGGGTTTGGTTCGATCCAGCCCAATTTGAGTCAGCCCAATAACTCAAATCAGTGTTCATTACACAATCGTATCAACTCTAACTCGAATTGTGATCCGAGTTGAGAGGGCAGATTGAAATTCAATGGAGGCTTGAATTCCATTAACTCAAACATGTCTCTACAGTGATTTCTGCTCTGCACAACTCGGCCAAAAGCCTGTGGATTCCCTCGTGCCTTACTGTTGGCGTGTTTTTTTCTCTCCTCTTCCCAACGAAAGCTCTGTCGTTTCCCATCATCCACAGAGATGGAAAATTGCAGATCTCTCTAGCGTGATTCCACCCCCATGACTTCGAACCTGGCTCTACTGTAAAATCTGCTCTGCACAACTCATCAGGCAAACGCCTGTGGGATTCCCTCGCGCCTTACCGTTGTGTTTTTTGTCCTCTTTCCACCGAAAGCTCTCTCTGTCGTTTTCCATCATCCACATCGATGGAAAATTGCAGATAAAGCTCTCGACCCTTACGTGGTGAACTTTGACCCTTATATTCGTTTATGCATGTGGGTAGAACCTTTTCAACCCTCTTCTTCACTTCCCCCAAAACGGATGAACTATGTGGAAAAATTTGCAATCGGAAAGCTCCGTTGGCGGTTGTTTTGAGCAGATGTGTCCGTAACTGGCGACCTCCAACCCTAAATCGCCGTCATCGGTGGAGAATTTCAAGGTACCGCTGTCGGCGACGAAGAAATTGGGGTATTCCGAGCTCATCTAGATTGGGGTTCTTGGTGGAGGCGCACACACGTTCATCCATTGGGTCCAATTCGGTAAGTTCTCTCACCTTTTCCTTTCAATGTTTTATCTGTTCATGGATGTGAGAATCAGCCATGTACAGTTCTGCTTTCTATATTCTTTCTCGATATCACAAGAGCTCATCAATGATTTTCACAGTTCTGGTTTCCACATGCAATTTTTTTGCTGTTCTGAATGCTTTTGATTGCTTACCACATGTTTGAGAAAATACCACAAAGGAACAATGGACTGAATTGCTTGTTTATTTTAGATTTTTTGTTTGCTCAGCGCATTGCTATAGGCTGCTAGTATTCGGCATGTGGACTGAATCTATATATATATATATATATACCATTGACAATGGTGTCTTTTTCATGATACCATTGACAATGGGTCATATAAGTGGGGTTTATTATTGATGTCTCTCATATAGCCAAATATTAGAGAACTTAGTGGCTGAATGTTGCCATTCGAGGCTGAATGTTGCTAATTATCCTATCATTCTTTGCATGTCCATCTGCAAAAGCATGCAGTTTGACATGCTCTGTAAATTGACACTATCCGTGGATACAAATAAAGTCAGTTAAGTCTATATACTTCAACAAGAAAAATGAAAATCAAGTCATATACCACATGATTACTTTTGCAATTGGACATTTAAATTGTCTGATTTAGGCATAGGAATGAAACTAGGACTGAAATGTTATGGGTGTTTTTAATTAATAGTTCGTGTAATTGAGATGGGAGATGCATAGGAAACCAAATTTAACTTGTTTAGATAATTAAAACTTAAAAGCTTGCCGTAGCTAGCTAGGTAGCTAGTTGAAGATGTAGCTAGCATCTTGCATAATGCAAAGACATCAAGTGGTTTGAAAAGGAGAGGCTAGGGAAGTCACATTGTTGTTCATCGTCAAAATTAATAGAGGCTACAACAGCAGCAGCTGAATTCACAGAATCTACCAATCTCGGCAGCCACACACCATCCCTGATTTGCTTCAATGTCTTTGTATGCTTCAAGTTCTGCCCCATGCACCATATATCAATCTGTCCTTTCCCGTAAAAAGAAAATAACAATTAAGAATTCATTGCTAGCTATTGTATGTCATACTAATCTGATTTGAGTATTCATGTGGTTTCTTAAACGATTGTCCACTTATTTATTTTGCAAGCTGTGACACTAGCAAAAAAAAAAAAAAAAACTAGAGAGAGAGATATAGAACTTGGGTATCTTGATAAGCTTTTCTCTTTTATTGAGAATACCAAAGCGAATGATTAATATGCTGTGAAAAATTATTATAAGGTCTTGAAAACTTGAATCTGCAAGTTGTGATAACTTGATTACAGTCTTACCATTCTATACTTGTAGGCTTATGTGATTAATTCTCATTTTAAATTCTCATCTCATGTTTCTAATGCACTTTTTGTCTCCCGTTTATATAAATATACTACACCTAATACTTGGATGAGAATATCAGCTCTTCTTCTTCTTCTTGGCCGGATTATTGACAATGATGAATCATTTTTTTAATGCATATCAGTTTCGTTGTAGCGCTATCCTTTCGGTATTTAGGCATTTATTAGTTGCCACTTTATTTATGCGGGCTATGATAGATTGAACCATGCCCTAAGTGTAGTGCTCTGAAACTGCTAAAGGGAATGTGATCCCTTACCTGTATCAGCATGATGATAGATTTATGACCCAATACTTTCAAGATGGGGTTCCGGTAAGTGAAATTGACCCTCAAAATGCGGAACAAGATGTAAATCAAAATCACAACCCAGATCGGGCAACAGTTGGACCAACGATCACAACGAATCCTAGACAGATGATTCTCCTAAGGGATGAAATGGCAAGGTCCATGTGGCAAACCCAACGAGGGAACAACAATCCATCGTTCACCATGTTTGACACTGTGTACAATGAGCCATCTGAGGCAATGTCTATTTTCACATTTTTTTCCTATTTTCAGAATTTTTTTTTATTGTGACAGGGAATTTCCTCCTTCATTAATTAGTTACATGTATTAACCTATGAATATGACATTTTCAAAAAATTAGTAACAAGGAATGTTCTTCATTAATTATTTTTTTCTCTTGATTTTATCATATAGATGGATGAAAATTGAGATGGTAGTTGGAATAATGAATCTATGAAATGAACACATCACAGCTCGAATTGTGGGTCAAAGTTGTAGCTCAAATGGACTCCTAAATACTAACTCCAATTCTAATTACAATTCAAATCAAGATTCTAACTCTAACCATAACTTTAACTCAAATTGTAAAACTTTGATTGGTGAAATGAACACACCCTAATGTCAATGAACGGTGTAGATGTCTCTGATTTTATTATCTGATCGAGGATTGAGTACTGTGTGGGGTTGGGCAGTGAAAGATACTTGACGTGGCAACTGATTATTCGGCAAAGAAAAAAGTAGTTTTTTTAATAAAAAAAAAAAAGCTTTACCGGTCAAAGTTTTATTAAATTGACAATTATATTTTCTTTTAATTATGTTGTATTTTGGTGTTGAAAAACACAATATCTGTTCAAATTTCTCACTATAAAATTCAACGTTCATATTCTACTTTTATTTTTTTTATTATTACTAATATTATTTATTTGCTCACGTTGCTTGGAACCAGTGAAAGTGAACCAATCTTGTCTCTACTTTGACGTGTATTTGATCCAAATAAAATGTGACAGTAACGTATATCTGAATAAACCATTAACAGAAAATTTCGAGTTTGATCTCTATTTGGGAAAAATTGTAATTTAATAATAGTATGAGAATTCTCATTGAATTGAACTGTATTCATAAGAAATAGTACAGTGTAATAGACAAGAAAAAATGGAATAACAACATCCGGAGTTACTAAGCAAGATGTGGAAAGCATCACAAAGGCTCACCTAAATCCTACACTCAGTAGAGGGCAAGTTCTCTATCTTACAAAAAGAACAGAAAATACAACGGGAGGTAGACAATAAAAGAGCTTGAGAAGGCTAAACCGCTTTTCCAAACCAAATATATTTAAGACCCTGTAATGGCAGCTGACCAGAGCTCTTTTGAGCGGCTGAAGAACACACAAGTCGCTGTTTCTCGTTCTCCTGCGAAAACATCATCTGCATTTTTTACCGATATCATGCTCAGTATGAGAATTCATGGCCTCTCAGTGAGATGTATTTCTTGACCCAGATAGAAATGTCCTCAGCACAGGCCTGCGCCTGAGGGGTCTTGAGAAGCATGTCAAGTGTTGCAAACTCATGAACCGCGTCCTTATATTCTAGGACCGGTGCATCAACATTAACCTTCCGAAGCTCCTCTGAGTAAGCGATAGCTCGATCTCTCATCCAGTCGTGTTCTGCGACGACTGTTAGGGTTGGCGGCATGAGCTTTAAAGGTGGCCCTCTATCTGGGATGAGAGGGTTGGCGGCTGGGTGATCCAGGCTAAACTCTTCCTCGGGTAGGAACAGTTTCCACGCGAGCGTACACACTGCCTTGTCATAGAAATAGGAGTTTGCAAGCTTTATCTCAGAATGTGTAGGGACACTTCCGATGAAGAACGGGTACATCAGGACCTGTGCTACAACATTCACAGGATCCAAAAGCCTGCCTGCCTCAACAGCTTTCCGAGCCACATAATCTGCAATGTTAGCACCACAGCTCACTCCAAGGAGAACGCATCTGTTTTATTTGTAGCAAAACAAGTTAAGAATAAAGTCTACATGACCTTCACGTTAAAGACAACAAGCAGTAAAAGACAAAAAGCAATCAGACGAATTCACAACTAAAGTTTTTAAAATTTAGAGAACTAATTTTCCTTACTAATTCTTTAAACTATGACTATACCTAAGGCTGGCTGTAGGCCAGGTCTATGAGGAAATCATTAGCATTTACTTCAACTTAAACTTGACTCTTCCTGAGAGGAATCTCTGAAACCAATCATCAAAGTTTGCATCTGATTAATGGAATTCATGGATCACAATTCACAGGGGATTAATTGATTGCTTTTGGCGGATTGCTTACTACTAGATTGGATCGGATGTCAACCTATGGAGGCTCCATTTGTTCCTATTGGACAAATTTCTCCTTTTGTTTTCTTCTTGTTCTTTGCCATAACGTCCATTCCGATTCAGTGAAAACTTATAACGCCAAGGCATTTACAAGTCAGGACAGGCGCGATTAAGAACATGATGCTGCTGTATCCAACAAGAGACAACTTAAATACAGAGGGTAATAGCAAAGGGCTTAATGAAGTGAAAGGCATAAAAAATCTAAAAACTTAGACCAAAACGGTAACTTTTATCTCTAGAAGAAATTTGAAGTTAACAACTTTTCCTCCTATGAGGAGAGTCTGTGCAAGCACACACAAAAAATGATGAAGCAGGCTATCCATTCGAACTCGACACAACCATATAGACATTCTATTGAGCTTTGTAATAAAGTATCGATATCGATGTCTACTGATAACTAATGCCCCATAATCTACATTTATAAGCTAATTTGAACAATGCCGACACTCAGATGCAACAATCCATATTTTAGCAAACTACTTCTAGATATGCTAGAGATCGAAAATAAATTCTTCCGCTTTATCGAAGCAATCCACAATTTGAAAAGTAATATAAGATTAGAAAAGTAAACATACCAGAGATCAGATTAGAAATTAAACTATATAACAGAAGGTAAATGGATAACCTTGATGGATCTCCATGGGCGGCCAACCACGGCTCAACCATGGACGCACCGAACGTGTCGACGATATGCCGGTTAACGTCCGACTTCTTGAACTCTGCACTTCCGCCGCTGCTCCGGACACTCCCCATCGATTTACTACATTCCGCCAAATTCGCCTGCTTCCCGAGCCAATTCAACACCTTCAGCCCATCCTCAAACGCCGCCGGATACCGATTCTCCGGCGCAAGGCGGTACCCGACCGCCACAACAACAACGTCGCAGAGCTTCGCGATCCGCCGGCAGAAGAAATCATTGGCCGCCGAGTCGTTGCTCCCGCTCACCCATCCCCCGCCGTGGAACTGCAGCATCACCGGCAATTTCCGGCAATTCTCCCCCGACGGCGAGTAGCCTCGGTAAACTCCGCCGCCCTCGACGATGTCGTTGCTGCATCCATAGCTGTTCCTCCTCGGCTCCCTCTTTACCTCCTCCGACGGCGGTGGCAATCCGAAATTGCCATAGCTGTTGCGGCGAGAAGGATAGGAGTAGCTGGGCGGTGAATGTGAAGAATCGAGATCGGATCGTTTGGGGCCGGAAGCCCTAGCCCTAGGCCCGGGAGGGGGTTTGGAATCGGGGTCGGGCGGGGTGAGGGAGGACTCCGGGAGGAAGATTCGGATGGAGAGGGAGGTGAAGGAGTCGATATGGATGTCCTTGGTGGCGACCCCGTCGGTGAAGAGAGGATTAGCGGCGGCGACTGTTTCTTCTGGTCGTGAGGTGATTCCGAACGGATTGGAATCGTCGGGTCGGGCCTGGATCCGGTTCTGCAAACGGTGCTTCAAGAGGAACTTGAAGAGCACGCTATAGAGCTTCACAGCTACACTTGGCATTTCTCTTCCTCTTCCTTTTTCCGAAAACACAGAATTGCAGAGACCGGGATTAGATTACATTCATGGGTAATCAGAATTTAATCCCGATTTTACCAGGAAATGAATCACATCGGATTAGGGCTTTTGGAGATCGGGAGATTTGCAACTAATCTTAAATCCACCTTCAAGCAATGGCGTAACACAGAAAGAGAGAGAGAGAGAGAGGGCTCCGGTTTGGCCTACAGGCTACATGCAATGATGCAAGCAAGCCTTCCGCTGTTGTTTTTGGCATATTTCAAAAAAAAAAAATCTTTTTTTTAATTTTGTAATTTATCTCCCAGAAAAATAATTTCATTTTTTATTAATAATGTACAGTTCTTTCCTTGCCCTTTACTATTTTGTATTTAAACTTATTTATTTAAATAATGGAAATAACAGATTTTGCTGTAATTTAATAATTGTATCCCTAAAAATTATTCTTTCGCAATTAAATTCTTGAATTGGTCACAAAAGATTTTGAAATTAATAACGATTGGAAATGATTAGCTTTGTTTTGCAAAATTCAAGGACCAAATCGCCAACAAAGAAGTCTTAGAGACGAAAGTGCTAAATCGCAAATAATTCAAGGGCAAAAGTGCATAAATACCTTGTCTTATGTAAGGAAGAAAATATCAATATTTATGAAAATATCGGTACTTAAATTTTATGAAAATATATGTAGAAATTGATGTAAGAAACAGAAATTTATGCTAAAACACGTTATTTTCATGTGGGACTTTAAAAATTTTAAAATAGATAATAATAATAATTTATTAATTAGACGAAATTCTCAATCAAAATACTAATTATTTGATAAATATATAAGGTAAAGTGTTATCATAATACCATAGATACAAAGCACACGTTCACAAATTAAGTAAAATAGCTGAAAGTCAACATAATTAATATACCATACATATATAGTTTCATACATATATAATGATAAATTATCAATACCAAAAGGAGTTTCTAGAAGGTTGGAATGTATTTTAAACGCATTTTTAGTTTAAACAATATTGATACCAAGACGTAGAGTTTGAATAGTTCCTCACATAATTTTAGACGTGCTATATTTTTTAAATTTGTTTAAAAGTAAAATAAAATATATCTATATATATAATTGCATAAATTTATGTGAAAATTTATTGATATTTTCACGAAATATTCGGTCATTTAACATTACGTTTTATTTAAAAATAAAAATTTCTATAAAAATATCAATATTCATAAAAATTCCAAAATATTCTAAAAAAAAAATAATACACCTCTATTTCGATATCAGCACTTCTAAAATACAGAAATTTTTGCAGAAGTATCAATAAAAATGTTGATATTTTCGTCTTTTGCTCTTATGCCATTTACTGAATTATTTTTTGAATTGCGCTTTTCAGGATCATGTTTGGGATGACCTGAATCTGTTTGTGCCAGGTATGAATTATGGTGAGTCGGTGACATACGGGAGCTATAATCCTGTGTGACGCAGTTCATGACAAATCTATAAGAAGTGATAGTTTTGGAGGCTTTAAGAAGAAAGTTGTGGCGGGTGGGGTATGCTACGGTGTAGATGATTAGTAGGCGGTTGTCTCTTTTTGGGAAATGGAAATGGTAAATCAAAGCCCAATAATGCTTTTGCATACCAAAGTCATGAAAATGTGTTCTTGCTTTTGTTTCTTGTCAATGTCATAACTCTGTTTCATGCTTAATCCTGTCAACTGACTACTGCTACAAAAGAACATTTAATTCATGAATTAAAATTATGAGATTAAAAATATTTTTAATTTACGTATATTTTTTATAAAAAAAATATTATAACAAATAATGAATTATAATTTAAATTGAGGTATAAATTTCTCAACTAAATAACCCTGAAGTCATCGTTAAATTTAATCAAAAATTACCTTACATTAAAAAAATAGTAGACCGACCTATCAACCAAGTCACCACCGTTAAATTTAATCAAAAATTACATTACATTAAAAAAAATATTCATAATAAATAATTTTTAATATAAATTAAACAGTTAAAAAATATAAAATTATTAATAATTTATTTTTGTCAGTCTCATTAAAGAAGTCTCTTTTTTTTTTTTTTGCTAGTTATAAGACCATTTCTCTTTGATAAATAGATTGTAATCATGAGTTCGGGAAAAAAAAAATAACCAATCACTTTGATTAAAAAGAACTACTGTCTTATCCTATATTAAATAAATATTATTTGGCACTTTTTGAAATATTAGCGTACATTTTCTTTTAGATGTTCCCATGAGAGGGCCAATAATGATAAAGTATGCTTTGTTACTAGGGACAAATTAGTGATAAAAAAAATGTATACTTTTTTGTTCAATGAATTCTACACACGTTAATTAGATTATCTTATACCAAGTCACTCTTTGAGTCTCATCACTTTCCAACTATAAATTATAACTATCTTATCTTTTTGCCCTTTTTCTCATTTCGTCAGTATTTGTGGGGAAATATGCTCTCATTGGTTGGAATGTCGAACACTCATAGAATATGCGTGCAAGTTAAGGAGTTTATGGGGAAGTCAATTTTATAGGCTGATCGCTTAATCCTCATCGTTTCAGCTGCCGATAGGCCAAAAATAAGTTGAAATGACAATTCTGCACCCTGGTGGTTAAATCTTATCAACAACCGTCCTCTGCCTCAGGTAACTTTCTCTCTTTTGGGGTCATTATAAAAATGACGTATTAGTAACATGTTTCAATCTCTCGATCTATGCTTTTTGTTTCTAAACGTTAAATCTGATCAAAATCAAATCAAAATGAAAGAACAGAAAAAAAGTGTGTGTGCAGACTTGACACAATATAATTCACATCAACCCTTAAATCTTTGATGTTAAAACATTCATCAATCATGCAGAAAACTTGTTATGGGAAATCTTATAATGCTTTGACTGGAGGAAAAAGTTGAAATGGGAGTGTTTTTCCATTTGGATTGTCAGAGGAGGGAAGAAGAGCATTGTTGTCTTTCATGCAATAACTATTCAAGAAGTATGAGTGATATCACCTTATTTTTTATGTCAAGCTAAAAGAAACTTGAATGTGAAGAAGATGCCATAATATCGCAATCAACTTGATTAATATTTGTCACCGAAACGAAAGGGAACGAGTTAAAACACAACAAACACATGAATGCATTGGACGCGTATGCGCCAACATGGCAATGCTGTCATTGATAGAAATCTTTAATCAGAGACTACAACATTGTTATTCGAAGACAATTTTCAGTCATCACGTGTTTTATGAAATATTATGGGAAGCAATTCCATGATGTCAGGACCTATGCAGACATTTTATTTAAGAAAACCATCTCTAACATCATAAATGAAATGCTTTGATATTGCTCAAGAACACCACTGCCAAAACTATCTCTAACATCACAAATGAAATGCTTGGTATATTGTTCACAAACATCACTGACCGAGTGACCAGCTCACCAATGTCAGACACAGCTCAGAAAAATGGAGTGAACCCCCACATGTGGGCTAAGTTGACCTGGGCATAATTGAGCTGAATGAAACTTTTTTTTTTTTTTCACTATGGAGAATTTTGTGGTAAGAAACAAAAAAATAAAAATAAAAAAAGTAAAGATTTGAAACAAATTATGGCAACTGATTTGCAGAACTTACTAATCCATAGTGTGGTGAACCAAAAAAGCAATTTATGCCACATTCTAACGTTCCTCCACTGGAAATCCTTATAGAGACGATTCACAAAAGAAACAAAGTTTCATGATACATACAAGTAATTAAAGACTGACCATACCTCCGTCAAACCAAATTCATAAGTGTAAGCACCATCATGTCAAAAGTCGGATCTTTTTTTTTTTTTTTTTTCTCTTTTTGGTTACCTCTAGAAACATGAATGGTAAAAGGAGCCAACTATACTAACCAGATCTTCGAATCGGACAGCCTGCTCAAATACCCCTTCGTTCTATTCGAAAGAATCAAATATATACAATCCAGTACATGATCAAGATGGGGCTGCGTGTGCCCAAACAGTGGCATATCCTTCAATCCATGACTTGATCACCTGAGAAACCAAAATATGGAGGGTCAGCAACCAAGCAAACCAAATAAGAACTAGCTTAACATCTCATGCGCTGTCAGGTAGCATATTCATACCAATTGCAGCACATGAATTTGCTGTCAGATGGGAATCTCCAGCATCCTACCCAGAAGGTGCACGTGCGATTATTTTGGAGGAGACGAGCACTGGTTCGTTACTAGCAGCTTTCTTTGCAGCAATCTCTTCCAAGCGTTTCCACGTCATTTCACGTTTCGCGTTAATCTCCTTCTCTTGTGCTTCATCTTCCTGAAACTTGAGCAAGCACTCCTCGAAAAGCTCGGGATCTACATCAGAGAATATCTTGCGGACGTTCAATGTCAGGCTATGTACAGCCTGGTTCCAGTGACTTCTGGTATTTCTCTCCAATGCAGGGAAAATAATTGGCAGAATAACTTTGCGGTTCTGTTTTATCAGGTTCTCAATGTGATCATTGTTCCACAAGAACAAAGCTCTCTCTGCCACCTACAAATTAAGGAATTAACTCCCACCACCTTCAATTTAAAACGTATTTTGAGAATTAACATTTAACAGTAAACATGAGATTCAACGAGGATGTTGAATTCTCAGATAAGCACAAAAGACCAAGGATAAGTAAGTCGAGCCGTTTACATCCAGATCATAAATGTTTAAAATACATATTGTGCAAGGATACAATTGCTTTTGCTAATCTGAATTGAAGGGTAAACAAAACAAGTCCAATTCCAGCATGATATCCATAGTTAGTGCAGTTAATATCACTATTTTGGTTTTTCTTTCACTACTGATTTTATACAGTTGAGTGAAACTTCTTCAAAGCAGTTTCCTTATAGAGTCTACAAAACTAAATTTACACACACTTTCTTTGAAATTCAAAAAGCTCTACTATTTTTCACCAAAACCATGACGCTGCAGACTGCAGTTGTAAAAGTGCAACTAAACTAGTCAGACAGAGGCTTCAAGATTTTCCACCATGGAGATGGGAAATTATCACAAAATCAAATAAGAGAGGAAAATAGCAAGTAAAAAGCTGATGAAAAAACTGACAAAATTACCCACCTGAAAATGAGAACTGCTCAAGCAACGAGCAATCTGGCGAAACAAAGGTACCATACAGCGCTGAAATTCTGCAGGCTGAGTTGCTTCTAGAACTTCCTCCAGCTCACCTAAGAACATGACCTCCTTCGAACTATTCGTAATGGGCCAATATTTTAGTAGACCCCGAATGATTGTATCAGCAAGTTTGCAGTCTTTCTCCACAAATTGTGTGATGCAGTAAGATAACTGCTGGTGGTACATTGGTATGCATTTTGGCTTATGAAGAGGTATAAGAGCCCGAACAAGAAAGAGCTTATGTTCTTCTTTCAATGGCAGAGCAAATCCATTGATGATACTTCCCAAAATCTCTAATAGCTCAGCAATCCCATTGTGCTTCTCAGTCTCAAAAATAAAACGATAAAAGATATAGTTGATTGCTTTTCTGATAAATGGTCTGTGCACCATAAATTTTCCATAGATGCGGTGAAGAACAGTTTTCAAGTAATCCCTCTCTCTGGGGTCCTCTGAATCGAAAAGATCTAACAACTTGAGAACAAAAGAGTGGTCAATGTACCTCTTAGCCAACTTCGCATCTGTCTCGGGGGAGGCCACAAATCTCAGAAAGAATTCATACACAACTTGCAAGTGTGGCCAAGCAGGGTCCATTGAAGGCTCCTCATCTTCGACGTCAAAGGTTTCTAGAGCTTTGTTTTCACGGGGCGGAGAAGTAAGTGTTCTGAACAAATTTGCAGACACCATTTTCACTATTTCTTGCAAGACAGCTTCCGGGAATTTCCCATTTGCAGAGGCAATGTAGTCCACGAGCTCAACCAGGGTCTGCCGCTTGATGTCCTTCTCTTTGAGGTTCTTTACCGGATCGGTGAAGTCGAACAAGACGCAACATAAGTTCAGCTTTTTGATAAATAAGTTCTGCTTCTCCGAATTCGGGACATCTCTAAAACTAGGCAATGCCTCATACGAAGAAGCCAGTGTGTTCCCATTAAGCTTTGAGTTCACAGCCTGGTTAAGCTTATTCCCATAATTAACTCCTAAACTTGAAGTGGAATTAAGACCCGATAGAGATGGCCCACCCGGGTTCCCATGTCTGTTGCTCGCTAAATCACCACTTCTTGAATTGTTGTTGGCATTTGAAGAAGAGGTTGAGGTTCCTCCTCCTTCACGATTTTCAGCCGACTTAGAGGGCTTCTTTGGGAGCTTGTTAAGTAGCTGTTTGATCATAACTTAAAACTGACAAAGAAAAGGAATCTCCTTCTTCTCCTAATAATCCACTACTTACCCAAAGAAACTTCTTCTAAAGCATCAATGATAGACCAAAATCCAGACTCATTAAACAAAGCCCATGTTAGCTTAGCAGATTGTTAAAGAAAGTTACCACCTTTCAGCTTCTTATCCTCTTCACCATCTTCACTCAACGAAAAGCAAATGTCTCAGTTCAACTGGGAAAATCTGAGATAACAGGAAAACATAATCCAAATGGTGAGAAATCTAGCGAACAAAAACTCACTATGAAGCCCAAAATTGAACGGGAAAACTTTTTTTCCCCCAACTACTAATCAACAAATTAGCATTAAAAAAAAAAAAAACCGTAGCTTGCTTTCTCTTTTCCCTTTTTATCAAGAAAGGTAACAGTAAACTTTAACTTTTTAGAACAAAATTCTTGACATTTTGACTTATATAGAAAAAACCCAGTTGAACAAGAGAATCCCCAAACCAACGAAACCAGCAATTTTCCAAATTTATGCTTTAAAGATCAATCTTTCCAACCTTTGACTTCTGTTTAATAATCGAAAAAAAAAACGAGCATAAAAAATTTTCATCTCCCCTTCTCTCTCTCTCTCTCCCAACTTTTCCCTGATACAGCAAACGACAAGATTAAATAGATTCTGGGTTGGATCGAAAGATTACAAGATCTGGGTACGATCTAGAAATCCCAGATAGCATTTTCCATTAACAGTGACATGCAAAAATTTTAACAAGAAAAAAGAACATCAAGTTTGACATTTTGCGAACAGATACAGAACGAAAAAGACTGGTTTTAAAGCATGTAATTTAAGGAGCAAAACGAACAGAATTTAATTTAAATTTCAAAAAAGAAAATAAATACTTACATGAAAAGTCTCGGCCTCTCAAGATTGAAATCCAAGTAATAAGAAGAAGAAGAAGAAGAAGAAGAAGAAGAAGAAAGAAAGAAAGAAAAGGTGGGTGTTGAAGAACAGCAAACCGTAGCTGTTGTTGTTGATGATTGTGTTGGTATTTTATTTTAAGTTTTGTAAGCCAAAAATTAATTATTTTTATTATGTATATCCTTTTTATCATATTTTCTTTCTTAACTTTTCCTTCTTTATTTTTTTTTTTTCAGGATGACTTTCCCTTCTTTACCCTTTTTTTAAAAATAAACAAATAAAAAAAACTCACAGGAAATTCGATTTTCAACCCTGAAAAACTGCTTCTTATTTTTGCGATACACGAGATTACAAAAGTACCCTTTTAGGTTCCTTCTTTTCTAACTGCCGTTCTAGGATGATCATCAAATGGAAGGGTAGAAATATAAATTTCCTGATAAACCACGCGCCACTAGTGATCGTGGGTCTCATTCGATCACTGAGGAAGGTTTTCCCGTCCTCTCTGATTTTGGGCCGAAAGAGTACGAAGTTCAAATCCTCTTTAAGCATAATTTTCTCCTGTATTTCAATATCAAGCACGCGCTTTTGATACGCGTGGATGCACATTTTGGTTCAAAAATTGAAGACTTATTTTAATTAGTCTATTGTCGTTTTTGTTTTTTCGTTCCTTTTTTTTTTTGGTTTGAATTGTTCCAACATTATTGTCATTTGGAAGTTTTAATTATGCTTGGTTATTTTAGGAAAATAATTGGTTTTGATTGTTTTGTCTTTTGAGGAAGTGAGATTACTTACCTTAAAATCAAACATGAAATTATCACTAGACGATGTCTATAATCACATTTTATAATTATTATTGATATTTATCGTTACCAAAAAAAAAAAAATTATCAACAAAATGACCGAGGATCTTCTTTCAGAGGTGGGAGATTAAAGATCCGTAATAGGACAGGATTAAGTGTAAAAAATATGATACAGGGGAGGGGAAAAAGAGGATGAAGAGATAATTAGTGATTCTATTATAAACACCCCATAAATACCGATAATATCAATCAATTTTGCAATCAACGTTTCCTTGCAAGAACTGTGGCTAATGATGCCTGCTCCAGTGGAATTGTCAAAGTTCGAACTAGTTTACACTAGCGTAAAATAATACAAAAGAGAACTAATTAATTTAAAACATAATTTTTTTTTCACATTTTTTTAGTCTGAATCTGTGATTATTGAAAAGAGAGCTAGTTTCTTTCTCTGGTCATATTTTCCATGGATTTTTATTGTAGTACAGAATTTGGAGAGAATTGTTACATGAATTATTTGTGCACATATATATTTACGAAATTTTTGTTAAATTTTTATGTTATTTTTTATCAGATGCGACATGACGGTTAAAACTAATGTAGTGCAAAATATGATTTTTTTTTTTTCATATTTTCTCATAAAATCCTCATAAAAACGTGTTTTCCTTTATTTTTCCATGATTCATCACAGTGGAATGTGCGTGCCGTGTGGTAGAATCTAGGTGGATGACATTGAAAGGCGAAGATCAATTCCCCTAATTCTAGGCACAAAAGTGTTCTTCAAGCAAATGGAGAAATATTTGTGGGTCTCTGCCTGAAAACCTTTTCTTTTTTTTTTTTTTTCTTTTTCGTTGTAGTGCCTGAAAATCATTCATGCTAGGAATCTGCCCTTGAGCACATACGTTTAAAAAAACAATACAAAAAAAAAAAAAAAAAAAAAAAAAAAAAAAAAAAAAAACCATTGCAATGATTAAATCCAAGAGACATCTAGCTGAGCTCTTTGTGTTAAAGTTGGTGAATGATAAAAAATGATGAGATCCACTCACCACCACTAGATGCCTCGTATCAAAGTCAAATCACTGATGGCCGCCAGTACCCAGAAGTAGTGTCAAACCATCGTATTTTGACAGAATTAGACGACCAATTCTAGTGCTATTAATTGGTCAAAGTAGGCACACTTCTCATTAGGAAATACCAAAGAGCGTTAGTTTATTTTGTTAATTTAAATTTTTAATTTGAGTTAAAATATAATTTTATATGTAAATTTTTTATTATAATAAAAAAGTTAAATTTAATTATTTTTAAGAATTTTTTATTATAATAAAACTCAAATCGATAAAATAAATAAAATTTTAAAATCTTTAAGAGTTATCTAACAGATGACGGATGCCTTCGTGATGGACATTCATGTAAATATATATATATATAGGGATATTACATTTTTATACCTTATGTTTTAAATTTATTTAAAATCTACACATTTAGTCTTTTATCTCATTAAATATATATATATATTAGATTTAATATACAAATTTATTTATTATCTCAGTCAATAATTGATTTTGATCTTTAAAATGACCAAACTATCCTTAAGAAAAAGAGAGAAAATAAAACAAACTTGCTAATATTACAAAAATTAAAAATTAAAAACACAAAAAAAAAACCATTTTAATGGTATTTTGTATATTTTTATGTTTAAAACTGTAAGTTTAAAGTTTTTTTAGTTTTTTTTTTCATTTTCATTTAAGGGTACTTTAGGTATTTTATGCTTAAAATCGAGAATTGGCTGTGAAAAATATATAAATTTGAGTATTAAATATAATTTGAAAGTATATATTTGATGATATCAAAAACTGAAGATATAATTTTTGAATAAACTAAAAACACATGTATAAAAATGTAAATATCCCTATAATATATATATATATATATCTCTAATCTAACAATATATAAAAGTCAAAAGCTCTTTTTTATGGGTCTATCACGTGATAGTCTCTTCAATTATATTCTTTTTATTTTTTTTGAATTTTTTATATTTTAATTTTTTGTGTGTTTTTTAAAATATAATGTTCCTCACTCTTACTCTTATAAGAGTAATTTTTTACATGTGTTTTTATTTTTTTATTGGTTAAAATATATTTTTTTAAATGTGTGCCTACTTAATTTTTGCGTTAATTGTTATCTTTACACATATTTCTTTTTAAAATAAATTTAAAAATCCTTAAATAGTTATATAAATACATTTCTCATTATTCAATAAACAATAAAACAATAAACTGTTAAAACTACAATAAACTTTAACACTACAAGCACATTACAAAACTAATATATATATATATATATATATATATAAAGTTCTAACAGTCGCTTCTACAAATCATACCAAAGCCGTTGGTCTGCTAAGTTGATTGAAATCATACCAAAGCCATTGGTTTTTGCTATGTTCATTGAACAAAAACGGCTGTGGTGCTGAACATGTTGTCTACCTTTTATTAATGTTAGTGTTTAATGGCAGTGCGGGTACCCAAGTATTTTTCACTACCTTTCCCTCTTGAAATAGGAAAGCTGTCACTCCTCTTAGGTTATATAGGCTGGTATGGTTGACCGATTCACTCATGCAATTAAAGACAAACTTATACTTGTTGCTGATGAAAGGCTAACAACTTGTTAATTTTTTTTAAATTTATTTTTTTGATAATTGAGGTTAAAAGGGTAATTTGAAAGATCTTGTTTTCATAACTGAGGTTGCACCAATCAACCGAATAAATATACTAATCCAAACGTACAAACACCAATTTCTCATTACTCCGAATCAGCAAAAGACGTTTCAGATAGATACATCATACATGTAATACACAATTATCAGTATTTTGTAAAATCAGTCCAATAACAACAAGGTAAAAGAGAAAAAGGAGCCCACCTGAACCCATCAGGCTAAGAAATTGCAAATTCTCTTTTTCAATTTATAAGGAGTTGCACATAGCATTTTCCTCAAAGGACAACTTTGAGGGAAAAAATCTCAAGAATTTTTCTGCCTACCACGTTCATCTGGTTGGGGATTTGGATTTTGGATTCCAAGGCTTCAGTCTGACTAGCAATGTAACATACTTTGAGTTTCCGCATGGCTATGAAGCATCTGTAAACGTACAGATAGTCTGTTCATATTTCCTCCCGTCAACCATGCACAACGACCAAAAATGTACAGTATATCAAGAGGAACAGAGAGAGAGCTATATGCACTGTCATATGAGAGAAATACGCGTGACGATGAATATTTAGAGTGACGGCAACCAAAATTATCACGTTGACGGTGAGTCAGTGACCAGATCATCTCTTCCACAAGCTTCCTCAAAAGATTTTCATTTCAATGCTCCATCAAGGCCGTTTCAGTTTCTGAGAGTGGAGCTGCAAAACAATCCAATGAACTTTCAATAAAGGGAGAGGGTATCAGGACAAATGGCAAAAGGTGATGATTATATAGTCATTTGGAGCTCTCATTGTCCTCTTATGGCGAACAAGAATTTAGCCAAATAGATGACATTATTAGGAGCCTAATTAAGTAATGGTGGACGGTAGAGCTTCTATCTTTATTATTCCAAGTTCTTGATATGGATGTAGATGGTTATGAAAGAAACTGAAGAATATCAAAGACAAGGAAAACCTAGCTGCGGATATAACTAAGTTATAACATATATAAACAAAGAGCTACTGAAGCCATACAGAAACAAAATTAAGAACTCCAATATTTCCAAGAAAATGAAGCTTTCTAACAGATAAAAATGAAAACTTAACGGAAGGAAGTCCACAAGTTTGTGGACAAAGCGGCATACCAAGCAAGTCTTCATAAGAATCTGCCAACAGTGAGGAATCCATTAGCAGAGGAGGTGAAAAGACCTGATCCTGAGCTTCGTCAATGTCATAAAATAATCTTTGTCCATCAGAGGCAGAACCATTTGAGCCAGAAACCGAGAGGAATCCATTTACTCGGTCATAATCACGAAAAGAATCCAGACCATTCAACATGTCAGAAAAATCATCATACTTGCTTTCACTATGACCATCAGAGACATGATTTTTGAGCAAGGAAGAATCTGTCTGAGATGCAAACAACCTTTTACCCCTCATTGAAGGCCCCTTGGATTCAGGGCCAAGACGGGAAAAACCAGATCCTGAAAGGGGTAAAAAGAAGTGTTCGGAGCTTTCTTCTGAATGACTATCTCGTGATGGCTCTAAACTGAAAGATTTTGTTGACAAAGCAGCTTCTCTAACAGATCTCTTTAAATTATGAACGTATGTAATATCACTATCTGCAAAACATGAAAAAGAAAAGAAAATTAAAAAACTTCCACATAGCTGTTGAAGCATCAATTGTTTTCTACAGAAGATATTCCTCAGCAGCAAGTCATCAATCATTTTGTACATGAAAAGGAAAGTGAAGGGCAAAGCTACAGTGGAAAACCTTGTGGTAGATTATCTTCGTGATTGCTTGGCAAAGGCTGTTCCACAGATTTCCTTTCTGCCGGGTTTTCTACATGGTTGTTTTGAGGAGCTGAAGTGTAACGCTTCTGCATGTTTCCACCCTTTCCAGAAGAATTTGGCGTCAAAGTAAATAATTGTGGGAGCTTTAACGCAGGAGAACTGGCTGAAACCTTGTCAAGCTGAATGGTAGACATTTTTGAAGTGACCTCAGCAGTATCATCCGTACCACTTTCCTGCATAAATTAAGATTTTTTAAAAAGAAAAGATAGCAAGTAACATATCATATGAAACACAACCAGACATTGCTATACACATCATTGTAGGTAGATATTTTGCATGGAATAATAGCGAGCAAATTACCAATGTCCTCCCACTGCTTTGCGCTTGAATAGGTGAGGTTGAACGACCAGGACGTTTAACCACTGGAGGAAGATTGGAGTAAATACTATTTACTTTCTCTGTACAATCTGATATTGAGTTCTGAATTGCTGGAGCAACTTCTTTTAGCTGGTTGATTAGTACCTATAGAATTATAAAAGTAGGAAAACTTTTCAGCACCACAAAAAGAAATTGTGCAAGAAACAACAAATATATTAAGCACGTGTTTGAACAAAAAGAAACAAGCAAACGGAAAGCATATGGAGAAAAAAATGTCTCACTTCCCATTTCTGCCCATACAATTTCCATTCAGTACTAAAAGAAATAATACCTCTACCACCCACATCAAAACAAATTAATGGAACAGAACACCTAGCATTAACACTAGAGATGAATTAATACCCCCAGCAAAACCAAAAATATAAAAATGTAATGCTAAAGAGATTTGACGACCAAACATCAAGTGGAAAGTGGATAGATGAATTGCTCAAAGTTATACTCAAATGAGGAGAGATTGAGCCCTGATGGTAGCTGCGAGAAGCATTACCTGAAAGCTAGCAAAGTGTTGCTGATGTTCTGCAAGCGTAACAGCTAAAGATTCAGCATGGCCACTCGAACCACCATCATGCGCAGTTCGTAAGATTTCTGGACCTTCTCCATCATTAGCTTTTGCCTAAAAAATTATCATTCCATATCCCGTTGTACCATGTCAGAGGAAACAACCAAAATTGATACACCAGTTTATAAAACCATTTACTGTAGATACTAGATACACCAATGTAAGATTTCAATGTCAAAAATTATTTACGGAATACTCATGGATATTTGTGGAATACTCATGAACTATTGAACAACTAAAGAACCATTTTTTTCTACCAAAAAAAAAAACTAAAATACCATTATGAAAACAGCATACCAAATAGAGTGACTGTTTATGAATACGCTGTAAAGCATGTGTCCAGCGCCTGATAATTTCTGCCACATCTACAGTTGCATGGACCCTTCCACTTCTTTCGTCTGCTCGAGAAAGTGTTTCCTCATTTACCTGTGTAAGAGATGAATCCAAACTGTTTTTCATCTTTTCCCCGTTCATATTGATATATGACCCATCAATTTGATCTTTGTCTTCCAGATGTGATGGAGTGTGATCACCGGACTGGACAGTTGAGGCATCTGCATAAGGAACCTGAGAACTTTGATCCATAGCTGCAAGTAAAGAAGATCCGGATATGCGATACCTAAAAATGAAGATTGTGAATATGAAAGGTAACTTGGCGTTGACATCAGCAGAAATCCATAACACAAGGGACTGGCATTTACCTATGCTCCCGATGAGCTATTAAGTCCTCAATAGGGCCAGAAGCAAGAACCTCATGTTGATCTGCATGTGATAGTAATATTCATTGAGGTTACGCACTGAATCTGAATATAATAACTTATAAAAAAGTGATTGAGATAAGCAGTGAATTTGAGTGAATGCTCTGAAAGCTATACAGGACTCATCAAGGAGTAGATTAGCAAAGGATCCATCTGCTGAAGCAAGAAGGTGAGCCGCTTACAAGTTACACTTTACATGAAGCTAAAAATCATATGTTTAGCAAGTCTTTTTTCCAATGCTTTTTGTTTTTCGTTTTGCCTCTGTGTTTTTTATCCCATACCAGGTAAGTAACACCAACACAAAAAATCTAGATGATAACATAGTATGACAAAATCCATACTGAAAAAGTTACTCGTTCAGTCATTCTTTTGAACTTGTATAAAATTAAGCGTAAATTGCAATTCAAAGAGTTTAAGAATAAAGGTCAGTTAAGACTTAAGTGACAATTCACATACTATAGAAAACTAGGATAGTAAGCACGAAATGTGGAAACTTACTTTTGCGGGATAATATAGACTCCCACAAACGAGTAGCTTTTGATACTAAATGAGAATTCTGACTTGAACTAGAAACAAGGTCATCCCAATGTTCTCCTTCCAACTTCACTTTGTTTCTCAAATCATGTAATTTTTCAAGCTCCTGCTGCAAATAAGCCTAAGATCGAAGTTCCCAAAGAAAATAAGAATAAAACTTGTTTCATTCCCTGAGAAGCATATAATAAGAATAAGCTCATATGAATCTGAAGGGACACCATCCTTACCTCTTCAGCACAAAGACCTCGAAACTCTGCAGTCATTTCATGAGCCAAATTTGACCACATAGCCTGCTGTTGTACTGCTGTTTCTGCATTCTTAAGAAACCTCCTTCGTTCAAGGGCAATTCTAGCCTGTTTGAAGGGGAAAAAAAAGGCTCATATCAGTGAATAAGATCAAGTGAAGTACTTTCAAAAGAGAAACTAAATAGAAAAGGTGAATATCTAAACAGATGGGAATAGAGAACAAAAAGCCATCTGAAATGTCTAGAAATGTTCTTCAATTATTTCCACCAACATCAGTATCAAACAACATGCAAGCAAATATACAGAAAGTCAAATAGCCGATGTGGACTACAATGTTAAAATATCAGCACAACATTGTGCTGATTGTAATTGAATGGTCAAATAGTAAATCACCTTCAAAGCATATTTATCTCAGCCGAAGTTTTACCCAAAAGGAACCTAAAGTCTAACAAAAAAAAGCTCAAGAAAGAGACCCCCCACCCCAAGAGTAGGAACACAAAATTAACAAGCTAGTACTGATTTTCAATCCAAATAATATCTGTATTGCATTTTTACTTTTGTTAAACGCCTCAAAAATCCATGTTAGACGCCAAAGCTAGCGTGCATAAGGCCAAAATTGTATGTCAAATGGTGACCGGATATAGCATACATTTAGAAATTTTTTGCGTGGATAAAAACAACTGGACACTTTTAACTACCTTAGTTACAGGGAGTAGCGTAGCTGCATGGGAAAAGGCAACATCTGTCAATGGAGCTGGAAGTGGATTAGAAACCACATCAGCCGCAAAGGTTCTTCTGTGGACCTCTCTCAAAGCATGCAAAGAAAGTTGCCACAAGAGTTCCACAAATCTGCAGTCAAACAATTACCATCATCATCACATAAGTTGAAGGACGTATTTTCAGTCCAAGTTCACTGTCTTCATAAACAAACAAACAAAAAAGTCGTGAACATGCTTAAACATTAATTTTTTTTTTTTTTTTTTCAAAATGTGACAATTTCCAATAATATCAATTGGCTGAAAGAAAGAACTTCCTAACTGTACTTCAAAATCCACATCGTCTATGCATTTTTGGGCAGCCCATTCACCAATCACCATTTCCTCACTCAAGAGTCAAGACACGAGAGACTTCTCTCTTCTTGCTACATTAACAGCAAACTCCAGTCAACTGAGCCTAAAAAACTATTAGCAGGTACCCAAACGACTAAAGCAATCAACCTACCATGTGACAATTGTATTTTCCTCAAGTTTCTCATCAACCAAAGCCACTTCTAAACCAAAAAAACACTGAGAACCATAAAGAAATAGTATCAGGACCAACTAACCTAGGTCCACAGCACGTAGCAAGGGATGAAACCCTCGAATTGCTTCTCGGAAGCGCCCCTTGCGTTTCAAGCTCGCTAATAATCCCTTGCACGACCTAATTAACAAAATTCCACCATAAAAAGTTGATGAAGAACACCTCATTCCACAACCGCAATCCGTTAAATTCACTGACGATGAAAACAAACAAACATATATATATATATATATATAAGAAGATAATCAAATTATACCTTTCTGAAATCGCGTGATTGCGCCGAATCGAAGATTGGCCAAACCTTATCGAAATCCTGGAAGATCGAGGACGTTAGGGAAACAAAACGAATCAGATCAAAGCAGAACGAAGGCTCAAAAAGAGATAATGTTGGAAAACCAGAGAAAGTGGAATAGGGATTAGCGTTTACTTTGGCGGATTGAATTGGTCCTCTGAGGGAGGAGAGGATGAAGTAGAGGAGCTGTTCTCCCAACTTAGGGTTCGAGTGACGGAAAAGGCCAACGCGAGGGGTTCCGTTGGCGCCTCCGACGCCGATGACGGCCGGATCCAGCCCTAACAGCAAGCAGTTAGTGTACATTGCACTCTCGAGCTCTATCTCTCTCTCCTTCTCTCTGTCCATCGTCATCACCACCCGGAAAACCCTCTCCTCTTTCTCCCTCTAAGAAAACTGCTCTATTGGTCCTCCAATGGCGTCTCTCTCTCTCCTCTTTCTCTCTTCTCGTTCTCTCTCCTCCTTTCTCTTTCTTTGCTTTGCTTCTCTCTGTGATAGTCTGATTCCGGTTGTTCGTTTTGTTTTTCCTTTTTTCCCAAAAAAATATTTCGGTTTTTCATCAAGATGTTATTCTCTTTTTTAAATACAGGTCCTTTAGAAATCTTTGAAATTATGAAACGGGCTTAAATTTGAACGATTTGGGATTGGTTTCAAAAAGTTTGAAATTTACGAGGACCTTTTGGTTAAATTTTGCGTTTAACTTCTTTGGTGGGGCCGGGGGGGATGATGATGAAGGAATCACAGGCCGATTGAAGATTTTGAAAGGGTAGAGATAACGGGACGACGCTAACGTGCGCCCCGTTTCTTGTCGCCGGCCGCGTTGCCCATTTTTTAAGAGAAGAAAATGCTTTTTTTTTGTCAAAACGAAGAAAATATTTATTCAACAACCAAAAGAAAAATATTGGAGAATTTTTGAATTTTTTTTAATTGAATACCACAAATTGATATAAATAAAGATAATAAAAATAGATACAAATAACTTTTTTTCAAAATTAAAAAATATTTTGGAATTCTTTAATGGGATACCAAAAATTAAGAAAAAGGAAGTAAATATAATTTTTTTGCAAAATATAAATAAAATGGTAATAGTTTAAATAACAAATTTAGTAAATATAATACATTTGATAAATTTGTTTTAGATAGTAAGCTTTTAAATTAACTTCCGTTCAATTTGTATATTTTTGTGTGATTAACGATTCAATGTGGATGATATCGATCAGGTGGTTTTTTATGCTCTAATCTAGAATCGTCATCATAATAATAAAAACTATAAATAAGTATTTTCTAAATAATAATAATATTAATAATAATGAGAATTTATAACATCTAAAGACATGGGTGTTTCTTCTTACTTATCAAAAAATTTTCTTTAAATTCACAATAAATAAGAATAATATGTTAGAGGTTTGTGGACGTTTAGTTTATGAATTTAGAATTATGATTCAGAATCATTATCGGTTTACGTGTATTTTTTATGATAAAAAATACTGTAACGAACCACGAACTATTATTCGAATGATTATACGAATCCACTTTCAAATGGTTAAAAATGTGATTTATAAGTTGTAACCTCGTGAAAGACCATGCTCAAATTATTAAGGTGCGTGTATCTATTAGAATTTGAATTTGTATGATTTTAATTTTTGTTAATAAAAACGGAAACTAAAAATCTCACACAATATAATAATTAAAAAAGAAAAAAGAAACTTATGAAGTCATCATACTCTGCAAAATTAGTTTAAATACGCATTTTATTCTACTTAAAAATGCACTAGACTCTTGATACCTTAGATCAAGCAGATAATTTTGCCGGGGAAAGAGAGGGAGTTTGGCTAGTTGGTCAACGAGGATGTAATTTAGGCACAATATGTGATAATGTGATGCTTGAAATGGCAGTGACTTAACTTTATTGGTTTTGCTTAGCGTAGGTGCCAAACCAAAACACCATCACTAAACAAAGCTTGGCTATATATATATATATATATATATTAATAAGAAAGCTTGGCTTTATATGATGATGCAAAAAAGGGAATGAGTATAGAGATGGGTATGTTTGTCCTCTATATATATACATACATATATATAATATATATTGTTAATAAGAAAGCTTGGCTTTATATGATGCAAAAACGGGAATGAGTAAAGAGATGGGTATGTTTGTCCTCTGTATTCCTTTCATAAAGAAAGGAAAAGTTTGGTGAGTGATAATGGACTGGTATGGCGATTGGATTGTTTGTAATTGTACACAATAATAAGTCCGTCCGTAGTCTCTTTTTCATCGAAGCACTTGGGTTCAGCCTTTGATATGATAATAAGCAACTGATGAGGCTCATGACAATGATGATGAAGGACACTGGTCGTTGGATATATATGTCAATGGTGGCGGTAGGACTGCTTGGGAGTTTGGACAAAGCCTTTACACAAACAACTAGCGATATTGTGAAGATACCCATAACTATATACAAATGTATGAAAGATTGGAGTTTATCTACTCTTTTCCAATGTGGCGTACATGCGAGGATAGTTTGTGAAATTGTATTAAACTTGTTTTATGACAAAATGACCCATACATAGAATCCACCAAAATACTTTAACAAAAGTATGGTTTCAAATATCAACAAAAAAAAGAAAAAAGTGGAAAACATGACATGCCATTAAAATGTTAAAATTTTATATTTACGCCGGTGATTTAATGGCCGTTTAGTTTTAAGACTTGAACTCATGATAATTATGATTTTACTCTCTCACAACAAATTTGAAGAAATCCCGTCAATAATTTTTCTTACAAAATTTTGAATGTAGAATCAAAATCGCTTGAATACGTGAATTAAATGGATCGATATTTTCAAGTAAATCGAGTAACATAAATCATAAATTTTTACTCTAGATGACATAAATATAAAGATGATATCATGCATTTCTGAATTTCTCACGCGAAAGAAATAAAAAGAGAAAAGGACACAAATGTCTCTTAGAGTGTACGGCTCTGAATTTATATCTTACTCTTGATTAATATAATTTGTAATTCTATCTTGCTCTTAATTAATATAATTTTTAATCAAATAACTATATCAATCAAAAGGTTATAGAAGAATGTAGTAAATAGCATATTTTTAAAACTAAATTAAAAAATTATTTGAAATAAATAGCAGTTTATGAGGTAAATGAATCATTTACTGCGTAAATAATTTATTTACGGCTAGTAAAAATATTTTTTTCACCTAAGATTTCTTTTTATGATTAGTAAAAAGAAATTTTCTATGTAAATAAATTTTTTTAAGATTTTTTACTAACAATTTATACAAAATGATTAATTTACCACTTAAACTGCTATATTTTTAAAATATACTATTTAATTAATTTAGTTTTAAAAATTTGTTATTTAGTACAATTTTTTAAAAGATATTAATCAATAATAAAGAGTAAATATGCTCCAATAATTTTCTCAAAATTTAAAAAATGAAAGAAAAAGAAGAAAGAGAAGGAATGGACCCGAGCCCAACTTTAGATAAAACGGTCCAAAATATAAAAGATAACATTAGTCATAGAAAAAATAGAGAATTTATCTTCAAGTGCATAAATTTATTTATAACTCTTAACAAATATTCTTTTATTAGTGTAATTATTTAATTAAAAAAGATTTAAATAAAAAATAAATTGTAAAAATTTATACTCAAATTATTTATCAAAGTCTCATTCATTTCATCGATTTGAGTTTTATTATAGTAAAAAATTATCATAAATAATCATATATAATATTTTTATTACAATAAAAAATTTTAACATAAAATTAAATTTTTTAACTCAAATCATTAAACTAAACGAAGTTTAAATTACCTTTTTTAAGTAAAACATGAAAAGAATAAAAACCCAGCACTCATCTAGAGCTACAAAGTGCAAATAACGAATCAAAAAATAAAAAAATAAAAAAAAATCCAAGCCCCGAGTGCGTATAAAAAAGAATCTGAAGATTGCCCCTTTTTTCTGATGATTGTTGATCGTTCCTCACCTTTAACCTTGAAGAGAAGAAGGCTGACAAACGTTGATCCAATGGAGGCTCAAGCCGCCAAGGTTTTCTCTTCTAACTTCGCTGTTAATTTCCTTAATTCTTGTTCCAATTTATTCTTTTCCGCTTCTGGGTCGGTCTGGGTTTTCTCTGTAATTAGTTCCCTTTTTGTACTTTTTGGATTTGGTTCCACTTTCTTTTGCTAATTCGATTTCTTTATTCTTCTTGTTTCTTTAGTTGTGGAAAATTATATGATTGATTTGGTGTTACTGGTGATACAATTTGGATTAATTAGAATTTCGAATTTTGTGGTACGAAAAGCAAGTGCCTTTAGTATATAACCAATAAAGTTCACATTTTTTGGGACGAGTTTTTATCGAATTTTGTTTATCAATGTACCTAGAATCATTCGTTTAATTGAATATCATGATTTTTTTAAGAAAAAATTCATTGTGGTTTAATCTTTGAAAATTTTAATTCTTGATTTGAACGGTGGCTACCATTATTGTTTTTCGTATCAACTAGGCCTCTTGATACGAGTCTTTGGCTTCGAAATAGGCTTTTGAATTTCCCCCAAGTTTTATGGCGATTATTAATTTATTAGTTAAAAAGACTACTGGTATTTACTCCTTTTGATACTGAGAAGCAGAGAATTCCGTTTTCCTTCTACTGTGTTAACATTTAAATTTTCTTTTCATGGGATGCCACAGGCCAAGCTTGCTTCTGCAAAAGAAAAGTTTGGGCGAGAAATCCGTGTCTTCGAGACGTCACCATTTTCTTCCTCATCAACTGAAGAGTCCAAAACTGGTATTGAAGCGGTTTAAGCTTTTTTCTTTTTATGCTTGAGAGTATACTATTGAAACAGTTGGCCCCGATCCACTTCACGGGCTCGAGAAAAACTTGAGCTGAAATTCAAATTTTTTGCGAGAGAAAACACTGTAGTAAAAAGGTTGAATTGTGATTTGAACTGTGAAAAGAGCGGGCCCCTTTTTGGGTACCTAAGTCCTGACAGATGAATTTTTCTTTGCTTTGCAGAGGAGCCAGATGAATTCTACGAGTTCTCCGCAGAGGATTATTACCGAATAATGGCGACCAAAAAAGAAGGTAACTGCAATGATTTATGTAATACAAGTTCCAGGAGGACGAATTATGATACGTTGCCTGTTTTGTATATGTTTACTTTTTGCTTGAACTGGCTGATATTCTCTTGTATCTGATTGTAATGGATTACTTGTATGGATTGATATATGCTTGGTGTGAATATGAATTAGCCTTTAATGATGTATTGTTTGTTTATGTATAGATAAATATTTAAAAACACGAAAAATCAGGGAGGCAGAAGAGGCGGCACGCAGGTCGAGGATAACGAAGGTGCGTGTTGGACCATTTAACCTTGTGTTTCATTTTATTATTATTATTATTATTTTCAATCTTCCTTGATTCTAGACGACATTATTAGATGGATCTTACCTATCTATTAAGTCAACCTGCTCATGTTACAGGCTGTAATCAGGTTAAGATTTCCTGATAACCACACATTGGAGGCCACATTTCATCCATCAGAAAAGATCCAGAGCTTGGTTGATCTTCTCGTGAAAGTGATTGCAAAGCCAGATTGGCCATTCTATCTATGTAAGTATATGTGAAGCAATGTATTAACTTTCATGTACGATTATGAACATTTTTCCACAATTACACAGCAGAGGCTGAGATATGGTAATGTTGCAGATACTACACCTCCTAAAAAGCATATAAAAGACATGTCACAGGATTTCTATAGTGCTGGTTTTGTTCCCGGTGCAATTGTGTATTTTGCATATGATATACCAAAAGGTAAGCACATGCTTTTTAATGCCTTGATTTGAGTTGAAACACCGGCTGTTTCTTCAACTTTCCTGTCCAAGTGCTAATTGTCAGTCTTTTTTAAGCTAATAATGAAAGTTTCTGGTTTCTGCTTCCTTGTTGAGGCGTCTGCAACAAGAACATCAGTAATTGGTCTTGAAAACTTCTAAATGTTAGCAAGATCCGGCCCACCCCAACTTCCCCAAAGAAACGAAAATCTGTTATTGAAGGTTTTTAATTATGTTCAACAAAACAGGGGATGAGCTATAATAACTTATTTGATGGATTCGCTTTACAAAAATGATGGTGACTCTTTACTCCATGATTATATAAAAATATAGAAGGGCATTCATCCTTAAGAAAAGGGAAGAAGCTGAAAGAAAAATTATTGTTCAGTTCAGAAAGATGGTTTTTATCTGTTCGAAAAGGGAAATAGTTGGAGAAAACTTGTTGGTCAGTTTTAATTCATACGTTGTTTATCTTATTTCCAGGGGATGATGACGCAGCTGCATGGACAGGTCCCTTCCTTCGGGACGAAATCATCTCTTTGAAAGGCTTGGAACTCATCACCGAGCAGGAGGAGCCTGCTCAGCCGGAACCTGCACCTGAACCTGTACACCCAGCACCCACTCCTGTTGTGGAAGAACGCAGGCCTGCAGAGAAAAAACCGATCAAGCCAAAGTGGCTAAAGCTCTGATAGGGTCTAACCGAGCAGGCGAACTCCCCCTTCATTCTTCGACTTATCAAGCAGCAAATCATTGACTGGAGACTACATTAAACGTGGAGGAAGGTTTCAAGCATTAAATTACGTTTCAAGCATCAAGTTATGTTGAAATATGAAGGGATCTCAGGCGTCGCCTCCTAAGTCCTAAGGCTATAACTCCTGTGCTTTGCTGAAGTTGTCAGTGTTTGTAATGTATGAATGCTAGTTACGTATATTGTGCTTCAGTAAAGAAATGACATTGCTTCTTTTGCGTTGTTAATTTGTCATTCTCAATATCTATATGCTTTTATAATTCTTGGTTCTTTAATACATTTGGCTATGTTTGTTCTTGTATTTAAAGCGATTATTTATTCCATATCAGCTGCATGGCTCCACTCACCTGGATGTGGAACTCACATGTGGGGCCCACTCGTGAGTGTACGACCGCAGTCAGATCCTGTTTAGACTATTTCTAATGTAAATATTAATATCAATCTTCTATTTAATGTCAAAAAGTATGATACGGTATGTTATTTTTATTTTTGTTCTAATACATTTTTCTTATAATCATTAAGTTTTAAAAATTGTAAAAGTAAATTTTTATTTTTAAAATAATTAAAAAATATAAAAGTTGTATTGATTACATGAAAAGATAAATATTTCAACAAATAATAATTAAATATTAAATTTCTCATATGCTATACTTAGTAGGGAATTTACTACAATGTATAGTATATGAGAAATTTATCACAACAAATAACATTGCATTGAAAAGTATTTTTTACACTTAAATGTTAAATTTACAATTGGTACATCAATTATAGCATTACATTAAAGATATATGAATTATTTAATTTAGATTGGATTAGATTAGATCCAATATCTCATTAGTTATAATGGAATAGAATTAGATTAGATGTGCACTCCTATACTTTTTGGTTCGGTTAAGTGAAATTCGTGGGCGGGCCTGGCAAGCAAGAGCAATGGTTGCGCTACTTTTGTTCCAAATTAAAGCCTGACGAGAGAAAATGGCAGGTTTTGATGTGCACAAGATCATGACTTGGAATTTGGTCATGGACCCAACAGTTGCGTTATTCCACTATCAGTCTGTTGACCGCTATAAAAGCTTCCTTCGACATTTTCGATGCATTTTTTATATCTTTTGTTATTCTAATATTTGGGAGCTGCGCGGTATCATCTGTGTGTTTAGAATCGTTTTAAAAATAATTTTTACATATTTAAAAAAATTAAAAATAAAAATAAAAGTAAAATGATATTTATTTTAAAAATATTTTGAAAATAAAAATAATGGGAATGGTTTTTATGAATAAATTAAAAAACAGTTGGAAGTTATTTTTATTTTTTAATACTTATTAATAATATTATAATATATTAATTAATAAACACGATTTTATTTTTTTATTATATTCAAAATAATCTCTTAAAAAACTAACCAAATACAATTTCAGAATCGGTTATAAAATGATTCTCAAAACAATCACATTTTTATTTTTTATTAAAAAATAAAATCATTTTAAAGCTAATTCTAAACGCACCTAATATGTTTTTCCATCTAGTACACTATCACAAAATTCTATTTCTACTTAACTATAGTTTTCAAACAAAAAAAAAAGAGTTCTACTTCACTATTTTATTATTGCTAATAGCAATTTTTAAGAATATCCCTTAAAATGGAGCCTCATTTTATTTCTAGCTTTTAGATTAGAATTAACTAAAAGATAGAGTTTTTTAAAAAAATATTTTTAGAGCTTAAGAAGGTAGAATGTGTAATTTTTTCTATTGGCTGTGTGTTGTGAGCTAATGCAGTTAACAATATATGATGTAGTTATGCAATGACTACATAAAATTATTGGGGAGATATATAATGACTATGATAGTCATAATTTATCACACATTTCTATTACTGGTTTTATTTTTAGTCAAACTTTTGTTCTTCAATAAGAGAATAAAATTGAGTGAGAGGATTATTTCAACCTCAGTTTTTTCCTATTTTAGGTTATGGTCAAAGCTTTAACCGATCGTAATTGTAGGATTTGGGGCATAGTGAAATTGGTCGAGCTACCTGAAACGTATAGACTATAGACATACATATTAATATGTTTGTATGAAAAGAAAAATATATCATACACATATATTAAGCAATGGATTTGAATTGATGTTGACTTTAGAGGAACATGTAACCGCATGTCCATAAGAGTATAATGGTCCGTTTAGTTCACTGATTCGAGTTTTTAATTCAAGTTTAGATATGATTTTATGTGAGAATTTTTTACTGTAATAAAAAAGTTAAATGTGACTGTTTCTGAGAGTTTTTGACTGTAACAAAACTCGAATCGATGAAATGAACGGTAATTTCTTAATCTTCTTTCTCCTTAAAAATAATCTTAGCCATTACTATTAGGGTACTCTTATTACATAATTAGATTTAAATAAAAGGGTACCATTGAGGCAACAAGTACCAACTATAGGCAAAATATGACTCATTTGAGTAGTTCCTTCACGAATTATTAATCATGGTCAGTGCTATTTCAATTAGGTGAGAATCAAGATGTGGCATTTAATTAGGTGAGAATCAAGGCGTGCCATTTATCCTCCAACTGCCGTTGAAAAACGTGTTCAACTAATATTCTAATCGTTGAAGGTGGAATAGTTTCTTTATTAAACTATTGAATTCTTTCAACAACAAAAAAAAGTTGACATTAATTATTCAGACATTCTCTTATATGTTAACATATCGGTATGTCACGTTTTTTTATCCGTTAAATATGTATAAAATCACGTAAAAATAAAAAAATATACATATTTAATGATTAAAAAAACTTAACCTACTGATATGTCAGACGTACTAAAAAATCACCCTAATTATTCTTTTTGATTGAAAGGACATTAAATAATTTAAACTACTGTTTCTTTCCCCCTATCTCTATCCATAAAGGCAATAACAGGAGATAAATTTTTATCAGTGAGATTAATTTTCTATGGTTCCCCGCCATTTTGATAGGAGAGATTTCTCCTATCATAACTGGTTAAAGATTTAGCATAATCAGTTGAAGGATTGACGTTATTCTTTATTATTAAGTCGTAACAATTCATATTTTAGAAACTAAAAGTAGTTTTTAAGCATAGAACAATAAATGACTGTTATGCACTGATGTAAAAAATTTTTCATGCATGACTAGATTTGCTTATAAAAAAAAAAGCACGACTGATGTAATTATTCACAATAATATTATTCATATTTATAAAAAGACAGTCAGTTACGATGAAACAACTAATATTTAAAGTAAAATGATAGATATGCATAACATTATTCATATTAAAAACGACAGTCGTTTATTGATGTACGACAATATTCATATAATTATTCACGACAGGTGTGTATGACAATCGTATATTGCCATATATTTAAAAACGATCGATGGATTTTATAATAATAATTGTTACGACTTAGTACAAGAGAATTATACTAGTCCTTTAGTCGGTTATGATGGCACAAGAAAGACTTTCCCCTATTTTCAAACTAAGGGACTATAGACAAGCCAGAAATAAATAACAAATTAATCAAAATAAATATCTATTGTTTTAAAAATAACGACGGTAAGATTAATTTTAGTGGGTGCTATTTTATAGCAATACACTATAATAAAGAATTATGCATGTAAGATTTTTAAAGATAACAAATTTGAGTGGGACCTAATCGCATTTTGTAGGGGCATATCAATACAGAAAAATGTTAGTATTGTTGATTTTAGCATCACTTTTTTTGTCACTATTTATATTTTACTATTTGATACGTAAATTACACTAACACTATAAATTATTATTTAAACAAAAATATATAATGAAGTCCATGTGTGTAAATTCTCATTAATATAATAGGGGTTAATAGTGAAGGTTATTTTATATTAATATAATATAATACAAAGTCTTGCACTAGCTCCGCGCCTGCTTAGGGGGCTATTTTAGGTTTTTTTTATTAATATTTACGATTTTTATTAATTTAGGGCATTTATATAAAGTACCGGTTTTGTCTTTTTAGAACTTCACGTGTGACTGAAACGTGTCTATTTCTATCCATTTTATAATATCGTTATTCAGATGGGTTAATTGCAATAATTATGTAAGTTTAGGAGATTAATTGTTAAAACTAAAAATTTAAAAGGATAATTTTAATTGATTTGAGTTTAGAATTTGAATTTTACTCCAGTAAAAATTTCTCAGAAATAGTCACATTTAATTTTGTTATTACAGTAAAAAACTCTCATATAAAATCACATCTCAACTTAAATTAAAAACTCAAATTAACGAATTAAACGGACATTTCTTAAACCATGATAACTTCATTTGAATGTTCTAAGGCCTCGTTCATTTCACCGATTCGAGTTTTCAGTTTTAGATTTTTACAGTTAAAAGCTCTCCAAAAATATCGCATCTAATTTTTTTTACTATAATAAAAAACTCTTAAAAAATATCACATCTTAACTCAAATTAAAAATTTAAATCTGTGAAGCGACCGGGGCCTAAGTCTTTTTCATGCTACAAGTTTTGATTAAAGAAATCTTTAATAATTTAGTGGAGCCCAGAGTAATACACTCATGTTGGTGAAGATTCAGCAAGATGAGTGGGTCTAGCCATCCCACGTGGTACTTTCCAGCTTCTCCAAGAATCGCGCGTCCATCTACTTCGTGAGTTCGTGTGTTACGCGCGTAGTCGTTTTTATTACACTTCCGCATACTTTTTTTTTTTTTCCCTGAACCACCGGCATTGTGATATATTCGGGTTGGTCACCTCTTTGGCCATTTTTTTTATCACTTACACCCTCCTGTTCATCATGTTTACTTGTGTTATGTTTTTGGTAAATAGTTCCTCATTGTTACTTATCCTATCGTGAGTTGCGCGGTCAAGGAATTTCGTAAGAAAGCTTGTGAAGCACCAAACATTGTTATTCAATGATTTGATGTCACCAAACTCTATGATGCATCCAAAATCACCCAACCACTAAACTAATACATAATCAAGATTAATGTTTCCAAGCCCTTATACTATCTTGTTAGAGCTGAAAGAAAAAAGAAGGAAAGAAAAATACTCCCCATACAGGATAGTAGATGATTTTTAATAGTTTAAGGGTCTGTTTAATTCGTTGATTTGAGTTTTTAATTCGAGCTGAGATGTGACTTTATGTAATAACTTTTTACTGTAGAAAAAAGTTAGATGTGACTGTTTTTTAAAGTTTTTTACTGTAGCAAAACTCGAATCGATGAAATGAACGGGACTTAAGTAAATTGAATTACAAAATTTTTATTAAATGTAATACTGATATATAAAAAAACTGAAGAGAATAGAAAAATTGGTGAATAAACGACTGATTCCAAAATACAGTTTTTTTTTTTTTAATCTTTTTTGAGGGATTCCAATGTATGGTTGTTACACTCTTTTATAAGAAAGAAGAGATTAAAGAAAATAGTAATCACTCAAACTTTACATATGACATGCCCAAAATTATGCCCTTGACTTGATCGCGTTCCTTATTTATTTTTTTGCAATATTTAGAAACGTATACATAATTTCAAATAGAAATTAGAAGCGATGCACTTTAGAAGTTACTTGTTCCAACAAATGAAAAAGAGAAAACAAATTATTGGTTTCTCTATTTAGCAAAAAAATTATTCGTTTCTCGAGCAACCAAAAAAAAAAGGTTTATTTCATTAATAAGAATGATAATATTCTTTACGGTGACGGCCCCATTCTAAACGGGATGAGAATGAGGGATAATTATTAAGAATGAGAGATGGAGACAAAAATTAGTCTCCGATTCATAATGGATGGGGACGGGGGTATTATTCCCCACCCGCCTCCGCCCCCATATTAATGTATAATTATGTAATAAAAATTGAAACTATTAGAAATAAACAAGAAATGATAATTTACATTATATTTTAATGTTGTAAAATTTTTTTCGCTTATATGTTAGTTATTCTTTTTAAATTCAATTTACAGTAGGTTAAGAATTTAGTTTTTATTATCGAACCTTTTATTTTAATCTAAATTTATATTATATTTTTATTTTAAGTTACTATAATTTTAAAATGTGTAATTTTATGTGATAAGAAATAAAACGAGTATGAGAAGACTCTTCTAATAAAAAAATCTTCAATTTTAATCTCGCTCCTCTTTAAACAGAGATAAAAATGAAAATGAGAATAGTTTGAAGTAATAGAGGTGGGGATGAGAAATCATCCTCCGCCCTTATCCCGTCCGTCCCGACAAACAAAAAAAGTAAAATTGTGGGACAAAATGTTGAAATACGCGGGAAGGCTTGATTGGGGGAGGAGTTGGAAGATTGCAAAAAAAAAAAAAAAAAAGGGTATAAAGTATATAAACTACGACGGCTTGTAATAAAGAGTTAAAAAGAAGGTATATAAAAATGAATAATTAACGAAATAAAAAAACGAAAAAAATCTAAATGATCTTCTTGACCAAGACACCAACTACCAACTCTCATTTTCATCGTCAAACATTGCTTCTCTTCAAACCTTCTTCCACTCCTCCACCAATACATACCTAAACACACACACACACACACTCTCTCTCTCTAGGATACAGGCTTGATTTTCTGCAATAATCTGGTGAGCGCTCTTCGTTTCGATGTCCTTCAATTCAATATCAGAAACACGAATTTTGCTATGAAATTCCATTAATTTTCTTGTTTGAACTTCTCGTTTTGGATCAATTTCGGAGATTCGGATCGCTCTCCATCATTATTGAGCTTCTCTCTCTTGTTTTTGGTTCGTTTACGGAGAGTTTTGTTCGTGTATTTGTGTTGATTTTAGTATTTCATTGATGCGAATTTTTGGATTTTTTTTTTGTTTGGATGGAGAGAAAATCGAGGAAGATATTGCGAAAGAAATTACATTCGATACTATCATGAATTTCTGACGAGTTATTCTTTTTAAGCTGAATTCCTGTCTCCAAATTATCGTTTCTGCTATGCGAAATTGAATGAACGAATCTGATTTGGAGAAATGAGAAAATCGTTGTTCATTGTTGAATTCGTTGTTTTGTTTGATAGGTTCTTTAAGCTCGTCGGAGCTTTATTCGCGGAGAGTAGAAAATGGGATCAGGAGCGTGGCACGTTGAGAAAAGATCCACTTTAAGAAGCGAGTCCTTCTCTAAAGAGTTTGAAAATGTGCTTGAAAATGGCTTTCTCTCGATCATCGTCCTTGGCGCTTCTGGAGATCTTGCCAAGAAGAAGACTTTTCCTGCGCTTTTCAACCTTTTTCGGCAGGTCTGGTTCTATCTTCAGCTGTGATACTGTTCTCTTAATTCGCCGGTTTACCTTGAGAATCTAATTCTCTGTTTGTTGATGATTACATAGAATAAATATGCTTTTATGGCAATCTAGGTTGTTCTTTCTAATCATGCCTGCGATATTGACTCTATTTGAGATCTGTTGTTACTTAGGGATTCCTTCATCCAAAAGAAGTTCACATATTTGGCTATGCAAGAACTAAAATTACAGACGATGAGCTAAGAGACCGCATACGCGGGTAAGCTTTTATTCTCATGTGAACCTTTACTCTTTGATTTTCTGTATTGTGATTTGAATGTTTGTTGAAATGTTTCGTTCATTTCATTTATTGGGACTGCTTGATTGCTGATTGGCATGGCAAATAAAAGACATAGCAAATGAAAGTTCATTAACTGCAGATATCTTATCCGTGACAAAGGCGCTTCTTCCAAGGACTCAGAAGATGTCACTAAGTTTTTGCAACTGGTTAGCACGGTCCTTGTACACATCACTTTTTGTATCTGCTTTTCATGACCTTGTGGTGATATTTAATTGCAAGATAATCCATCCTTGCAGATTAAATATGTAAGTGGTTCTTATGATGCTGAAGAGGGGTTTCAGCTATTGGATAAAGAAATTTCAAAGCATGAAGTTTCAAAAAATAGTGCGGAAGGATCGTCGCGAAGACTCTTCTATCTTGCACTTCCTCCATCAGTATATCCATCTGTCTGCAAGATGATCAGGCATTTTTGCATGAATAAAAGTAAGCTTATCATGACCTTAAGCTACTTTTAGTTTTAAGGCTGGAAATAATTGATGGATTGGTGCTACTATCATAATGTTGTCTTTGTATGGATTTGTGCTACTATCATAATGCTGTCTTTGTAAAGTGCCTTCCAACCGTTCTGTGGTAAATAGAAGCTGTATAAAAATAATTATGCCATCCCAAAAAAAAAAAAAAAAGAAGGAAAACGGAAAGAGAGTAGTTCTAAATGTGTTTTATGTTTCAGTACTACTAACGATTGACTCATTTCTCAGCATTTATTTTACTTGAAAATGTTTGTGATGCATTGTCCCCTTACGTGGAAATATTTATTATGGATGCCTTAGCTGGACGGTCCTAAGTTGGAGTTTTGCGTAGTGCAAAACAACTATATGCTAGTTAATATTGGGTACTTTTTACCAATACAAAACATCAAGATTACCTTATGAATATGAACGATCAGATTCTGGTTGTACTCAACTACAAATTTTGAATTATAAGTAGGCCAATTATAGATTTTGGCATATTCAGGCGGTGAAATATCTACATATGCAATGTGCCTTAATGTAATCATTTGACAGCTGATCTTGGTGGATGGACTCGGATTGTTGTTGAGAAACCTTTTGGCAAGGATTTGCAATCTGCTGAGGAACTCAGTTCTCAGATTGGAGAGTTGTTTGATGAGCGACAAATATATCGCATTGATCACTACCTGGGAAAGGAGTTGGTGCAGAATTTGGTAATGTCTCTTTAACTCCACGCTTTGGTTATTACTCGTGAACTCTGCTTATTTTCTCTTCTTATGCAAATATGCAGTTGGTTCTTCGTTTTGCAAACCGCTTCTTTTTGCCCCTTTGGAATCGTGACAACATTGACAACGTCCAGGTATGAACTTATCTTTCAGTGATCATATTCAAGTGGTATTTACATGTGTACCGGGAAACTGAAAAGAGCAAGTTAGTATTGACTCTGGGGCCAAAGAGTTATTTGTTGCATATATGTTGGTGTTTCTAGTGTCAGCTAATCTACTTATAGCATTTCCTAGCGTTAACATTCCGTTTTCGTTGACCTATGTTTTGTTCAAAATTGTTTTCAGATTGTATTCAGGGAGGATTTTGGAACTGAAGGCCGTGGTGGATATTTTGATCAATATGGGTATGATTAGTGGATCCTTGTGTCCAAGCTTGTTTATTGATTGGTAGCTCTTGCTGACTACCTTTGAGATTCTATTTTACGAACTCACCTTGTTGTTGTATTTATTTCTAAAATGAAATTTAGGCATGCAATAACCTATAAATTTTTTGGGCAGAATCATCCGCGATATTATTCAAAATCATTTATTGCAGGTATGTGTTGATTTTCAATTGGAGTTAATTTGACTGTCATTTACATCAATGATTCTCTCTTTGTTTGGGTGCAAAATTCCTTAATTCTGAAGGACAAATAGTAAAACGTTTTTTGTTTTCTAATTTGTAATTTCTGAGAGTTCTGGGAGCTTTCACTGTATATAGATCTGCTAGTTATAATAACCTGCACAGACACATCTGTCTTCTATGTGCTATGATTCCTTACGAATTTTTTTTTCCAATGTTTTTCCCTCCTTCAAAACTGCAGGTTCTCTGCCTGGTTGCCATGGAAAAGCCGGTTTCTCTCAAACCTGAGCATATTCGAGATGAGAAAGTGAAGGTGCGTAGGTGTCTTTTATTCTGACCTGATGATAATGCTGGTAAACTTCCGCATACAGCTTAGGGATAAACTGATTTAGTTTACATATAGAAGCACATGTATTAGACACGTGTGTGCTTTGCAGTAATAGAAACACCACTTTTTTCCTCAAATATAGAAGACTCCGCCAGGGAACGTGCCAAGTTAAAGAACTATTGGGTGCGTTTGGAACCCATTCCAAAATGATTTTGTTTTCTGTATGAAAATGAAAATGAAAACGTTTTTATTTTCATTTTGGAATCATTTCTGAAAATACGTTTGGTAGTTTTATTCTGAAATTTTTTCAGTTTTAAAAAAACTAAAATTGTGTTTGGTGGTTTAATTTTTAAAAACATGTAATAATATTTAAAATAATAATATATTAAATAAATAATCAGTCGCAGACGGCGGGGCGTAGTCGCAGAAGACTGGGGGGAGGGCGCGCAGTCGGAGACGGGGGCGGGGGGCGCGCAGTTGCACGGTCGCAGAATGAAAGGGCTGAAGAGAGAAAACGAAAACGGAAGAATGAAAACGGAAATAAATCGTTTTCAGATTTTCATATAAGGACAAGAACGTTTTTATTTTTAATTTTTCAAAAATTTGACGCCAAACGCGTTTTCTTTACGCGTTTTTATTTTTCATTCTTGAAAATCGTGAAAAATGAAAACGAGATGGGAAACAAACAGGGCCATTCTTTTGTATTTCTTACTGATTAATGTGAAAACAGGTTCTTCAATCTGTACTTCCAATCAAGGATGATGAAGTTGCTCTTGGGCAATATGATGGCTACAGAGATGATCCAACGGTTCCTGATAACTCAAATACTCCAACTTTTGCAACTATGGTTCTGCGTATTCATAACGAAAGATGGGAAGGTATCTTGCGCTAATTTTCTCTATAAATTGATACAGTGAAACTAATTTCAGGAATGGCTTATGATAAATCCAGACTGAATCATTTGTTAATTTCTTTATTCAGGTGTCCCTTTTATTCTAAAGGCAGGGAAAGCATTAAATTCAAGAAAGGCAGAAATTCGAGTTCAGTTTAAGGATGTTCCTGGTGATATATTCAAATGTATGGCACCAGACCTCTCAAATTTTCCTCATTACTTTTTGCAATAAATCTAGCATAATTTATTTAATAATCTTTTCCGGAGTTGAACTTAGATAGTAACACAGAATCTAAGAATTTTCATGATGTTAGTTAAATAGTATTGCTTTGTCATAAGTATTCATGCTGGGAGCGTGGATATAATTATGAATTCAGGAAAGTGACTATTCACAGTTTTTTGCTAGACTAGTTTCTATTAATTAGCAGATGACTTGCATGATATTTATTTATATAATTTGTTCTATACATCTAATCGGCTGTCTAAAACCTTAAACAATATTTTAATTTGATATTTTCTCATTGTTTAGGTAAAAAGCAAGGGAGAAATGAATTTGTAATTCGCTTGCAACCTTCAGAAGCCATGTACATGAAGCTTACGGTATGCAGATTCTGATAACACCATTAGTGGAATTGTCATTAACTTGTTGCTGCTGTGTTTGTCTTTCATATTTCTCAGAATATAAATTTGTTGTATTTCACAATGAGTAACACGGTGAAAGTTCGTCTTTTGCTCTAAAGCCTGGAACTCGAGATACCACTTTTCTTGCCATCTTTGTAGTGTACTTTCTTTTGTCACCCTACTCAATCTCTTAATGTCTCTTATGCCAGGTTAAGCAGCCTGGACTTGAGATGTCAACGGTCCAAAGTGAATTAGACTTGTCATATGGGCAACGTTATCAAGGGGTCACAATCCCCGAAGCATACGAACGTTTAATACTCGACACGTACGGTTACTGCCCTTCTGCATTTAGAATACATGATGAGGCCATTTTGCTACTTTTGCTTCTTTTGTTGGAAGATTTATAGTGACATCTACTAAAACATAATTTTGGTATTTCATCCTTTCTTTCACTACTTATTCACGACAATCTCATTTGGGTTTGACAGAATAAGAGGCGACCAGCAACATTTTGTTCGAAGAGATGAGTTGAAGGTAACGACTTTCTAGCTGTAAGTATATCCTAACACGTGCTGTGGATTTCCTTGTCTGACCGTTTTGTTCCGTCAATTATCAGGCTGCCTGGGAGATCTTTACTCCTCTCCTGCACAGAATCGATGATGGCGAGCTTAATCCGCTTCCATACAAACCAGGCAGTCGAGGCCCCGAGGCAGCAGACGAGTTGCTTGCAAAAGCTGGTTATGTACAAACACATGGCTACATATGGATTCCTCCCACGTTGTAAGAGAGTTATCGCACATTTCCTGTGGCCTGGACTGGAGCAATGAAAACAATTTGCTTGTAGTAATAAGCTATCCGTTCAGAATAAGAATGTGGTGTGGCGTGTAACGATGTCTAATGATAATTTTAAATGCAAGGTCTATAAGTATAATGTTTGGCGATAAAAATTGGCCCCGGTTATGTGAATGTAATTTCTATAAAGCTTTCATAGTTTTGCCTTTAGTCTTTGGCTTTCAATTCATGATTATCATTTACTGAGCCTATTTAAGATAGTTTGTGTTTGTGCTTTTAAGTAGTAGAAGAAGATAAAAATAAGTTGTGACTTTTTAATTAATGTTTGGATAGTGTTTGAAAAATCGCTTTTATATTTAAGAAGAACTTTTAAATTTGTTTGGGTAAAAAGTCAAAAGTACTTATTGTTATAAAAAGTAATGTAATAAAAAGATATGAATATAATATTTAATTTGTTATTCACAAATAAAAGGTTAAAAATGTAAATAAAAAAGCTTTTTATAAGCATCAAGGAGGTGGTTTGTTCTAAAAGTGTTTAAAAATGTCAAAAATATTTTAAGGTTGTCCATCTAAACAAGTTTAAAAGTAGTTTTTAAAATAAATAAGTCTAAAATATATTTTTTTAATCCAATCCAAACAGGCCCTAAACCTAGTTTTGCTATGAAAACTTGTTTTGTCATCATCAGTCAAAAACAAAATTAAGGCTAAAAAGGCCCGTTTGGAAGAGCTTGTACTTTCTTAGTACATGAAAAAGAATTCTTAGAGTCCATTTGGTTCATGAATTAAAACCATGAGATTATAACTATTTTCAATTTACGTGTGTTTTTTGTGAGAAAAAATATTGTAGCGAACCATGAACCATGATTCGAATCAGAGAACGAGTCCTCTAACCAAACATGCTCTTATTTTAGAAGAGCTTTTGAGCATATTTGGAAGGCTAACAAGGCCCGTTTGGAAGAGTGTAATTTTTTAGTACATGAAAAAGAGCTCTTTTATTTTAGAAGAGCTTTTGAGCATATTTGGTAAATAAGTCAATAGCTTATTGTTACAAAAAGTAATGTAAAAGCCACATTTAATTTTTTCTGCTACAGTTAAAAATTTTTAGAAAATATCATATCTCAACTCGAATTGAAAACTTGAATGCGCGAAGCGAATGAGGGCAAATATCACATCTAATTTATTGTTCACATACATAACGTTAAAAAGGTTAGTAAAAGAACTTATCATGAATTCTCTTTCATAAGCACTTATGATTTATCCAAAAATATCTTATAAAAGTCAAAAGTATTTTCAAATTGTCTATCTAAACAGCTCTAAAAAGAGCTTTTAGATTGAATAAGATAAAAGCAATTTTTTTAAGTTCATCCAAGTAAGCTCAAAATTTGTTGTTCTGCTTCTTATAATCCACAAATGGCGTGGCACCAAAGTAGCAGCAATCTAATTTTTTTTTGGAAAAAAAAAAGAGAGATATTGTTAAGAGTATATGGATCTTAATTTTTATCATGTATTTTTGATTAATATGTTTTTGACTAATATAGTTATTTGATTAAAAAAAATTTAATTAAAAATAAAGAATAAAAATCTAAACTCATGCATTTTAAAAGAATATTTGACTCATTTCTATTAAAAAAAAGGTTTTCGATTGAATGCACATGTTAACATTTATATAATATTTTTTTATACCAATGAGAATTAACGAGTCAATCTAGCAAAATGTCCAAAGATTATTTTCATGACACTCAATTTAATAATGTTTTCGTTCCTTGCTTCCTTACATTCTCTCTCTAATATTATGGATGTTAACATAAGATCATCATACTTAAAATTTTTTTTTTTCCCATCATCTTACTTAAATATTTGTTCCTTTCTTACTTTGTCTTTCAGTTATGTATAGAAAATCTAATCTTCTTTTTCAAGATTACGCGCCCAAACGCTTGAATATGCTATCGTTCATTCTCTAATCTGACGGATATAATCTTGATTTGTAAAATGCAATATATAACTTTCAAATTCTAATGGTTAAGATGCTTGAAATTTTGCTTTTAAGATTTGGGATGGAGAAAGATATAATTTTATAAGTTTTTATTAACATTAGAGTACCTTTCATGTCTACATCATAATTTACAATGTCTATCTTTTCTAGTCCCCCATTGTCAAAAGCGAAAATTTAAACTAGTCCCTACCAAAGAGGAGATGAAAATGTATCTTACGGAAAATTGAAGGTCGCCAAAAAAAAAAAAAAAATATATATATATATATATATATATCGTTTGTAGGGCAAGACATCGACATCAACATCGCTATCGTAATTATTATAAGAAAGAAAAAAACAAAAATCAGCTGTACTAACAATATAAAAGTCTTCACACGAAAATAATAATAATAATAAAAAGAATAGAGAAGTTGGCAATCCAATCGCGATAGGTGACGTTTTTCTGTGATTATTTTTTAATGATTGTTTAATATTATATTTATTAATAAATATAATATTTATTAATAAATATAATATTTATTTTAAAATTTGGTCACTGACTTTAGTGACTTTTTAATATTATATTTATTGGTAAATGTCTTATTTATTTGTAAATATCATATTTATTTAAAAATTCAGGTACCGACTCTAGTAGTCGTTTAACATTGTATTTAGTAATAAATACTGTAATTACTATTAAATATCATATTTATCTAAAAAGTTAGGCACCGAATCTGACAACAGTTTAACACTGTATTTATTAATAAATTTAGTGTACGAAAAATTAAAGCCGCCAAAAAAAAAAAAATATATATATATATATATATATATCGTTTGTAGGGCAAGACATCGACATCAACATCGCTATCGTAATTATTATAAGAAAGAAAAAAACAAAAATCAGCTGTACTAACAATATAAAAGTCTTCACACGAAAATAATAATAATAATAAAAAGAATAGAGAAGTTGGCAATCCAATCGCGATAGGTGACGTTTTTCTGTGATTATTTTTTAATGATTGTTTAATATTATATTTATTAATAAATATAATATTTATTAATAAATATAATATTTATTTTAAAATTTGGTCACTGACTTTAGTGACTTTTTAATATTATATTTATTGGTAAATGTCTTATTTATTTGTAAATATCATATTTATTTAAAAATTCAGGTACCGACTCTAGTAGTCGTTTAACATTGTATTTAGTAATAAATACTGTAATTACTATTAAATATCATATTTATCTAAAAAGTTAGGCACCGAATCTGACAACAGTTTAACACTGTATTTATTAATAAATACCATATTTACTAGTAAATATCAAATTTATCTGAAAACCTGACTACCAATTCCGGCGACCATTTAAAATTATATTTATCGATAAATATCGTATTTACTAATAAATATTATATTTATCCGAAAATTCAGCCACTGACTCTGACGACCGTTATAACATTATATTTTCCAGTAAATGTCGTATTTACTAGGGCTGGCAATATGGGTCACGACACGACTCAAAAACGACACGAATTTTACGGGTTAGGGTTGAGAAAAAAGAGGTTCGGGTCAGAATTGGGTCGACCTGAAATTGACACGAAAAACATGGGTCAATTTCAGGTTGGACCCGCCTAACCCGAACACGACACGAAACTCGTAAAAAACTAAAAAATACATATATTTTTCATTTCATATTTTTAATTTTATTATAAACTTGTGATATCATGATAGTTATACTCAAAATCTGATACTATTATTTGCTTAATTTCAATGGATGTTATTGTAATTTAGTGTGTTATGAATTTTAAGTTATTTTTAATATGTAAAAAACTAAATAAAAGTATACAATTTTCGTGTCAATTTTGGGTTCACGGGTCAATTTCGTGTCACGGGTCATTTTGGGTCGTGTTGTGTTAATTCGTAAAGTGGTCGTGTCGTGTTCGTGTTGCGGTTTTTAAAAAATTTCGTGTCACAGGTCGTGTTCGGGTTGACTGCAAATTTAGAAAAAAACAATCAAAACACGACACGAACACGACACGTGACACGAATTACCACCCCTAGTATTTACCAATAAGTATAATATTTATTAAAAAATTTAGCCACCGACTTCGGCGACGGTTTAGCACTATATTTATCAGTAAATACCGTATTTACTAGTAAATATCATATTTATCTAAAGATCTGGCTACCGACTCTGGTGACCATTAAATATTGTATGTACCAGTAAATATCCCAGATTCCTAATTATAACTTGTAAAGTATTTACAGGTAAGTACAAAATAAAATCTCAAAAACTCTCAAATCAAACCCTAACATGAAAATCATATACCCCCGCCGGTCGCCGCCAAACCAGTAGCCGGCATTCCGCCGCCCACACTGATGGCCACCCCAACGCGACAACATGCCCCTGAAAACTACATGGCATAGGAAACAAATCTCAGACAAACCTAGACAAAACAAATCATATAAAATAAAATCACGAGGAGCACTGTCGTCATAAGATCAGAGGTACGATTTCTGACGGCTAATCGCTGAAGACAGATAAGAGCTGCTCCAATGAGTCGCTGACGCAGACAAGCAGAGTTGCTTCGAGGAGAGAGAGTGCAAGAGAGATGGGATGTCAATCTAATCATCGTCAAAGAAGATGATTCGCGTCGCAACTCCAGAATCAACACCGGAGACGAAGACTGACCTCCACATATCACGATTTGGCCGAATTTGTTTGCGATCTGGTTGGGTTTGATCGAAAAAGATCTGGTTGGGTTTGATCGAAAAAAGAGATGTTGGAATCACAAAGAGTCACCCATGCTAAAGAACTTCGACTTGGGATTAGGGAGAGAGAGAGAAGATGAAGAGATAGAGAGAGTGAGAGGTGAATGATGATATAGAGAGGAGAGGAAAAGGGTTGTGAGGAACAAAATCAAACCCTAAATAAAAGGGTAATTTTGAAAAAAGAACACTTTATTTCAGAATTAAAATTGAGATACGCTATATTTACTATGTTTTTATGAATATGTTATTTTCTTCAAAAGTATGTATGAAATATGCCATTTAGTGCATTTTCCCATAAAATAACATTTGGAACCTTAGATAAGGCAAAATTGAGAAATGAAAAAAAGAAAGAGAAAGGAAGAAGCTTTGAATTCAAAAGAAGAGATTTTCAATCAAAATCAGATTTGATTATCGAAAAGGAAAATTAAAATCAGATTAGAATAATGTAAATATAATAATAAGAATAAGAAAGTGTATTATAAACTATCTTGAAATTATATTTGAAACTACAAATTGAGTACATAAGGAATATGGGAATTATACGATATGATGTTGGGCAATCCCAACTAATAAGATTTTGTTTTTGAACCTAAAATTTGTATTAAAACCATTTTTTTTTTTTTGTCAGATTCACATATCTAGTCAAAGGTTTCAAGGTATAACCGCAAACTTTTAAAAAGAATAATAAAAAGGGAGTTTCTTAAAAAAAAGTAACTATGACGTTAGATCGCATAAACAATTATCCATTTTGTATATTATTTTAATCAGTTTTAAAGGTAAAAAATTAACTTTATTGGTAGACTGACTTATTGAAAAATGTCTCTAATAAAAATAAAAAATAAAAAAGGATAAATATTTTTAAAATATATGAGTTAAATTTGTTTAAAAGGATATAAGTCTAAATTTTTACCTATTATTCTTAATTAATTATGTTTTTTTGTTAAATTTAAAATAAAAACAATAGCTTTTAGTTAAGTAATTGTATTACTTTTAAGAGTAAAAAATAAAAATAAAAATCTATATAATTTAGTTAAAAGAGTTTTAATTAAGATTAAGAGATAAAAGTGTTGATCTAAATAATTTCAACAATTTTATCGAAAATTAAAGCTTCAAGAAAAGGGGTAAAACCGTAAAATTAACCAAATAATGTGCGAAAGGCGAGTCCTGATTGGTCAGGGACTTCTCTCACTCTCCACTATCTCCACGCGTCCTTCTCTCTCTCCCCACTATTTTTGGCACACAAAACTCTCTTTTCTCTCTCCTATCGCTCCTGCCAAATTCTGTTACAAACATACAATCCCCCTCTCCTCTCCTTCTCGTCTCTGGTTTTCTTTTCCTCTTCTTAGGTTCATTTCTCACCTTTGTTTGGTCAAATTCCTCCTCTAAGCCTCTCTTTTCTTAAATCGTTTCGGAATCGAATTCCTTCAATCCCAGTGCCGTTCTTTATCTTTCCCTTTATATTTTCCCACTTTCTTCTTTCACTTCCCTCTTACGCATTCCAGGGCCTCTCTCTCCTCTCTCCCTAAAAGCACACTGCTTTCAGAGAGAAAAAAAAAAAAAAACTGCCCGTTCTTTCCTCTCTCGCTTTCTCTCTCTAGAAAATAATCGAAACTCAAGAATCTCTGCTTCAGGAGGGGAAAAGGGTTTTTTTGTTGATAAAAATTGATTCAAGTTTTCCACTTATCCTCTGAGAATGCCTCTGAATCCTTCTCGTGGATCAATTTTTTCCACTTAATCTTCGACGGAGCAGAGCTCCTCCGACAGCCAAAAGAGCAAGAGTTCAATTGGTGTTTTCGAGTCAGCTTTCATGAGTTTCGATTACGATTCGGAGGACTCCGAAATTGAAGGAATGGAGAAGAAGACCACTGAAGAAAAGATTGAACCCTCTGAGCCGGGGATTGATGACATTCTTGCTCTGTTTCCAATTGATCCTTCTGAGAAGGAAATTAGAGGTTGGTTTCATGGTTTTGAAGAGGTTTCGATATCGGCTAGTGATTGCTCATCTTCGACGGTTGAAGCTGAGAAAACCATTGTTGGTGAGGATGGAGTATTTGCAAAACTGAATTTTGTCTGGAATAGTTCCGTAATTTATGGAAAAACATCAATGCCATGTGATAAGGTTAAGGGTAGTGGATTTATGGAGGAGTTTCTTAGTCTTAGCCATGTCGAAAATCGGGTATTTGATGGTAATGGAGATAAGGAAGCAGTTCCTGATTGTAGCCTATTGATGGATAATTCTTCTCCGGGTGAGGATGCCTTTGATGCCATGTCTTATTCCTTGAGATTCTTGGGCGTTGAGGACCTTTTATCTGTTGAAAGGGTTTGCAGATCTTTGCGCAGAGCTGTTAGAAATAACCTTTTGTGGAGGAAAATTTACATCACTTGGCCATTGAATCAGAAGATCACTGATGATGCTCTTGTAAAGTTAACTAGCCGGGCTGAAGGTAATCTCGACTGCTTGAATCTGGTGCAGTGCCTGATGATTACTGATGATGGTTTGAAGCGTGTGCTTGATAGCAATCCGAAGCTGAGAAAGGTGAAAAACCTTCTCTTTTTTTTTTCATATTTTAAAGCCGTCCTATTATGCCTTGAGATACTTTAGAATTTTGATAACTGGCAACGCAAAAAGCACTTGTAATGTGGCTCATGCAATTAGTATTTGCATTTTGGGAATGTTTTGCATAAGATATAATCTTGATGCATTTTCTTATGACATGGCTTGTGTGTCATTTTAGGGTGCAAAAATCTTCCCGTGGGGATTGGTTTCTGTTTTTCTATGCATGTCAAACGAGTTGATGGTTTTCAGAGATTGGAAAAAGTAGCTTTTAGGTCTTTTATGGAAGTATTATTGTTTATAATAATTTACGCTTATTTCCCTATATTGTCGGCGAGCTTGTAAAACACGCAGAATGGATTAAACTGTCCACGGTATCTTCGCATGCCTTTGGTGATCTGACACTTTAGCAGCCGGTAAAGCTTGGCGTGTCTTAGTTTTTGGTTAAAATAAGTGCACCAACTGAGATTCACAAATATTAAAGTTATGATGCGGGATTATTAGAGTTTCATTGTCTCTTGTGAGTAGTTTTAAGTTTATGGTTCTTCATTCTTGGTTATTTGTATGTGTTGTCAGTTCTTTACTTTGTTCTGTAGCCAACTTACGGTAATTTTTCTTGTCTAAGCAGTTAAGCTTGCCAGGATGTCATGGGATTAGCGCGGACTGCATTTTGAATAATTTAAGGGCCGCCAAGTCTGCAGGCGCTCTTCGAATAAAGCTCCTGAGAATTTATGGGATCTCTGGTCTAACGAAGAACAAGCTTGACGAGTTGAAGTCCTTGTTGGGTGAAGATAACAAAAAGCAGCTTACAGCCTACAAGCCAATGTTTTATCATGACAGTCAGACGCATGTCATCTCTAATGGTGATGATCGTGCCATTGACGTCGATCTATGCCCTAAATGCCAGTGTGTGAGTCTAGTTTATGATTGTCCGGCAAAGAGTTGCCGACAGAAACATCAGTCCGCTCAGTTGTGTAGAGCTTGCAGACTCTGCGTAGACCGCTGTAGTCTTTGCGGTTGCTGCGATAAAGACTCCGAATATATGGAGGAATATTTTCTACGAGTGTTTTGCTCGGATTGTTATTATTCCCTGCTCGACTATCGTGAGAAGCCCGGAGAGAAGGCTGTTTCCCCTACACTCACCTTTTATATTTTCGGCTGATTTAGAAGACATTGGAGTATTGGACGTTGTAAAATAAAAAAGGGAAAACAACCTGAAAAAGTTGGCATCAAGAAAAGTAGGGTCCAGTTAGCTCATGTCAGAGTAGCTTCTATGCTGGAAACTTGCATTCACCAAATGCCATGGAGAAACTACTTGATTATTGATTGATTTCCTCAGCAGCATGTAATGCTAGAGTTGCAAATAAGAGAAGTAACCATATGCTAAGCAGGAAAAAAAAAAGAAAAGAAAGGAAAAACAAAAAAAGAAAAGGGAAGTAAAATATTTAGTGTCTTGCAGAAAGTTCAGACAAGGCTGGAAGAGAAGATCTTTAAGGGAATTTCTCTGTCAACTGAGTTATGGTTGGTGCAAATAGGCCTTCAGCCACTATATATTCTTTGATGTCATCTTGAAAAAAAAGGACTGTACCAATCTAATAAATGGTCAAGATTTGGCTCTCGAGTCTTGACTGTGTTTAAGTCCAGCCAGTCCTATAGACGATCTTAAGAAGTTTTCTTTAATACATGATGAGTGAGTTTTATTCGCTCATTTAGTATCGTTTTACACTTAATATCTAGTTGGTTTTCGAGGTTTTTGTTAGTTTTTATGTGTGTTTTTGTTCATTGTTTGAAGGTTAGGTGAAAGTTTATGATTTGGAAGGTTTTGGACAACTTTTGGTGAAAAAAGAAAGCAAACACAGCGTTTAGATGCTAATTTGTAGCGTTTTGGCGCTGAGTTTTACAGTACCAGCACATTTGGACAGAACGGGTAGCGTTTTGGCGCCCATGACAGCGCTGCAGTGCTCTACAAATTGACGTTGGTGCTGATTTTTGCACAGCCAGCGCCGCAGCGCTAGGAACTCAGCGCCACGGCGTTATGACGCGAGAAAAGACGCATTTTGAAGGCCAATCGTGAGAAAACTTACCCATTTTGACCATAATGCTCCAAAACATATAAATAGATGATTCTAGGGCAATTAAAGGGACTTTTTAGACTGTGAGTGACGGTTGACTTTTGAGAGGAGATTTAAGAAGAGAAAGGAGAATTGAGTACGGGGAAGAACAACGGCTAAAATCCGGAGACAGAGACGCTTCAATTCAACTCCAAATTAGTTTTTTTTCTTTCCTTTCCAATGATTAAGACTTTGTTTAGGAATTTATTTTATTTAGAGATGAATTAATTTCTTTTTCTAGGGTTACGATGTAGCCGGATTATGAATGCTCAGATTCTCAATCTTCTTTTAAGTAATTAATGTTTAATCCATATATGCTGAGTATTTCAATTTATTCTTAATGCTTGTGATTGTTTGGCCAACTATTACATGATTTTGTATTTAATTTGAGACCGAAAGGTAATAATTAAATAAGCTCTTAATTGAAATATCATGAGTTGTTCATAGGATAGAATTAGAGATATCTATGATACTTGTGCAGTTCTTTTGAATTTCTTACACTTAATAATTTTCAACAGGTTTAGAAGTCTGACAGAGATGTAGAGTTTGCTTGTTGGATTAAAATTATTATGGCTTGAGAAAGAATAATAATTGCTTTAGAGAAATTACTGTCAGTATAGGATTGAATGTTAATTTTCTTGAATTATGAGAATTTGAACAAGATTAATTTTGATGAAATCAGAAACCCTAGAATCTTAATCTATTAAATTTTATTCCACTGCTTAACATTGTATAATTTATTTAATTGTTTTAGTTTCACTTTACTTAATTTTATAAACTCTCTTTTCGATTATTCAAATAAAATTTGAGATAATATAATTTTAGTAATTAGTAAACAATAATTATTGTGAAACGATATTTTTATTCACTATTATATTACTTAATTGTGATAACGTATACTTACGTTACCCTCCGGCTTCTTTCATTTGCTTTTGTTGAAATTCGGTCATTTTCGTTGTTTTGCACTGTAGATCGTAGTGGTGGGCTAGTGGCGGCTTCAGCAAAGAAAATGAAAATAGCGAATTTTATTGAGATTTTTATGAGGTGATTGGGCTAGGGGGAAAATTATAACTGAGTCATGGTGGAAAGATATTAAATCCGTTCGTTTCGCTAGTTCGAATTATAACTTAAATTTTTGTTATATTATTTTTTCTTATAAAAATTTAAATTTACTTTTTAATTTCTTACCTCAAGCGTAACTGGTGATTTATTTATAGATAATTATATTCTATTAATTTAATATAAAAATTGAAGATAACTTGAAGTATAATGGCTGCGTTTAGAATTGATTCTAAAATAATTTTATTTTCTGTATGAAAATGAAAATAAAAACGTTTTCATTTAATTTTTGAAAACATGTAATAGAATTTACAACTGTTCTTTCATCAACAAAACTTGACCTCATTTGAGGAAAAAAAAAACACACATTACTGAAACATATGACTAAAACGATTGAAACTGTATATACAAAAGCAAACAAAATATATGTGTGTGTGTGTCTCTGTCTGCGTGTATTACAAATTGCTACTATAACTTCACAATATCCACAAGGGGGCAATAATATAACTTCATAGAAAGCAAAATTCAAGAAATATTACCATCAAATTCAATTAAGAAAAACTAGAAATAACACAAGAGACAAAAGCAGATACCTTCAACCAGACTTCAGTGTTGTTGGGCAAATTAGGGAGATTCCACTTGTGAATTGGAGTTGGAAACTGATAATAAAATCACCAGTAAGTATAAACATTCAGTACAAACCATAGCAACACTCCAAAAAAGCCTCAGAAAACAAGAATCTAAAAAACCCATTTTAAAAGTTCCCCAAGAAAACCAAAGGATGGCCTGAAGAACCAAAAAGGGAAAGGAGAATAATCGGCTTACATGGCCGAGAGAGAAGACGTGAGAGGGAATTGGGTTGAGATGGGTCGCCCATGAAGGAGGCGAATATGGTTTCTTTGTGAGGAAATCCAAGCACACTGCTCTGATGGTGTTGGACCCCATTTTCTGAAGCTGAGAAGTGAGAGAGAAAGTGAGTTTGAGAAGGCACTTTTGCTGGTCAAAGATGTGGTTTTTTCTGAATCGGGCAAGAAGAACGGAGGAGCTCGGCCAAGAATCAAATGGCGCAGCTCAAATCAGAGGATTCTGGGTTGAAGAAGGGCAGAAAAAAATGAAAACGGGTCTCTGGTGGGCTGAAGAGAGAAAAGGAAAACAGAGGAGAAAATGAAAACGAGTTTTTTACGTTTTCAGATTTTCAGAAAATGACAAATGTTTTTGTTTTTGTTTTTTAAAAATTTTTGCTCCAAATGCGTTTTTTATTTGCGTTTTCAGTTTCTAATCTCGAAAACTGTGAAAAATGGAAATGAAAACAGAAACAAACAGGCCATTGTGTTTTTTCGGCGTGTTTCTACCTAGTGCCACTGAGTGCGTCCATGCACATGTGAATCTGAACCCATTCTGGCTTGGTCTCCTTAGTATTGTGTTCCTTTGGAGGGGACTTGTATGCAATTTGGTGGTCGCGTTTCTCTTCGTAGATTGGGGGCATATGGGTGCTTTGGTGCCTCTACGTTGTGGGTGTTTTGGGCCTTATGGGGCAGCGACTCTATAAGTAAGGTGCTTTCCCTTGTCGCCAGTAATGGCTCAACTATTTTTCGAGATTCTTCATGTTATTTTTTTTTCTTTCTTTGATAATTAACATTCTTTTGATTTGCTTGTTGTGTTGCAGCACCCTTATTCATTATTGGTAGTAGTCGCCTTATCATTGGATGTTTGGTTGGTGTCGTTTGGGCTTTACTCTTTTGTTTTAATTTATGTTTGTCGAATAAAGCACTAATGTTTCCCTCGTTTATTATTATTTTTTGTTTTGTTGGATTTTTGTTGTAATAACCTCTCTTTACCTTTCGGTGTTGTCTTACTGTTTAGTGCACAAGTAATGTTCCTTTGCGGTGTTGTGGCAGACCTTAGTGCTCAAGGCCTCTTGATTTGGATCGATTAGAGTTTTCCACTGACTATATTGGTGTGTTTAAAAGAGTCGTTTGTGTGCTCAATTATGTGTATTTCTCTTTAGTTTTCTCTTGTTAAAACTTGAATATTTCAGTCAAACTTATCGGTGGTTTCGATTTATGTCTAGACTGAGTAATTTGTTATGCCTATCGTGCCTTTGCGGTGCCGTGGCATACCTTAGTGCTCGAGGCCTCTTGATTTGGATCGATTAGAGTTTTACACCGACTATATTGGTGTGTTTGAAAGAGCCGTTTGTGTGCTCAATTAGGTGTATTTCTCTTTAGTTTCCTCTTGTTAAAACTTGAATATTTTAGTCAAACTTATCGGTGGTTTCGATTTATGTCTAAACTGAGTCATTAAGATCTCGTTTATTTCACTGATTCGAATTTAGAATTTAAATTTTACTACAGTAAAAAGCTCTTAGAAATACTCACATTTAACTTTTTTACTACAGTAAAAAGCTCTCACATAAAGTCACATCTCAATTCGAATTAAAAACTCGAATCAACAAATTAAACGGACCCTAAATGTATTATGCCTATCGTGTTTGAATTACTGTTTGTATTTCTCTAATTTGGAATGCAATTCCCTTTTAAAATAATGATAATAATAATTATTATTACAATTATAATTAATTGTATATTGAGGACCAGTTTGCTCGAAATTTTAAAAATCAAGGACTAGTTGTGCCAATTAGCCAATGTGTTAAAATTTGGACAGAGAATGTCATTTGTGTAGCACGTGACCTTTGTAGGTGCAATTACGAAAATAACCCTAAAAGGCAAGATGACCAAGAATTGTCAAAACACTTTAAACCATCAGATCTTATTTTGATTTATTGTCCACCTTTGATCATTTCTCCCAAAACCATTGAAATATGTCATCTCGCAGTCACAACCCGACCCAGCAAGCAACCCACCTCTCCCCAAGGCTAGCCGCCCCCTCCCCCCCCACCCTCTCCGGCGATTCAATCTTCTGTTGAATTAGAGGTAATATTAGTTATTCTATCTTCTCGTAAGAATCACTAACATGAGATTTATCGATTAATATTTGGTATTGGTTATCGTTTAATATGGATGTTAATTGTTTATGTATTTATTTTTGGTTAGCTCTCTGTATATAGAAGCAAAGACGGCCATGGAGAACGGTGAAATTCCGGAAAACGCCAATGAACGTAAGCTTACGTTCTTTTTCTATGTCCATGAATGTAGAAAGCTGCTTTTATTTTATTTTATTTTTGTAAGGGATTTCTTACTTTTGTCTGTTTTCACGGGGTTTCCAGATTGCCCAGGTCCGCAATCAGAATCAGCTGGAAAATCTGACGACTGCGAAGGATGCCCTAATCAACAAATTTGTGCTACAGCTCCTAAAGGCCCTGATCCAGGTATTTGGTCTAGTTGTCTTGAAAATGTGTTCCTTTTTCTTTGAATTCATTTTAGACATTTCTGATAGGGGATTCTTAAGACCACCTAGGAAAAACAACTGGTTCTTATATAGACTCAAGCTTGTGTGGTATTTGATTTTTGAACTGTCTTTCTTAACATAACAAAGATGTGATTTTTGTTGTTAATGATTAGTGGATGTTTATCTGTAGACCTGGTTGCGATTGCCGAACGAATGGCGACTGTGAAGCATAAGATACTGGTCTTATCAGGGAAGGGTGGAGTTGGCAAGAGCACGTTCTCGGCCCAACTTTCGTTTGCCTTAGCAGCTATGGACTTCCAGGTGGGTCTTCTTGACATTGATATCTGTGGCCCAAGCATCCCGAAGATGCTTGGCCTGGAAGGTCAAGAAATCCACCAGAGCAACCTCGGTTGGTCTCCGGTCTACGTGGAGTCCAATCTCGGTGTTATGTCGGTCGGTTTCATGCTTGAGAATCCTGATGATCCCGTTGTATGGAGGGGTCCCCGAAAGAATTCGCTCATCAAGCAATTCCTGAAGGATGTGTACTGGAGCGAGCTTGATTTTCTGGTGGTTGATGCTCCTCCTGGAACCTCAGATGAGCACATTTCGATTGTCCAGTACCTTAACGCTACTGGAATAGATGGTGCTATCATAGTTACAACTCCACAACAAGTCTCCCTGATAGATGTACGAAAAGAAGTCAGTTTTTGCAGGAAAGTCGGACTTCAGGTTCTCGGGGTCGTCGAGAACATGAGTGGGTTGTCCAATCCACTGATGGACTCAAAGTTTTTGAAGATTACAGAGACCGGTGAGGAAAAAGATGTCACAGACTGGGTTAGGGAGTATGTGAGAGAGAGAGCTCCAGAATTGTTGAATGTCATAACTCAAACTGAAGTTTTCGATAGCAGCGGGGGCGGCGCCTTGAAAATGGGTAGGGGAATGGGAGTTACGTTTTTGGGGAAGGTACCGTTGGACCCAAAGCTCTGTAAAGCAGCGGAAGAAGGCAGATCATGTTTCATCGGCGAGAACTGCGGGGTGAGTGCTCCTGCATTGAAGAAGATCATAGAAAAACTGATGGAGAATCCGGGGATATCAAAAATGTTGGTGGATGATGTTGCATAGCTGATTTGCTTGCTTTATTGGAGTGATCAAGATTTTTGTGTCGTCAGATGTGTAATAGTTATATTTGTCGTTGTTTTGATTTTCTTAGTTAGATCAATAAATAACAACTCTTTTCTCTTATGGGATGGAATTTCTCGGCCATGGATGGGATTTCATTTGATTGTGTATGACTTTTCGTTTGACTCATCATCTGGAAAACGACAGGAAGTGAAAACGACATGCATGGGCAACATCATCAAGACGAAAAGTACGTATAAACGACAATAACATACTAAACCTCGGAAACAAGAGCGACAATATAATATTGATGGACTCTACCATGAAAACGAAACGACAGACGAAAAGCACGCAAGGACAACAGCATACTAAAACTTGGAAACGACAGTACAGTATTAATAGAGTGTCTAATGAAAACGACTTCAATATGGGAAAACGACAACATGCAAGAGAAAAAGAACTTTTCTGTTTTCGGTCGGGCACTCGGTCTGTCGGTCACAAGTAAAATCTTTTTGGGTTAATCACATGCTTTTTGAGGTTTATCTTTTATATCACTTTAGTTATTAACTTTTAAAATATACGCAACTAATTTTTGAGATTTTATTTTATTTTAATTTTGATTTTTAAGTGTCCATTACTTGACGAAATTTGTAGGAATTAAAAACAAAAATTTAAAAAATTCAAAATTTTAAAAATTATAATAATATAAAAATAAATGTTAATTTGTACATATAATTTATAAATTTCAACTTTTTTAATTAAATATTTGACATTTAATTAATAGAAGAATTGAAATTAAAATAAAGTAAAATTTTAGAGATTAATTATATAATATTTTAAAAATTAAAAACTAAAATGAGATTGAGATAAATTTTAAGGACAATTGATAAGATCGATCCAGGTTTCATTCAATTCATTCGAAATTTATAATTTTAACGGGTTGTTTTTTTATAACAAAACTCAGAAAAAGTTTAAACTCAAGTTCCAATTTTATTCAACTTTACTCAACTTTATTCAAATTATAACTTTAACTCAAGTTATAACTCAAATTTAACTCAAAAATTACACTCAAATTACACTCCAAAAGAACAACCCTTAATTTCTCAAATTAAAACTTAGACTCATGGCTTGTTCTTTTGATGTTTTTGAGTTAGGTAACTTGAGTGTAGATGAATTAAGTTTGAGTTATAATTTGAGTTGAAGTTGTAATTTGAGTTTGTGTTTGGTTGTGTACATTTGAGTTATGATTTGAAATAAAAATCTTTTTGAGTTTGTGTTTGAGTGAGTCAAAACTTGAATTTGTATTTAGATAGTATTTTAATAAAAACTCAATACTGATAAAAAATTTTAATACGGTATATGAGTCGGGTTTTATTCGTCTTTTCGTTGTCAACGCATAGAAAAAAAATCATCTCAATCAGAATTAAAACGAAAAAGTTATAATATTTTTAAGAATAGAAAAAATATTGTTCATCAATTTGAGTTTGAGTTTCTGAACTCGAGTTGAAGGGGAAACTTTTAGGCCTTATTTATTTTACCAATTCGAGTTTTGCTACAGTAAAAAGCTCTTAGAAACAGTCACATCTAACTTTTTTGCTATAGTAAAAAGCTCTCACATAAAGTCACATCTCAATTCGAATTAAAAACTCGAATCAGCGAACTGAACGAGCCCTTAAACTCGAGTTTTAGTCCCAAATTTGAATTCAAACTTAAAAAAATATGAACTCAAATAAAGTTGTAACTCGAGTTATTTTTTTTGAGTTTTTCGCTCAAAAACACCCCGTTCACTTCACTGATTCGAGTTTGTAATTCGAATTGAGATGTGATTTTGTGTTAAAGCTTTTTACTATAGTAAAAAAAATAGATGTGACTATTTTTAAGAGTTTTTTACTGTAGTAAAACTCAAATTTTAAACTCGAATCGGCGAAATGAACGGGGCTCAAGGGAACAGCCCCTCAATCTTTTTGTTTGAGAATCAGTGAGTCAGAAGTCAACACAACTCATTCAACAATATGAACGGTTGAGATTCTCTAATCACAAACCAGGTGAATTTACACGTGTACTGACAACTGTCTTATGTACTCTACCTCCTCTTCTTCCTCCGCTTTCCTCGGCAATGGTTGATCGTCTGAGATTCTTCTCAGACGAACTCAAGAAAAAAATCCAGTGAAAGCACCTGCAAACTCCAACCAATCGGGCGTCGGTATGTACTGCTCGGAGAAGTCGCGTCCGGTGGACTTCGTCGGAGGAGGAGAAGAAGAAGAATCGGAAAGAGAGATGATGATGGAGGTGGTTTCAGTCTCCGCCAATGGCGTGCTGCCACCTCACCAGAGGGCCCACACGCAGATGATAATTCTGGGAGAGAACAACAGCAGCGGATCAGGAGAAGAGCAGGAGGTGAAAGCCCCGAAGAAGAGGGCGGAGACGTGGGTCCAGGAAGAGACCCGGAGCCTAATCGGGTTCAGGAGAGAGGTCGACGGGCTCTTCAACACCTCAAAGTCGAACAAGCATTTGTGGGACCAGATCTCCGCCAAGATGAGGGAGAAGGGATTCGATCGCTCTCCCACCATGTGTACGGACAAGTGGAGGAACTTGCTTAAGGAGTTCAAGAAGGCCAGGCACCAAGTCAGAGTCGGTAGTAGGTCTGCTAAGATGTCGTATTATGAGGATCTTGAGGAGCTTCTCAGAGACAGGAACAAGCACAATAATAGCAATAATAGTTGCAACAATAACAATAATAACAATAATAACAATTCTGCTGTTGCTGTTTTGGGTTCGGCTTACAAGACTCCAGCTCCTCCCAAAGTTGACTCCTTTATTCATTTCTCTGATAAGGGTGAGTTTTTCTATATATATATATATATATGTATGTATGTATATATATAATATTATATAGTAAGTTTGGTTAATCTCAGTGAGTCTTGGAGTTTGATGGGTTATGTGTATTTTATTTTATTTTTTATATTTTGGACAGGTCTTGAGGATGCTAGTATCCCATTTGGCCCAATTGAAGGTAAATTCTTTCTGTTATGGACTGCCATTGTTTTTCTCAGAATTTCTCTGGACTTTTTTTTTTTTTGGTTATTTAAAGTTTTATTGTATGGGTTTGTTTACAGCTAGCGATCGTTCTGCAGTAAACTTGGAGAGGCGGTTGGATCATGAAGGTGATCCACTTGCTATTACTGCAGCTGATGCAGTTGTAGCCAGTGGAGTTCCACCTTGGAATTGGAGAGATCCCCCTGGAAATGGTAACGTTATAGACTTGAGACATAGAATCTTTTGAGGTTTTGTTACTTCTTGAAATGTTGGTTTTGAGTATTGTAATACAACTTTAAGGAAAACGATATCTTATTTAACTGCCATTGGAAGAAGTTAGTGCCTAGTGAGCTGTCTGAAGGAAAGAAGCGCCATCCAAACTAACCGCCATTTTAAAATTGCAAGTTTCAGATTTGGCTATAAAAATGACAGCTTCACTAGCCTACTATGTTTTGAGTGTAATTGATCAAATTGGCAAGAACACAGTTCTAAACTTAGATTTGACCTCTTCTGGTGCTATTTAATTTATGAAAATATACTCAGGTGTTTCTCAATAAGAAATGATCCGTCACTAGGCCCGAGCAATCTTTTTGGTCTATTCAAATCATTTGTTTAGTTTATCCTTGTCCATTTGTTTCTTCACATATTTTATTTTGTAAAGAATCATCCCCTTGGATGTTTACATTTTAGCTATATAGTTTTAGTATTGGCCTTTGTTAAATTCCGGGTATCTTTCTCTATTAAGACTTAAATCTGTCCATACCTATTGAACTTGGTAATGGGGTCGGCAGGAGGAGAGAGCCAATCTTCTTATTGCGGAAGAATCATTACAGTCAAGTTGGGAGAGTATAGCAGACGCATCGGTATTGACGGAACTGCGGATGCAATAAAGGAGGTGATCAAATCCGCTTTCAGAATAAGAACAAAGCGGGCGTTTTGGTTGGAGGATGAAGATCAGGTTGTCCGGAGTCTTGACAGGGATATGCCTCTGGGAAACTATACCCTACACCTTGATGAAGGTTTCTTTTCTTTTCCTTTTTCGCTGTATGTGTTATGTTCTGCTTTAAAAACAGGCTCTTGTAAACAAATATAAGAGAATTAATTACCTTCAGATCTTCGTAACGTTATACTAAAGCCATAATGCTTTAGAATCCTCAACAAATTTAAACTTTGCGTTGGTTGTTTTTATTTGTGGCAGGAATTACAATAAAACTTTGCTTCTATGATGAGTCGGACAGAGTTGTGGTGCGTAATGAAGAGATAACGCTGTACACAGAGGACGATTTCCGTGATTTTCTCACGCGCCGTGGCTTCACCGGTTTAAGAGAATTGAGTGGCTATCGGCGCATTGATACTTTGGATGATCTTCAGTCTGGTGCAATGTACCAAGGAGTCAGACTTCTTGGCGACTAGCCTGCAATTTATCTTATAAATCCCTCTTAGATTGTAAAAGGTCACGCCGTATTTTCTTTTTTCTTTTTTCTGTTTGGTTAAATCCTACTATTTTCAAGACAAGACTTAATGTATATACAGTTATACAGTAGCTTAGTTCGTTGTATGTATTGACATCGTACAAGATGTATGTGATACTCTCGCATATGTTACACGTAATTGTATTTCAATTATATGACAATACGAACAAATCTGTTGTGAAAACCTATATTGGAGGCGAAAGTTGTTCTGTATGAGTGAAAAGATGGATTTTTTTTTTGTTTTTTGATTTTTGATTTTTTTTTTTTTTTGTTTTTTGATTTTTGATTTTTTTTTTTTTTTGTTTTTTGATTTTTGATTTTTTTTTTTTTTTGTTTTTTGATTTTTGATTTTTTTTTTTTTTTGTTTTTTGATTTTTGATTTTTTTTTTTTTTTGTTTTTTGATTTTTGATTTTTTTTTTTTTTTGTTTTTTGATTTTTGATTTTTTTTTTTTTTTGTTTTTTGATTTTTGATTTTTTTTTTTTTTTGTTTTTTGATTTTTGATTTTTTTTTTTTTTTGTTTTTTGATTTTTGATTTTTTTTTTTTTTTGTGTGTGTGAAGCTCGGTTTTGTTTCCTTTGTAGATTTACATGCACGCTGGAAAAGGGCAAAAAAAGTTAGTTTTATCTTATCTTATTTGTCTTGAGTCTTTCTTTTTCTTTAATTTGAAGCCAAAAAACTACAACAAAAAAGCCTCGTGCGTATTTACTCTGTCGGAGTAATGAAGGATAGCGTTATTTACCGATTCCACACCCACCCATCTCGAATGATCAGGCTTGGCTTTCTCGAGATCAACGGTGGAGATGCCACCTCATTGCCAACCCCCACTACTCTGTCTTCACATTGCCAAAATCCGCTCCTTTTCGTAGTTTACTCTTTGTTTACTTAAAATATTTATTTGCTCTTGAAAGAGGCTTTTGGTTATCTCATAACGCCGTTACATATAAACTGCCTCTTGGCTCTCTCCCTCGGTTTGTAATCAAACAAAGCTCTTTCTTCTCTCACGTTAATCTGTTTTTGCTTCTATTTCCATCAAGTTAATAATGGGGAAGATCAAGATTGGCATCAATGGTATTGTTTTCCATTATGTTAACATCAATGACACATAATGTGTTATATATACATTCTACGTTCTTTCTTTTGCATATTGTATTTATACATTCTACATGTTAACATTTATGCATTTGTTTTTCTTCATATGTTGTGTTAAATCTTAGCTTGATTGGTTCTTATGAACATGATGTTTTCGTGTATGCTTTGGTGAAGGGTTTGGAAGGATCGGGCAATTGGTGGCCAGGGTTGCTCTTCAGAGAGACGACGTTGAGCTCGTTGCTGTTAATGATCTATTCATCACCACTGATTACATGGTAACATCTTCCCTCCATTCTCATATACTGCATGTATACATCTACATGTACTTGTATTTGTGTCCAACTCCAAGTGTACATGTGCATGGTTCTGTGCATTTGTGTTCGTCTCTTTTGCGTCAATTAGAGTGTTTGATACGTCACATGTCACTTGATCTGGTTTTGGCTCTCAGTTAAAGGAAAAGAAATAATTTTGACTCTGATATGGAGTAACTATCACGACTTTTTTTGCCACTATCTAATTTGTTGTGTTGAAAAGGACATCTGTACCTGCTAATCAATCTTTTGATTGAAATCAAATAAAAATGTACGAGATCTTTTGTTATGTTGGTCTATAATGAAAAATCTTCATTAAATTTTCTGGATTTGACTTTGAAAAAAGGATACTTGGATTTGGGAAACCATTTCTGTTTAGATGAATATGATCAAAACCAATTTTCGGGCTGTGAAGATAGATACTGCATCTCGCAGACCTATATGTTTAAGTATGATAGTGTGCACGGCCAATGGAAGCACCATGAGCTCAAGGTTAAGGACTCTAAGACCCTTCTCTTTGGTGAAAAGGTGTTTTTGGTTTCAGGTATTTCTTGTTTTCGGCCATCCCTATAACTTTTTGTTAATGGACTCGAGTGTATTTAGCATATACTTTTTGTATTATTCTTCGAAAGAAGAAAATGATTATGGCATCATGTTCTGAGAATATATAGGAACCCGGGGGAGATCCCATGGGGTGAAACTGGAGCCGATTTCATTGTTGAGTCCACTGGAGTTTTCACTGACAAGGACAAAGCTGCCGCCCACTTGAAGGTCTGAGGTTATTCTTCCTAATGCCTATATGATGATTTTGCGTTGATGGCATTGTACGGATTGTGTGTTCTGCATTAACAAGATGAGAAATATATTGACAATTGGGGCACAATGAATCTATCCGTTTGCAAGAGCACATACATTTTCGTTTTTCGTTTTCCCTTCTTAAGGCACCAGATCTGGGAAATAGCTAATATTTTGATTTGATTTATCATTACATGGTTATTAGCTCACACACACTCTTTTATTTTTGTGCCTTGTATTCCTTTTTCTTATTCTTCTGTACTTTACTGCTAGGCAAATGCAATGGAATGTCATAGGAAAGGGTCTTGGAAGGCAAAGGAAAGAAATAAGAAAGAGGATTAATAATGCCCTTTATAGTGTTTATTTACCTATTAGAAGGGGAATCCAAAATAATTCAATTGCTTTCCTAGTGTTTACTACTTTACGAATAGGAATTTTAATAGCTTAATTATTAAGATGTTATCATGAATATAATTATTGGTTAAAATTTTTTAAGGCTGCAAAAGAATTCAAATGGAGGGGGAAAAAGAAAGAAAAAACCTCTAGGATTGGCTTTTCCTTTCTCATTTCCTTCATGATGTGCTCTCCACAAAATTATTATCCTGTTTTTTTAAGTAAACACATGAATAGGTGCCCTTTCCTGTTAATTATAAGTGAACATGCTTGGAATGCTCAAGTTGACTATATCTCTTAACTTATCTATGTTGTCTGATTGTCTCTAGGGAGGCGCAAAGAAGGTTATCATTTCCACTCCTAGTAAGGATGCTCCTATGTTCATTGTTGGTGTCAATGAATTGGAGTACAAACCAGAGCTTGACATTGTTTCCAATGCCAGTTGCACCACCAATTGTCTTGCTCCATTGGCAAAGGTAAGTCTCAAGACTCTCAACACTAGGTATTCACTTAAGTGTCAAAAGCTAATCATTTTTATATTGATGCAGCCACTCAAAAGACTGTTGATGGCCCATCAGCGAAGGGCTGGAGAGGTGGTAGAGCTGCTTCCTTCAACATCATACCTAGCAGTACTGGATCCGCTAAGGTATCGAATGCATCAACCGTATATACGGATTGACACACATGGTTTGCATCTGTTATTGGGACTGGATGTGTGACTCATTTCTTTAACTATAGTAGTAACATCTTGACAAAACTAGCTTTGATATATTAGCCTTTAGTTGCTTTTCTGTAAAATAAGATCTTTATTTGCACATGTATAATTGTGTAGGCTGTTGGTAAAGTGCTGCCCTCGTTGAACGGGAAATTGACAGGAATGGCATTCCGTGTCCCGACTGTTGATGTTTCAGTCGCCGACCTCACTGTGAGGCTTGAGAAGAAGGCTACTTATAATGAAATTAAAGCGGCTATCAAGTAAGAATTATAATTCAGGACTACTTGTGAGGAGATAGAACTTCTCTAATCTTCCTGCTATCCATAATCATCTCGATTTTTGTTCTATTTTCTGATCAATTCACTTCCTCAATGCAGGGAGGAATCTGGTAAGAACCAAACTAAAAATAGACATTGAGACCTGAGTTTTTGGACCCAGAGGAATGCAACTATTCTCTGAGATTTTCCTGAATATTATATAAGCAAGTATTCGAGAGACTTGCACTCTCCCAATTTGCCAAAAACCAGCCTGCCTCTAAAACTACTCAACCCGTCCATTTATTCATTCTGCCAAAACCTCCAAGCTCCCTTCCCAAGGCCTAACTAACTCGAAACCATATGCTTAACAAACTACAACCCTTCCTGCATTGTTTTCCACACGAGCCACGCAGTTGTTCTCAACGCTTGAATTCCCCTCCCCCACAGTACTTGTTTTACCAATTTGCCCTTTCTTCCTTTTGCTCATAAATGATGTGGATTGGGGCCTTATTAGAATCTGAGGGCAAACTGAAGGGAATTCTTGGTTACACTGAAGATGATGTGGTGTCAACTGATTTCCTGGGTGACAGCAGGTATGAATGACTGGCAATGTGTGTGAAATTATACTTTTCAAACTAATATGTCAATTTTTTTCTCTTTGAGATGATCTCATGTTTATTATATGTATATTGGCAGGTCAAGCATTTTTTATGCCAAGGCTAGAATTGCTTTGAATGACAACTTTGCGAAGCTTGTGTCTTGGTATGGCAATGAATGGGTTTACAGGTAAAATACAAGTCTTTTCTTTTCCCTCTTATCCTTATATCTTTGTATCTTCCTTTGTTACCTTTTTGTCATATTTGAATTATTCAATTATCTAATATTGATTTCATTTGGTTTTGTTGCAGCTCACATGTTATCGACTTGATCCGCCACATTGCCTCCGTTCAATGAGTATCCATTTCTTGTGCATACTTGCAGTTAGTTTGGAAGACTTGCTTGTCTTTGAATAGTTTATTTTTTTTAAGACAAGAGTGTTATTGTGCACTTTGGTTTTTTTGGAACTTGTATTACAAAAAACAATTCAGAAACAAGTCTCTTTGTGCATTTCAATAACACAATCTTTCCTTTTGTTTCCTCTCTGTGGGTGAACAAAACAAATTCAACAAAATGTTCTGTTGGCAAATATTTAGAAGACAGTTAACTTGTTATAATAACCTCTGCATGAATCAAGTCTCTACTCGCTGGGTTTATATTTCTTTCAACTGAATTCATGTTAATAAGAAACTCATTCTTTTTTTTTTTTTTAAGGATAATCATCATTGGAAGTACTTGTTTGCAACTGCATCAGAAAAGCGGAGCAAATAATGTTTTGCGGATTGTTGTCGTTTTCTACACTCTTTGTCGTTTGTTTTTTTCTTATGTCGTTTCTTAGCTTGTCGTGGGTTTTTGAATCTTTCTTTTTTGTCGTTTCAGAATGGTAGTGGATTGTTTTTGTTATGTGGATTATTCATGTCCTTTATGATTCTTTTGTCGTTTTTATCAACTTTTTCCAAGATTGTTGTCGTTTTATACTTTTTGTAGTTTGTTTTTCTTATGTTTAACCTATTGTTGTCGTTTATCATTGTGATGTCGCTCCCAATATTGTTGTTACCTTATCTGATATCCGTGTAATTAATTTGGTAGGTTGTCGTTTTCAATATCTTGCTGTTATGAGGTCGTTTATCATTTTGATGTCCTGTCAAAGATTATTGTCAATTCTTGTCATGAGTTTTTCTTTTTGTCGCCACCTCGCTCATCCTTTTGCTGTCTTTGTTTATTTTGTTATTTTCAAATTCGGGTCCTTTTCTGGTCCTTTTTTCTTTTTCTTTTTAATCGTTAATCCAAGATTATTGTCGTTTATTTCTATGAGTCTTTTTATCCTTTGTTGTCGTTTCCCTGATTGTTGCCATTTCGATCGGTTCCTTTCTATCTCTTCTTATTGTCGTCGTTCTTGATGCTCGTGTTGCTGTCGCTTCCTTATTGTTGTCGTTTTGTATTCTGGTCTGTTGTTGCTTCTCCTGTGATGCCGTTTCCCAGATTGTTGCCGTCGACATTCATGCCGTTTGGGGCATTGTCGTTTTTCCAATTAATGTCGTTTTCCAGTTAGTTTTCTTTAAAGTGCTTAAAAAGGAGCGACAGTAGCCAATTACCGCTAGCTCTTCAAGATATATCCCACATTAATTATATACAGAAAAGAGTATTTTTCAAAATATAAAAATAAAAAAAATACCTCACATCTTGTTTGACCCTCATTTAATCTTTATAAATTCTATTTTTTCTTCAACAAAATAAAATTTCTTTTACTGCTAAGAGATGGTTGTTGGTTTTACCGTTCTATATTATTTCCTTTAATTTACATCACTTTTAAGTGGTATAAAGTCTATCCTACCCTTTTATTTATTTATAAATTCTTTTCCCTTGAGTTAATCAGCCATTAGTTCTGGTTAATCATGACACTATCATAAAGTCGTATTTTCCCAACTTATAACAAAAAAAGGGTCGAATTTTCCTGGCACTTTATAGGAATATCACATGTTTTAGACTTGGATTGAAACATGTCAGTGGACATAAACTATTACAGATAATGCCATTGTTAAAGATACTTAAAAATTATAAAATTCATAAAAATCACAAATATATACATGAAAAATTACAAAACATCTTACAAAATCTAAAATACTGAAATAAATACACAAAAGTACAAGCATAATTTTGGTCAAAATAAAAAAATTAAATAATGTCATTGTGGTATATTTTTTAATAGTTTTAGTATCCATGATAAAAGTCAATCTAACCTTAAAAATTATGGCATATTGCCTAAATATCTCTATTTTCCTAAGAAGTACTTATACAAAACGATCACTTTTATACTCCATGTATAGAATATGTCTTTAATTTAATAACATTATTAATCTGTCTATTTTGTGGTTATTGAGATAATATTATTATAAATATATTGTTTTTGTGTAGATAGTTATGGGTGGTTAACAAATAATAAGAATATCATTACGGTTTAATTTACATATTTATGTGCAAATATCACAATTTCTCAACTCTTTTTTTCATCTCCGGACATATATGTAATTAACTCTTTTCCTAATTGACCCACCTTTCAGAGACAATATCTGGGCCCTTACTTCTACGAATTAACCGTGGGCCGATTGAAGTACTTTCAAGCCCAGGCTACTTCCCCTTATCCAAGTTAAGGTTAGGGTTTAATAAAACCCTGATTCTGTCCTCTTTCGATTTTCTACAGAAAACCGCTCTCTCCGTCTCTCTCTCTATACTTGTTACCAGTCCCGATCAACGGAAGCCCTAATTTTTTCAATCAGATCGCGGAAATGGGAAGCACCCAAGCCGCCGTGTCGTTCCTGACGAACGTGGCTCGCGCCGCCTTCGGGCTCGGCGTCGGCGCCACCATCCTCAACTCCTCCCTCTACACCGTCGACGGCGGCCAACGCGCCGTCCTCTTCGATCGTTTCCGTGGAGTCATTGACGACACCATAGGCGAAGGGACCCACTTCCTCATCCCATGGCTCCAGAAGCCCTTCATCTTCGACATCCGCACCCGGCCCCACACCTTCGCCTCCATTTCCGGCACGAAGGATCTCCAGATGGTCAATCTCACCCTTAGGGTTCTCGCTCGCCCCGAGGTATCCCGCCTCCCCGACATCTTCAAAACCCTAGGTCTCGAGTACGACGAGAAGGTCCTCCCTTCGATTGGCAACGAGGTTATGAAGGCCGTCGTTGCGCAGTTCAACGCCGATCAGCTCCTCACCGATCGGCCTCACGTCTCCGCTCTCGTTCGCGAATCCCTGATTCGGAGGGCGAAGGACTTCAACATCCTGCTCGACGATGTGGCCATCACACACCTATCGTACAGCCCGGAGTTCTCGCGGGCGGTCGAGCAGAAGCAGGTGGCGCAGCAGGAGGCGGAGCGCTCCAAGTTCGTCGTGGCCAAGGCGGAGCAGGAGAGGAGGGCCGCCATTATTAGGGCTCAGGGAGAGAGCGAGTCTGCTAAGCTGATCTCCGACGCCACCGCCTCTGCTGGCATGGGCCTCATTGAGCTCAGGAGGATCGAGGCTTCGAGGGAAGTTGCCGCGACGCTCGCCAAGTCGCCCAACGTCGCCTACTTGCCTGGTGGAAACAACTTGCTCTTGGGTCTTAACGCCGGCCGTTGAATTGGTAATCACGATTAAGAAATTTCCTTGCTTTATACTTTCTGTTTAGTTTTTCAATTAGGTTCTAAATGAAAGTTTGTGCCTTTTTTTGCAATGTGAAAGTGTTTGTTTCTTTCACTTAATTTTGTTAAGTTGGCTAAATTTCCTATATCAAACATTAAAAAGAGTTCAATATTGGAGTCTATAATAATAAAGCAATGAATGTGATGGGGATAAATTGATTATGCCTCTCAATTGATCTGCTGATTAGTTATACTGAATTGTGGCAGCGTTATTGTGCTTATTCGGTCTATTGCTTTCGATAAAAATCGGCTTTCTTCTATTGAGGGCTGTGTTCTGCAGGAATATGCTTTTTGGAAATGTAGTAGTTCCTAGTGTTTGTTTTGTTGATTAGGATTTGGGAGCAGTGATTTTATGACCTTGCTGTACGATGTAGCTCTTCCTCGGGTAGTTGCAAAAAGATTTTAACTACTTTGAAGTGCGGTCAGGACTTGGTAGTAAAGCTGCATATTGCTGATCATATCTTAGATATGACATGTTTGTTTTATGTACAGCTATTGTTTCATGCAAAAACATTCAGCTATTGTTGAGTAGGGACTTAGAAAGATTACACTTCTGGTGATAATTGAGTGAGATGATCTTTTTATAGTTGAAACATGGGCATGGAATAGAAAGGGATTTAGTTGGCTTTAGGCCACGTCTTTAGAAAAAGAAATGTAGGAAAATGAAAATGTTTGGAACTTTTGCTGTTTATTTTCAATCTTCGACTCTGTTATTACAAACCAGAATGTGCATAGGATTCTGTCTCTGATTTTCACCAGCGTTCATGAATAGCTATCAATGCAATCAGGATTAATATATATATATTTTTTTTCGTGTTATGAAATATTTAACATTCTTGGCACTTTTAATAACGATTCAAAATATATTGTGAAAATATCCATGCTTGTGATTCAGTTTTAGATACTAGATTCTTATGCTTCATTTCTTTCTTCATAAATTTGCAGGATCTCATTACATCACATAGGTGGCAATAATGGATGGTGGATTGGAACTTGAAATTGGTTTATTAGTAGCTTTTTACTTTTCTTTTTGATCATATGTCGACTAAAACTTCTGAGTTAATGAAGGTGTTCATCTTGATTCCGTGGAAGTTAAAACTTTGAAGATGGAATTGTCCTTTTGTTGATTACTGTATGAGCTGTAAGATAATATTTTTCCATCTATCAACGGCCGATAAGTGTCCTTTTTCTGGTTCTTATCCGGCCCTCTTTTATGGATTATGGCCATACTCGTGCCCATCAACTCTTAACGAGTTCTTGTGCAATTTGAGGTGGGGGATCCAAATTATGGATCTTAATGCTTGAGGTTATTATTGAAGTGGAAGTGTTTGGCCACCATCCAGGTATGGAAAGTTGATCAAATTGACATTTTTTTTTTAATTGTGTTCAATTTGACTTTTGAAACAAAGAATAAGTATAATTTCAATCTAATTTTTTTTTCTTTCCATAATTTCCACCTATGTTCTAGGTTTTTATTTTTTATTATCATTATTATCTAAATCTTGCTCGTGGTTATCGTTTTTTTTTAACTCCAGGGCTGCATAATAAAGTATCAGTTGTATTGTTTTTCCTAGATGTGTTTTGTATCAATTTAAGAGATTATTATATGTAAGGGTACAAAGTATCAGGTGTATCTTTTACGTTTAGGATGGTTTGTCTATTTGATTCTTTGTCAAATTCCATAGTTATAATAATTCAACCTAACATAAGAATCAAATATAAAAACCATCCTAAACGTAAAAGATCAAGGTTATATCAGATACGGTAAATTTGGACATGACATATTAGACATTTTTATTTTGTGTTCCAATGTATAAAATGCCATTTCAAGTACTTCATTAGTTCATTTACCTTTTGTCTTTTAAGTGAGAGTAAACTTTTTAATTTTTTTTTATTTCAAAACAACAACGCTGTAATTATTGAATGAAAGCGATAATGTTGTAATTACGAAATGATAACGTTGTTCATTACCAAAAATGTTAAACTGGAAAACATCGCTTTGTTTTCTAAATATTCTGTTGCCAACTTGCCAGTGCCGTGCCCTGTTATGTGCGAAAAGACACGAAATTTGCCTTGTCGCTAATGATTAGTCGGACATGCTCCGCATGTCACACTAAGCTGTTATTTTCTAAAAAACGACATATTTTTTTTGGGATTTGCTGTCGTTTACAACAGTAAATACATCGTTTCTATAGTAGAAACGACATGAAATTTACCATTAAACCTTCGATATTTAACTGTTGGGTGGCTTGTCGTTTCATTCCTTAGTATTTTCAGAGAGACAACGCGTGGCTTGTGTTTTAAGTTTCTTGTCGCTGTTTATTCAAAAAGTTAAAGTCAATAGTGGAAACGAGATGAAATTTAGGTTTAAGTTTTAACCTTTTAGATTTCACTGTAGGGTGGCATGTCGTTTTCGTTTTTTATTATGTACAGAGAGACAACATGTGGCTTGTATTTTTAAGTTTCTTGTCGTTTATTTCAAAAAGACAAAATTTACTTCTGTTTTTTTGTTTTATTAAAGACTCCTTTCGTTTTCAAGGAAGAACAAGTATACGCAGTTCGTCTTTAGGAAACTTATCTTCCATTTCGCAGCCACATTCCAGGATTGGTTAAAGCATATCCTCTATGAATTAAAAGTGACATGTCGTTGATTATGTAAATTGTTATGCCTTTGGTTAAAGGACATGTAGTTCGTCTTAAGAAGTTGCTGAGACATGTCGTTGGTCTTTCAAATATGCTGTCGTTCACTTGACAAACGCCATACGTGTTTCTTGTCGTTTTCCTGACATTGACGTTGTCATTTTACATTAAACGACAAATCGTTTAAAATTTTAATTTCCCGTCAGTTTTTCAATCGACATGAATTAATTCAACAATTTTCAATGTTTTTTTTAAGTAATAAATTCTTATATTTTATCTTCTGATAGACATTTTCTTGTTTTATTTTCAAGGAAAAAACGCCATGTCTAATGCTTATGGTGTATACTTCACAGTCGTCAAATATGTAAACGACATTCCTTTAGCATTTCAGAATATTTTCATACGACATTCCGGTTCACCCCAGCCTTCAAATGCTGATGAAGGCTGGTACTGTAAATGAGCATACGACTTTTACAGACATCCCTTTTTTCTTTTTTCCATGTACTATATATTGGGATAATATAAATGATCGTTAATTCCGAAAACTAATATATATGGATCTGGAAAATTTTCAACTATGTTAAAAACTTGTTAAATAATTATAAGAACATATTTTTTCTCTTATTACAAGTAGATCCCTTTTCTTTGTTTTCATGTTTCTTCCTCGGTCTTGTTGAGTACACGTATATGGAGAACTAAACGACCTATTAGGAAACACAGTATCTAGACTATGTTTTTAATAGTTAAGTTTTGATGGTTACTATTAAATATAAAAATTTAATGACGTGGCGTGATAAAAATTCAGTTTTATTAATTATTATTAAATTTTTTTTACCAACTATCTAATTTATTACAATCGTCATATCAATATCTTACGATTAAAATAATAATACTTATTAATAAATAAATATTAGAGTAACTATTAAATCATACCATTGTATGATCACACTTGGGAGGCAATTACGGCAAAACTTGATAACATATTGGTATCTGTGTTTAAGTCAAAGGAGGCTTTTTAAGAAGTGGGAATGAGATCATTGATGCATAAAAAGCATCAATAGATGTTAGTATTACTAGGCAAAGCAAGTGAATTCTCTGCCTAATTGGTTGTTATCGATTTTCAATAGTAAAACTAACACTATGTTTAGGGTAAACATATATCTCTGATTGAGGGAACCAATCTTTGGGATTCCTCTAGGAATCATTCTTTTCCATGTGTGGAAATGATTTTGGTAGAGTCTAATAGAGAAAAAAAAAAGTTAGCAATGATATATATTATTATATATGTCCTTTCAGCGTTTAATATTTCTCAGATCAAAGAGAAAAAAAAAGAAGACAAATAAGTATTAATATGTATTTTTACTTTTTATTTTTAATTAATAACTTTTTTAATGAAATAATTATATTACTTAAAAGGGTATTAATAAAAAATAATGAGTAAAAATTTAGACTCCTGTATTTTAAATATAAGTTCAACAATTTAAAAAAAAAAAAAAAAACAAACAAAAGAAACTTGTGCTTCTTTTAGGATCCTTAATGGAATATGGTACGGTTTATCATCTTTAATGATGGGAAAAGATTTGATATATTGTCGTTCAACATTGTGGCAAAAAAAACTTAATCATGTCCTTTGTTTGGCCCATAACCGAGGTCAGGTTTGGATTACCTTTTTCATTTCATTGTTTTGTTTTTTCTTTTTGTTTTTTCTTTTATTTTGTTTTTTTGGTGGCAGACAGTCGTGTTCTTGTAGTCTGTTCTAGCTTTGATATTTATGCATTGCCACTTTGATATATGATGCCCCAACAAAGCAATCTTTACCGAATTCTACTTGTTCGCCACAAAGGGGTGAGCCTTGTCCGTCAAGCTAAATTTTGGACCTAACGCATGCATTTTGGTCCTTTTGAACTAAAACACTACATATTATTACTATACGCATGTTGTGGAGAAATTATTCGGTAAATTGAGTATATCACATCATCTTATTTATATGATATACTTATTAAATAAAAAATTTGCATTTGATATAAAGTGGTAAATAGAGATTTAATGACAATAATTCATTATTTTCTTAAAAAAAAAAAAACTTAACTCAATTAATTGAGATACGCATTCTATATTCACACAAAACAACTCCTAGTGACATCAACTTCGGAGCATGCATATCTATATCCTCATCCCGATTGCTTTATTATATATACATATATATATATATATATATGTATATATTCTTGCAATGAGAGCAGAGTAGCAGACATCACGTCAAAATGAGGACAAGCAATTTACGCTTTTGGGAGAAAAGAGAGTCGAAAAAAAAAATTAAAAGGAAAACAAGACTAACGAATCACTATCTGCAAATCCCATACTTATGCCACGAGAAGAAATGAAAACTTTTTTTTTTTTTTTTTTAACCAACAGTTTCGTTAATAAAGTAATATATGTGGTTGCATATGCTTATAGTACTACAAGCCCTAGGCCCAAAACTTAGGTGGAAGTCACATTCCCTTGCTTCCCAATACCTATATATATATATATATATATATATAAACAAGGTGGGGGCAACTCTATTATATTCCCAGATGTAGTATCTAGAAGTTGTGCACACTTTAACCTTTTTCTTTCGATATTATCAACTTGGTAAGTCATACGTGTTCTCAACAAGAGCTTACAAGTAGTTGTGAAGCGAAAAATTCTATACATCCCAGCTTAGGGAGTCGGGTTGGGTGAGTGAGGTCACTAAAGTAACGTTTGGTTTATAAGTTTAGAACTATAGTTTATAATTTTAATTTTTAAAATTTAAATTTTTTATGAGAGAAAAACACTGTAACGAATTAAGAATTATAATCCTAAATCAGACTAGAATTCTAAAAACAAACGAAACATAACTTACCTGAATCCTGAGACACATAGGCCCATCCTTGATCCTACTTTTATTTTGATTCATCGGAGTCAGAAGGCTATCCATACTCTTGCGAAAAGAAAGTTGATCTGTTACTAAGTTAAAATACAAGGTCATAAGAAATCCATCATAAATATGTAGACAATTCACTTAATAGTTATTTTTGTTTCATATATGTAACGAGTTTCACTTTCTTAAATACGAGTAATGTAATTGTGGTACCAAGCACTCTACTCATGACCATTTTAGTAATTGTCTACGTACTACGGGAAGAACTTGTCTTTTTACACAGAGCATAAGAACATTCATAATGCCCATTTTTATTGTCTCAAATGTTTGGGGACATTGGTTGAGCGATCCTTTATGTTCCAGTTCCCTCAGTCATATGTAACTGTCAATCTAATAATGAAAAATAAGTTTATTGGTCGAAAAAGAAAATCTAAATTTATTACACAAAAAATATTTGAAAACACTACTGAATATTACGCACTGTTACTAATAAAAGATGGATTTTATATTACGCGACTTATTTTACTAATAAATAGTGTTGAACACCATCAATATAATATTGATCCTTTAACTATATTTTTATACATTCACGTACGAAAAATAGTGACTCTAAGAGTATGTTTGGTAGGAAAGAAAAGTAGAAGGAAGGAAGAAAGTGGAGAGATTTTGAGAGGAAAAATGAAAATGTAAGTTGTTTAGGCCCCACCATTTTTTTTCTTTCCACAAGTGGGCAGAAATTAGGATGAAAAATGGGGACAACTCATTAAAGTGAGTAAAGTTACTAAACTATCATTTTCTCCATCAACATCCAAGCAAAAAATTTAAGGGTATAAAAATAATTTATGAGTAAGATTTTTTCTTTCCTCACAATTTAACTTCCAATACCAAATAAGTAAAAGTAAACTCATTTTCTTTCCATCTTTTCATACCAAACAACATAAAAGAAAATTAATTTTCTTTTTATCATTACTATTTTCTATTACTTCCATATTTCATTTCTATTTTATTTTTTTTCCTTCCTGCCAAACAATAGCAAGGATATAGAGTCAAACCCTCTCTAGTATTTATACCCCATGTGGAGTGAGGATTCATGAATCCCATCAAAGGGTAAAGAAAAGGACTAGTGGAAGCAGAAAAAGAAAAGGATGAAAATGATACGATTTGGTGAGGAGGCAACTGAGCTTGACATGGCATGCATTATTGTTGTTTAAAGCGGGTAAAATGCACCATCCTCCATTATAGCTTTTGAATATGAGTTATCCAAAAAGTTAAAGCTGGTCCTCACATGGGGTACTTCTTTTTGCTTTTAGATCAGTCCTTTTTTTTTTTTTTTTTCAAAGACTTTGAGTGGTTGGATTTTGGGCCTCTAAACAATATCCCGAGCAACCATACAGCTCACCAGTATCTCCAAAACCTGATCTTGCTATATAGTATTGTCCACTCTCTGATGGAAAGGTTTAACCACCCAAATTACATTTACATACCACACCCAGCCTCTTGATCGATTTATCTTTTTTTTTTTTTTTTTTTTTTCCCACTAAATAAAAGTCCGAAGAGAGGGAACCCGGCATAACACTGACAGAATTGTTCGTATTAGGCCTACTTTAAAACAATCACTCCTTAGACGAGAAGCGCGTCACCCCAACCCCACCGAATGTGCTAGTAGTAAGATCACATTCGATTTATCATCTCTAATAGACTACTGGCTAGTACTATATTTGGTCACGTTCGTATGTTAGACTTTAACAAGATTTTAGGGTATTCTTAAAAAATAGATATAAAATATTATTTATCACAGTCAATAATGCAACGATCTAAATAAAGTTGTCTGCTGGTGATGCATCACCAATAATAGTATTAGCGATGATCAAAATAGAGCTATATAAAATCGACTCTTCTTTGTGTGAAACAAAAACTAGATGTCAGAATATAGTTAATTAGGTAAGGTTTCAGAAGTGATTAGATATAAACTTCAACTTTTTGATGAATACTAGAGGCATTATGTTAATTAGGTAAAGACAAAGAAGGAAAAGAAAAAAAAAAAAAGTTTGGCCAAACCAAAGTTGCAGCATACGTGCGTATGCATGTGTCATGTGTATTGTGTGTATTTATTGACAGTGATGGGTTTAAGTCCAAAGCGAACAGCATTAAAATCAAAAACAGAGTTCAATCAAAGAATCATCTATATAAATTAGGCATTTGATGAGATGAACTATATTAGGTAATGAGCGTAATATAAGGGTTGAATATGCCACCGACCCTTTGTGGTACAATATCCTAATTAGTCGGTGATTTGTCTTTCAAGTCTTAAATGAGAAAAATTTTCACCGAGAATAAAAGACCTTTTAATTTGGTATCAAATTAAGACTAAATATAGAAAAATAAAGATATTAAAGTATGCATGTGGATTAATGTGAAGTTAAAGTATCACTTATAACACACGCGTGACATCATTATAGAGTATTCAACTAGCCAAAGAATAAAGTAAATAAAACATAAAAGGACTGAACCAATAAAAAAATAAATTAAAATAATCATCCACAAAATAAAGTATAATCCTTAACTTGCAAGGACTAAACAAGGAAAAAGAAATAAACTACAATAATATACTGAAAAACTGCATATATTATAATAATGTCTTTCTTGCACTAATTTGAGCTTGTGACCTGACCTCTAATATTACATCATTCTCACTGATTATAGCAGCAAAATAACTCCTTTTTTAGACATCTACAAACCAGTTATCACCATCATTATCTTAGAATCTTTATCTCACTTTCACCCACTATAAGATAATACCACCAAACAATATTCTTTTCTCTCTCCCTTTTCTTTCTGGGCTATTTCTTCTCCACCCACAACCACAAAAGCTCAAAATTATTGTTTTGCAAACAAAATTCTTCAGTTGAGTAATTAATTATCTGTCTTTTGTTATCTTTTGGAATTAACCTTTTGTTTACTATATTCTTCTCCTCCTCCAACTTTCCCCTGAAAGGCTTGTTTCTTTTTCTCTGTTCCATTTGTGTAAGCAATCATGGCTGTTTCCTTTCCCATATCCACCCACTTAGAAATATATTGATTATTCTTCTTTCACTTCTTGGCATAAACTCTCATCAGGTATTCTTTATTTCCCACACTGTGCTTTCAGTTATGCTTTCATTGACTTTGCCAGACTTCTAAAGGGTTTTTTATTATACAAGTAGTTGATCAACTTCTTATTTCCCATTAATATCAAAGGGTATTCTTCGATCATCTTCTCGTGACAACTTTAGCACTAATATTTTCACTGAGAAATTAGCTGTTAAAATTCTATAAACTCGGTAGCTTCTTTCTCACAGTTCCATTTCTTTAGTTAACATTCTTGGGGGGTTTTTTTTTTTTTTTCCTTTTAGGACCATATAGCTGACTTTAAGGTGGTCATAACAACTACTATATTGAGAAGAAGACTTTGGATCAAGGATTGCTAAAAGGTTTGCTTATACGTAGTTGAATATTATCTCTCCAGCTTCACAATGCCTCCAATATATTTTCCACTTCGGTGGGAAAGCACCGGAGACCAATGGTGGTACGCTTCTCCAATTGATTGGGCAGCGGCGAATGGTCACTATGACCTGGTGAGGGAACTGCTCCGCATAGACAGCAACCACCTCATCAAACTCACATCTCTGCGCCGAATTCGGCGTCTTGAGACCGTGTGGGACGACGAGGAGCAGTACCATGACGTGGCCAAATGCCGCTCCCAGGTGGCGCGGAAGCTCTTCCTTTATTGTGAGTCCAAGAAAGGGGGGAAGAAGAACTCCCTCATCCGCGCAGGCTACGGCGGATGGCTTATCTACACGGCTGCCTCGGCGGGGGACTTGGGGTTTGTGCAAGAATTGCTTGAGAGAAACCCTCTGCTTGTGTTTGGTGAAGGAGAGTACGGTGTGACTGATGTGCTCTACGCTGCAGCCAGGAGCAAGAGCTGTGGCGTTTTCAGGCTGCTGCTGGACTTTGCGTGTTCTCCGAGGTTTACGACGGAGAAGGGCGGGGAGTTGGAGGAGCGTGTTGGGGATATTCCTTCTGTTTACAAGTGGGAGATGGTGAATAGGGCTGTCCATGCTGCTGCTAGAGGTGGGAATTTAAGGATTTTGAAGGAACTTCTTGCTGATTGCTCTGATGTTTCCGCTTATAGAGATGCTCATGGCTCAACTATACTGCACACGGCTGCTGGGAGAGGCCAAGTTGAGGTTAGCCTTACACTTTCATGTATTAAACCAACTTTATAGTTTCGAGAACAAAAAAAAAAATGTGTCATATAATAGTAGTACCACCCAATAGCAATATGTCTGGCTGAGCTGACAAAAATAGTGTTTTGGAATCAAGATCAAAATCCTTTGAAAAAAAAATAGTAAACATTATAATATCGTTTCTCTTGGATCCCAAACGAAAAACAGCCTACCAAAGAGATTGTGAGATTTTAAGAGTTGTGTTCTCAGACCAATATTTCTAAAGTACTGTTTTAAAACACCAGTTTCAAGAACCTTTTTTTAGAATGCAAAGAAAGAAACTGTTTTGTCTTGATCCTAAACAAATAACTCCTAAGAATTATGCTTCCATACATATTTTCAGATTATTGTTTTAAAACAACAGTTACAAAATATATATATATATATATATAGTTCTGGAATGCAAACCAAACTTCCAAGTGGCTTTATACCACTTGTGAAATCAATCACTTTCACCACTTTTTTTTATAAAAATAATAAAAAAATCTGATCAGTCTTGGTTCTTGATGCAGATACTGAAGTATCTCATAGAGAGTTTTGACATGATAAACTCCACAGACCACCAAGGCAACACAGCGTTGCATGTGGCTGCTTACAGGGGCCAATTAGCCGCAGTTGAAGCTCTAATATCTGCATCTCCTTCATCAGTTCATCTTAAGAACAAGGCCGGCGAGACTTTTCTCCACAAGGCCGTGTCCGGCTTCCAAGCTCTTGCTTTCAAAAGACTAGACAGACAAATTGGGCTCCTGAGGCAGTTGGTATGTGGGAAAGTTTTCAACATTCAGGACATCATCAACGCCAAGAACAACGAGGACCGAACCGCGCTTCACGTGGCCATCATCGGCAATGTCCACACGGACCTCGTGCAGCTCCTGATGACTGCCAAGTCCATTGATGTCAATGTCACCGACGCCGACGGCATGACCCCGCTCGATTACCTCAGGCAAAGGCCTCGTTCCGCTTCGTCAGATGTACTAATCAGACAGTTAATCTCAGCTGGAGGGATGTTTGGTTCTCAGGACTACAATACAAGAAAAGTCATCGTCTCGCGGCTTAAGATGCAGGGCAATGGAAGCAGCAGCCCCGGATCGTCGTTTCGGATATCTGATACTGAAATATTCTTGTACACAGGGATTGAGAACATCTCAGACGGCAGTGCTGAACACGGCAGCACAGGACTAATGAGCCCGGCCTCACTGGAGCTAACTCCATACGACTCGGCTGTTGAGAATCGGAGCTCATTCGCAAGTGCTAAGCCTACTTCTGTAAACAATGCTGCACAAATTTTCAAACAAGTCCTAAATTGGCCACGGATCAAAGACAAGTGGCCTCAGAAAGTGAAGAAATCTGTTGGAGATCACGAAGGTTCAAATGTTGAGTCAAACAAGAACAGCTCAGATGTCGATCCACCAACCCCACTTAGGAAGAGATTCTCAAAGCCTTCATCACCTTCCAACAACAACAAAAGAACACTTTCCGTGAGGAGTAACCAGTCAAGTCCATCTGCAAAGAAGAAGCTAGCTTCAGGCATAAGAAATGGGGTCATGCAGGCCATACCCCAGAGAACAGTCCCGCACCGATCCCGCTCCAGCTCGTTCTCGAAATCGTCGATATCTTCTCCGACTTCGTTGGATAAACAAAAGGGTATCTGCATTGAAGGTGATATTGCAGGACCATCTTGCTCAAACCAAGTGGTAATTGATGGTCCAAATCCCAATTCGGTGAAACAACAACAACAGCAACAAGGCAATGCCAATAGTACCAAGAGGTTGAAGAGCCAGTATTTCTGTTTTGGCACAGCAGGAGTATCTGTTAAAAGCCCAGTTAGCAGGCAACAACAGAACAGCCAAAGTTACAAACGTCCTGTTGCTTTGGTGGCTTGAATTCTACTTAGCTCAATTTGAGGCCTTTAATCCTGGACTAATATCAGCAAGTTAAAATAGCTGTTTAATTACTAGAACTTTTTTTTTTTCTTTTCAATTTGCTTGCATCTTTGTTTGTTTTATTCACTTAGAGATGTAGTTGTATCAAGTACTTGGCATGTATCTTGTGTGGACCTCCTTAATCTTAATAAGTGAAGAAAAGAGCAAAAGCTGTGAATATTATGCTCTTGTTTGATGCTTTGGATTCCTTAATAAGTTAAAAATCTGTTTCATTGTTCAAGTATAACTTCTGTTTATATTTGTGGTTATGTAACTATGTTGCAATGGTATGTATGCTTTTGATATGAGATGCTACATCTTTCCCTGGTTCAATCTTACGTGGCCTTTTGGCCTAAGATATTGTCGTTTTCGAAAATGTCTGTCATAATGTCATTTTCATGAATTGTCGTTTTCATATCATTTTGTCGACCTTATAAGATAATGTCGTTTTCTGCGATGATGCTGTCATCTTCTCACATGTGTCGTTTTCATAATATTGTCGTTTGTATAATATGACGTCGTTTTTATTGATCTTGTCGTTGTCTTACGATGTAAAAGTTTGAACTTTGACGATTATGTGCATTTTAACTTATTTTTCAATGTAAAATCTCCTTTCTATACTGTTGTTTCCTCATATATAATATTTTGTTGTCTTTAGAATATGATGTCATTTACGAAGATCTTGGCGCTTTCCAGGTACGATGTCAATTTTTTTCAGATTATCTCATAATTCTACTATTTCTCGTTTGGTAATATCCTAGGAGAAGCTAGCTAGCTTGTATCAAATAAATAAATAAATAAATAAATATGATGCCTTTTCAATACTCTCACTTCCAAACATTTTGTTGTTTTTCAAGTAATGTGTCGTTTTCCTTAGATCCTTTCGTTTTTACGTACTTCAGATTTATATTATTCGGTTGTTTTTGTAACACGATGTAGCTCTTATGATTTTTTTCTTTTTCTTTATTATAATGTGAAGCTTTTTTTTTTTTTTTTAGGGGATAATGTGATGCTTTTAGGTAGCCGTTTCCCAACCTATGACACTTCTCATTTTTTTTTTCCCTGTTTTGTAAATATTTGTCATTTTATAAAACTATATCGTATTTGTCTAATGAGAGTTTAGTAAGAACTTAGCGGTTTTACAAGATGATGCCGTCTTCTACTGTACTTTTTTTTGGGGAAAATTAGGCCCCGTTCAATTCACCGATTCGAGTTTAGAATTCGAGTTTTACTATAATACAAAGTTCTCAGAAACAGTCACATCTAATTTTTTTACTACACTAAAAAACTTTCACATAAAGTCACATCTCAACTCGAATTAAAAACTTGAATCAACGAACTAAACGGGCCCTTAATTTTCTACTGTACTGCAGTTTCTAAGATGTTGTCATTTGTTAAAATTTTGTCGTTTTCTGAATGTGTTGTCGTTTATAAGTATGTTCATGTAGTTTCCAAGGATATGGTCTTTACATAATTTTCCATTTTTTAAAAATGGTCGTTTTCATATGTTTTTGTCGTTCTTAAAAGATGATGTTGTTTATGAGTTCTTTATATATTGTCGTTTAATAAGATATTATAGTTTTTTATTTATTTTATTTTTTACATTTTTTATAATCTTGTTTCCGAAACTGTTGTCGTTAGTGCTTTTTCCTTCTCTCTCTTAAGTGTCGTTTTTTTTGTGAATTGCCGTTTTCATACATGACTTTCGTCCTTTATTGATATGCTGTCGATTTCAGGATGCTGTCTTCTGTTAAGATATGGTTTGGTCGCTTTTAAGCTCTCTTGTTTGACTAAGATGATGTTGTTTAGTTATGATGCTTTGTTACGAAATATTGTTAATTTCCTCATATATTGTCGTTTCTAATGAATCGATATCATTTATTGAGATGTCGTTTTTGTCCGCTCCAAAGATATTGTCGTTTTTAGCTGTTGCCATGTATCAGTATTAAACGTACATCTTTTTTTGTTTTTTTTTTTTGGGGGTGAAAATATTGAACGTAAATCTGATCCCCGTCGTTCTGTCCTTCTGAGGTGCTAGTTTCAGCCTCAGCCTCAGTTTTTTATATATATATATATATATACATACACACATACACACACAACATACAAGATTTGACAGTCAAATGAAATTAAAAATCATACTAGATTATTTATTAGAACTTAATTAGTGAAGATATTCTACAAGAGTACGCAACCCAATGGAACTTGTAAGAGTAAAATGCTAAAGGGGACGTAATAGAACACAGATTTCAGATTAGTAAACTAAAAAGTAGACGAATATTTTCCCCCGCTTTATAAAATCAAAGAAAAAAGAACTCACTGAGATGATTGTTAACATTTTATCAACTAGAAGGCTCAAATTTTCGGATTTTAACAATGAAAATATGTTTTTTTTTTTTCATTTAATTTATAGGTAGGGACGTAAGACTTCCTATGCCTTATCTGAATTAAGAACAGATCAGCAAATTCCATTCAAACTGGTGATGTACTAATGATGTTAGGCTCAGCAAAAGTCAGTAGCCAGGCGATAACCATTTTGTATAATTGTTGATTGTTGACAAATAAAACCAACAAACCCACATAAATTAATCTACAACATAAATACGTAATTGCACTTTGGTATGCAATTAGTTGCGTGCATATATATTCTACACATTTCCCTTTTTATTTTTTTATTTTTTTAAAAGAGAGGAATAAAGCTCCGTGCAAATTCATATAACTATATAGATATCATCTTTTTATATTGCATATTTGGGCTTTCAAAGAATATTGCCTGGAAAGTTCTATGTATATTTATATATATGACATGTAAATATTAGTTGAAGCTGAAAATGGGTTTTAAAACTCTGTAATTATAAACATTTTATTTCCTAAGTTATTGAGCAAATAGTGGGTTTAAAACGCTCTCGAGGTATTTTGTCAAAAGAAAAAATTTTAAGAAAAAAGCGCTCTTGAGGACGACTATTGTATATTTTTAATTAAGGAGACGTTTGGTTCATGGATTAGAATCATGTGGTTAGAACTATTTTTAATTTACGTGTATTTTTTGTGAGAAAAAACACTGTAGATGATTCAAATCATAGTTTGAATTCTCCAACCAAACATCTCCTAAGTGACAGTTAGGCCACATTCACATATACGTACAATAGCCAATACGTAATATATTTACTATTTTAATGTGCTATTGACATAGTAGAATGGAGTTACAACTATAATATTTCAGTAAAATAATAATAATAATAATAATAATAATAAGTAATACAACTAATATATACTAACGTGAGCTTCGTTCTCACTTAGATCAGTTTTTCTTTCGTAGGCGTTTTTAAAACGTCACGTTGACTGTAGAATGCATTATGTTGGGAAACGGATTTTTTTATTTAAAAAAAAAATCACAAAATGGTGTCATTTCATTTGAAATGTCAAACATGAATATCCATGAAATTGTTGGTATGTCAAAAGCAGCTGATTCTAAATTATATTCCTAATATCATAAGAGATAAATCCAAATACAATAATACTCCATAGCCGTGAGTCTATTGGATTCCATTTCTGTTTTGTATTTCTGTCCTATCCTTTCAATAAAAAACAAATTTCTTAAACAAGTTATTCTCAAATACTAAAAAAAATGACGTTAACGTACAGAGTAATAATGTTCTTTTTGTTTGTATAACTTTGACTAAATGTCAAGAGTATATATTTTTGACTAAGAAAATATAGCTAATAATCATTATTTTTTAAAAATACATAATAAATTTCTATATGTCGATTAAATAAAGAGGATGTTTCTGCAATCATCCTTAATTATTTTTGTCTGAGGACATAGAATGTATTAATTAATGTTTTCAACACCAAAATTTCTACTGAGTTTCTAGGAGATAGTTGAATATAAGTTAGTATATTCCTGCAAGCGGTTTCGATTAAATCATTTCGCAGTTTTTTAAATTAAATGGTTTTAGACTGTCGGAGTATTGTAGCGTCTCTGACTGTAATAACTGAGGTCGACAAGTAAACTAACAGAACTTGGGAGGTTTCAAGGTATTTTCGCGGACGTTGACTTGCAGTTCAGAAGTTGAATTAGCTGTTCAATTAATACGGACTGATGTATATAGCGAGTAAAACCAGTTACAAATGAAGCTTAGAAATTGAGAAGAAAATACGATATTAGTTATGAAATCTACTTATTCATTCGTATCATTTTGTGTGTGTAAATCTTTACAGAAAAGTGAGTTTGTTTCAATATCAACTCTTTGAAAGTGATATTCATTTATTTTGCCTAAAAATTTACAAGGTTTATGAAATTTAGGCATCCCAAATAGATATATAATATGGCCAATTGTGCATTTAAACCATGGTGGTTTTTAGATCCTCCCTTTTTTTTTTTTGTTTTTTTTTTTTTTGTTTATCAAAGATTAAAAATCCTTGGCTTTATAGTAAGGAGTTTATCTGGTAGTCCCTGAAAAAATGGACTACCAGTAGTCCTTGAAAAAATGGATTACCAGTAATCCCTTCGTTTTCAGGCGTTAAATCTGTATCAAAATTTGTACGTTCATATATATTTTTAATCTGATGTGATTTTGACTAAATTCGACGGTCAAAAATTAAGACTACAGTTAAACCGGTGTATCCAAAAAGATCTCTTCAAAGTAATGAAAGAGAATGTGGACCCTAATTTGTCATGATATATATAATATCCCAACGGGGCATTTAAGCAAAGAGTGGTACCATCCTTAGCACAAGGTCCAAGTCTTTTTGTGCTAAAATCTTTCCACAACTTGTGCATTGTTCTCTTCTGCCAATACGTCCTCAGTAGACATGATAACGTACTAGCTTTCCTAGCTTGGTGGGTCGTTGGGGTCAAGTGTACCCAATTTAAGTGATCAACAAAGTCGGTGGATTTGGATGGAATGTGAAAGGAAATTAATATCCAGTGTAAATGCAACTTTTTTTTTTTTTTTTTTCGCCACCATTGACTTATTCAAAAGAGAAAAAACATGCCCTCTTTAAACTAAGCAGAGATTGAACACGAGAAAAGAGCTTTAATTAAGTCTTAATTATGTGCTCCACATTGAGCATTATATTTCAGTCATGCGAATAAGATGCCTATAAAGTGGCCTTATCTAAAGTGATACATTCACA